GAATAGTCCTTAGCAGAGAAGGCCTTGTTGCCCTCTGCCTTCAAAGCGTCAGCCATTTTTGAGTGATATGCTAAATTGCTCAAAAAAAGGAGTAATGCAGATCAAAAACAAGACTACGAGGAACTGAAAGTGCTGAGGTCATGAGCTCAATCGGCCGGAGCTTCTCGAAATTTCCGTTGGAGTCTACTGCCTCAGGCATCATAAATTTAAGCCTCAGGCAACAGACACCTCAGGCATTAACGCTGACATTGAAGCTCCGCGGGGCTAAACCCTTTTAGGTCAGACCCAGTCCCCGCTGAGAAAAAGTCGCCAAAAAAACACCATTTGTGATCCATTCGTGACTCAAATTTACCGACATCGACACACCATGGTCCTCTAACTTACTCCCTGACTCTAGCACCCTCCCTTGAACATGAAAAACCACGAGCCTCTTCGACTGAACCTTGATTTTGCCTGATATCTCCGTCGCATCTCCAACAATGGCCTCCGCGGGGTCCCAAGTGGCCGAGCTTGCCTCCAAGCTTTACGACGCATGCGTGAATGAATTTGCTCCTGATCACCTGTTCTATCAGAACGACTTCCTCAATCTCAAAGTGATCCCAAAGAACGACGTTGCGCTACTGCTAGAATGCACACAGAGCCTCGTCAATCAAAATCTCTTTCGACTCCTCCAAAAAGATGGAAAGCTCACGTGGAAGCTCATTGACCGCGAGGATGCCGAAAAGTAGGAATCGCATGCATCTCTGTGTCGATAAACCACATAACTAACCCCTCCTCCCTTTCAGGCTCCGCAACCTCACCCCGGACGAGGCCATGGTCTACAATGTCATCCACTCCACAGAACGAACAGGTATCTGGGTGCGGCACATCGGAAACCGCACGAACCTGCACAAGTCGATTCTCGACCGATGCCTGAAAGCCCTCGAAGGGAAAAATTACATCAAATCCCTCCACAATGTCAAATACCCCAGCCGCAAGATGTACATGTTGGCCGGGCTTGCTCCGAGCGAAGAAGTAACCGGAGGAGCCTGGTTCACGGACGGTGTACTGGACGCCAACTTCATCAACAGTGTTGCAGGTTACATCGAGTACACCGTGAGCCGGAAGAGTTGGTTCGAAGTCCCAGCCTCAGACCGCAAGAACAAGCGCATCAAAACCGCCTCCGGCAAGGCAGACGTCAGGTCCGATGAGAAAACCTACCTCCCCTACCCCCACGGTTACACAGGATACCCGACCGTGGCGCAGATCACCGCGGCCGTCAATGACAGTGGCATTACTCCCGTCCGCCTGGGCGAAGAGAGTATCGTGCAACTCCTCGAAATGCTTTGCTACGACAACAAGCTCGTCGCATTAGGAAACGGCGAATGGTACAGATCCCTCAAGAGCCCTGAGGCCGTCAAAGCGAACCAATCCCGCAAGCCGCCCGTCGAGGGCGAGGATCTCTCCGTTGCAAACAAGCACCTTGTGAAGAACGGCATGACGGAAGCCCCCTGCGGCCAGTGCCCAGTGTTCAAGCTGTGCGCACCAGGCGGCGCAGTCAGCCCCGAGACCTGTGAGTACTTTGATCCGTGGCTGAGCAATGGGCTTGGGTTCTGAGTGGACTGGCGGGCAATGGCTTTTCCACGAATATCTGATTTCTGACTTTCGGCGTACTGTGTGCGCCCGTGTGCCAACATGTTTTGCATGGAAGAAACAAAAAAAGGGGATATGTGCATAGCGATGGCGTTTTCGACTTGATTTGGTTAGGCTCCGGCTCACTGGTGACCCTGGGAATATTGGGCGCTGGATGTGCACGGCTTGGACATACGCTTGGCTGTAGCTGGGAATGGATACCTAGGGGAGGGAATATCTGCTTCCTGTTTTCCTTTTCCCTCAGGGATTAGTGTCAGTTTTTGTCTAGAATAGGCAGAATATGAAATTGATTCCGTTTAAACAAATTTGAATTATGCAGTTAAACTAGTAACAAGTAGATGTTTTTTGTCCAGTCCAGTCCAACACCATATAAATCCCTCAAACGCCATGGGTATATCAACCGTCATACAGATCATAGAAAAGGAAGAGCACAGAGAATCACTTGCCCAGAGTACGTCTGCACTCATCGCAGTACCAAGTCCCAACCGGCTCGCGCGTCAGGCCAACACACTTCCAGTGGAACCACTCATAGGGACATTCGTCATTATCGCAAGCCACCATGTCCCCATGGCTAACAGTGCGGCAGGTACAATAGACCTTGGAATCCTCATTGCCCTCATCCTCATCCTCATCATCGACATCCTCATCAGCAGCACCGTCACTCTTGTCGGAGTCCGATGTATCAGCACTGCTGAGCATGGAGTCATCATCCTCATCGCCTTCTCCATTAGGAGACTTCTTCGAAGACTTGATACGACCACTAGCACTGGAAGAGCGCTTGATCGGCTTTCCACTCGCAGTCTTCAGTTTCTTCACTTGCTGGTGCGGTGCGACCTTTTTAGTCAGTGCCTTCTTGATCCCGATGCTAGAACGGGGGCCGGCACTGCCTGCTCGGCTGCCAGCCGGTGTACCAGGTTTCGGTGTACCGGGACCCATGGAGGACTGACGAAGATTCGACGAAGCTACGGGGAGGGTATTAAGAGATGGGTTCAAGCGGCGACGCTTGCTGTCCACAGCCCCAGCAGAGGATTCACGTTGACGTTGTTGGAGGTGTACGACAGCTGCTGCTGCTGGAGTAGCCGGTGCAGAGTTGCGTGCTGTGGTTTGTCCGAGCTGGGCTGCGGAGCTGGTGGCGCGAGGAGTTGTGGATTGATTCAAGCGCTGCGCAGCAGCCAGGATGGGGTTCGCGTTTCCGGAAGTCGGGTTGAGGGGTGTTGAGTAGGCGGGGGTGTCGGTAGGTGTGGAGTCAGGGAGGAAGATCTTGGGTGGGTTGCGGTATTTGTTTTTTGAGTCGAAGAGGGAAGGAAGAGGAGGGTCGTTGGTGAGGAGGCCTTCGTTGACTAGATCGCGAATGCGCACGTCGAGTCGTTTGATCTGACGATCAAGGAGGACACATGCTTTCTCGCTGAGCTGGATCTTCTCGTTCTGCAGTTCGTGGGATTTGTCCATGTTCTGTAGAATAGTCTTGCTATATGGCTCTTCCTTTGGGTTCGGTGTCAGACTGCCGTTCAGTTTGATGAATTTCTGGATGCTGCTGTCGCGAGAGTTGATTGTAGCGCGACACTCCTGCATAACCTTGTCCTTGGCCTGGATTTCCTCCATGAGGTGGTTGATCTCAGCTGGAAGATTCGCCACATCGTGGACGAACTGCTCCAGGACAGTTGCGCAGTCCTCTGCACCGTGTGCCATTTTGGATTCGGTCGCAGGGCGGGTTGAAGGTGGCTCCTATATGGATGTTGAGGAAGTGAAACACAACTCAACCGGGCTCGATGTAAGCACTTGTTCCGAGTTTTATCTTATTGTACCGAATTCGGATGACTAGATGAAGCCCTGGCCTTTTCTCACGTCGTTATTCGGACACCCATCATAGGTGACAAATTGGTTGAAGTCGAACATATGCTGACTCATTCATGAGTAATCTTCGGATCGGCACCGTGATAGTCCGAAGTATAGACGTTTTTTCCCACCTTATACACTTAGATTTTTGAATCACTACTATATTTCGGGGTTTGAACTATATCTATACAATTATAGACTATTAGATTATATTTTAGAAAGTGAAAATACAATCGCAGACGTCACTGGTCAAAAAATGACTCCTTTTTGGAGCGAATTTAGATTTCAAAACAAGCCCGTTAGAATATTATGGGACCAAAGCCCGACATGCTTTAATAGAGCTCTTATTGAAATTAATAAGTTGTTAGTTATAGCGGCGAGGTTAAATCATTCTGCATTTTCCATCTGGAAAGCGTCTTTCGAATAACGAAAATGGTCGTCAAGGATTTGATCCATGGACCCTAAATGAGTTTGTAACGTATTTCAGTCTTCTGACTATTGTTCTGGATATTTCGCTGTCTTTGATGCATCGTTTGTTTATGATTTTATAAGTTCAAGCGCTATACATAAATCAATCGATGATCTTCCCATGCTTATATAGCCTCTGCTTGATCTAATTCGAAGATCTAACCAACCTATCAAAATCCCGCGGCCTTGTGTGGCTTGCTTTCCAGGATATATATGGTCTACGATCGTCGAGCCCTCCCTAAATATTCCTATATATGGCCAGTTTAGTGTATATATTTCTAGCGCTATACTAAATTATCGGGTTTAAGCCAAATGGCCTAGCGCCCGAGAAGTAGTTCAGTGCCCAGCTAAAAATCATAGAGCTTGGTTAAAGTGCAAGCTAGCGGAACGCATGCGAAGGAGACAGAAGTGCGAAGAGAGTAACTCTAGAGGGTGATGTTTGGTCGGTAGAAGTTCAAGATATCACTTTTGAGAAACGAAACACATCATCTTGAGACGAATATCATAACAACCTTGGAACTCAATTCTGCTTCCATCTACTTGATAACCTTGAAGAGCTATGCAAGAAGGTTTGCCTGAAAACAGACCTGTGTGATCTTGCTTTTTGCCGTCTGAGTAAACCTTTCTACCCTGGACAGAGCACTCGGGGCTCGCCATATCATGAAAACAAAGTCTATTCATCAAGTCTCAACTCTCTTCAGCCATCAACCCTCTTCCACTTGAAACCATCTTCGGAAACCCTTACGATTACCATAAAGCATCTACCCCCAGAAGTTCTACCTTCTCCAAGCCCTTTTCCTTTTACTGGCAACCTTTCACCCAGTTTGAAACCTGGGCACATGCCTTCCTTGGTCTATCCACGTCGGATATCACTTCAGAAGTCTTCTTTCTTATGATCCCAACGGTCTTTTTAGTCGTCTTTTCGCTCGTCTTTTGAACCCTATTTTCGACCATCTTTTCAATCGACCTTGCAGTCGTTTCTTCCGGTCGTCTTCGTTAGGTTCTCTCGGATCGTGCTCCCAGATTACCTCTCATCCGTTCCCACCACCTCATTCAGAAGCAATATGCCACCTTCCAAGCTGGTAAGGAATGTTCATCAGTGTGACCCCAAGCCACAGAGCTCTACAGCGAGCCCCCAACACAAGGCCCCAAGGGCTTCGCGCAGTACCAATATCTTCCCTGTCCCAAAGAGTGACCCCATATGTCGAACGTGGCCGATGATCTTGCGCACAATTGTGCGCAAGATGAACCACACCGGTGTATGTATGATTACGTGCGTTCGTCGAGGAAGAAGTCCCGACCCTAGGGACAGTACAACCACTGTGTTAGTTATTTGCAATTCCGAGAAACCGCCCAGCCACCGAGAACACTCGATTGTTAAGATTCGGGAGCTCCTCGACAGCAACTACCTGTCGGGTGTAGCAGTCAACTTTGTACGGGGGGATTTTGTCCGGGGAGCATCCGGCCTCAACGCAGAAGAGCTCGACCGTCGAGCGATACAGCTACCATCTATGCCCGGACAAAGCCTGGCACTGAATAATGCCTCGGGTTCTGGCACGCTTGGCGGGTTTTTGGAACTCAAGATGCCCGGGGAAGCCAAGTACAGGACCATGGCACTCACTTGCTTTCACTGCGTCAATCCAAGAGAGACCGGGCTAGACCGTGCCCTCGTCAAGAGGCTCCGAGTGTGGCGTCAGGAAGGGATCGCGCCAGACGACGATATGAGGACGGAACTTCAGGTCCAACACCCGAGTCGTACGGCTGTCAAAGAGAAGATCAAATCCCTGAAAGATGCAATCCATGCGATAGAAGAGAATGAGGAATATGTCCAATTCAGCGAATTGGAGGGCGATATCGAATCTATCTGCGGCCGACATGCGGCAAAAGCTTTCTCCAGAATGACCAGTACCCTGTGCGAGCTGAAGGAATTTTTCCAAGATATCGAGGCCTTCAAACAAGCGGACCGTGGGTATTTCGGCCCCGTGTATGCTGGCTCAGGCTTCAGAGAAACATGTTCAACCACCCCATCCAATCTCGATTGGGCGCTTATTGAGGTTCCGCATGATCGGGTTGGGGAAAATATAGTGAAACTTCTTTTTTCGCGTGATTTTGGCTGAAGCAAATGCTAATAATATTACCTCTTAGACACCTGACGGGAATTATCTGAAAGACGCCCCCATACCCGAAGATCTTGATGGCATGCCGCTGTTCATTCATGGGCAGCGATCTGGCTATTGCAAAGGGAAAAAGGATACCCTTGACACTGCCGTACTATCGCACGAAATTGAAGATGGTACGACAATTACCCGCACCACCTATGAGCATCCGATTCGCCCACAGAGTGGTGTCCAGTTTTCACAAGCTGGGGACTCTGGCTCGTTCGTCTTCACCGAATCGTATGTGGTAGTGGGTATGCTTTTTGCCGGCGGAAATAGCCACATGATGTCCTTCTTCACGCCGATTGGGGATGTTTTGAACGATATCAAAACGATCACCAAAGCTGTGGATGTGCGGCTGAAGGTGAGGCCCGGTACTTCTTAGATTGATTCAGGATGTCTCATCATAATCACTGTCTTAACGATTAAACCCTTGTACTAATCCTCAAGAATTCAATTCTATCTGTGGGCGCATTTGAATCATGCGGCCGTTGTGCTCTTCCATAAGAACCCTTAGTTAAAGTAGCCGTAAAACACGAAGACTACTTACTTACTAACCCTATTATAATAATGAAAAGCCACATAGTACTAGTTTGATTATTTTTATGTAGTAGCATGGGCAATTCTTGCTGGCCGATGACTTGGTCAATGTCTTTCTATCCGCTAAGTTCACCCTCTCGAGTTTTCGCCCTTCATGATGATCACCTCTACCGTAGGGAGATTGAAGTCATCAAGAATCTCCACAATCTGATCCCTCGTATTGCGCCAGTCTCGATTGCTCCGCAAGCGTACGGTCATCAAAACGGCCGGTGATGTTTTCTCGCTCTGGTTCATTCCTACACGCGGCATTGAAAGTAGTTGCATATCCGTATGATCAATTGTGGCCATGATTCTTTGATTTAACTCCAAGCTCACTGGCCAAAGCGGGTCGGATTTTTCAAGGCACCGCAAGAAAAACGTGTACACGTCCGGGTCCGATATTTCGATATTGAGGTGTGCAAGACCGGCATCGGAGAAGTGTTTCCAGACCTGTCGACATGCCAAGATCCAAGAGTCATCGAAGGTATTGCGAATGGCAGAGAAGATCAAAGTAGGCTTCCAGTTGAAAAAGTCATTTTCGTGCTTGCATTCTCTAAGCTTCATGGAGATTGGGTAGACATTGTGTTCAGCAAGAGTTGCCAGAATTTTTCGAACGAGGACACAATCCTCGAGAACATCGCTAAGAGGGTCACTTGGTTTCAATTTTTGCATCTTAACTGGGAAAGAGCAAAGAAATGGCCCTCCGGCTCGTTGGGATTCGTTGATAAATCCATCCGGTTCGACGTGCCAAATGCCAGTGTCATCATTGCTATCGCAGCTGGTTCTGATGCGACGGCCATCTTGGACAGGAGAAGCGTAGGCACAAATTTTATGGGAGCCTTTGGGGTAGTTTACCTCATCATCGTCATCATCATCGATATCGAGGGAGGCTTGTGATGATGTAGTCGAGCTAGTAGGCGAGAGAGGGTGGGGACCGACTAGGGAGAACGTGTCGGAGCAATTCTGAGAGGACGAGTCGGAGCCTTTGTCACTGGCAGAACCTGACGTGCCGTTCTTTTCAACATCATGATCCCCCTGAATGAAACCACCACATACAGCGCCGGACTCATCGGAACCGGGGTTACCGGCGGAGACCGCGTCAGAGTGATTATTAGTAGCAGCGTTGCACAAAATGACGGTTTCAGCGTCAGATTCAGACTGAGAAGATGTGTCCCAGGTGGCGCTCGATTGAGAATTTGAGATTTCATTGCAGTTATCGGCTGGGGCCGCGCCAGAGTTATTCAGAGCAGCAGGGTTGCGCAGAATAACAGTTTCAGCGTCAGAATTGGACAGGGAGGATGTGTCACAGATAGCGATTGGTTGAGTATTCGGGTTTTCCTTATGGTAATCGTCAAACAAACCGCTTATTTTTAAGACGTTGCTCTCTGGAAAGGTTGTGTTGAGGGTGATGGGGGATGAGCTAGTAGGCGAAGACAAGTCGGAGCCATTGGAAGAGAACGTGTCAGATCCATCATCAGATGATGAATCAGAGTTACCAGGGGAGGAATTATCGGATGCGATAGCGCTTCTGGTGCCGGAGACCCCATGAGATGATGATGAGCTGGGCTTCGCTTTGGCTTCAATATCAAGACTGGTTGCGGTGAGAGAATGAGACATGGTGACAGGTTGAAGCTCGCAGTTTTTGCGGATATGCTTTTCACGCATCGTGATAGGTGGGAATTCGGACCTGGGTCCAGTGGACGCCTCAGGCAAGGTGATGGTTTGAAGGTATCAGTGAGAAAAGAAGGTGCAGGTTAGGGAGCTGTTGAAATCTGAGGCGAGATAGTGCTGTTGAGCCCACTTGAGAAAATATGGGATGGAAGAATTTGCTAAAACTGATGAGGAATTTGGAAAGGATAAAGGGAGTTGATGAGAAATGTGGAGAGACTTTGGGGATATAGCCTTGGTAGAGTATGTGCGGCTCAAGGGGTCTGGGCAAACCTTAAAATTCTCCAGGAAGTGAGAGTACCTACTTAGGTAGTAGTACCTAGCTATGGCATCAACATTGCTTGTAACAGCCTTTGGCCTCTGGTTCAAGTTTGTAAACAATTGCTGGGCCATTCCATTCTTTTACAATAACCCATTGGTACCAATAAATAGTTCACACTGCGCTATGTCTTCGCAATTTTTATTCGATACGAGTCTGGTCTCTTTAGCTGTTAGCGTCTACTCTCTGGGGACTAAGAGAAGGAGGGAGGGAGTCGATTCATACGTAGAGCGAGCTTTCCTAATAAGCTCAGCGTTGAAAAAAAAAAATTCAGTCTACGATTATATTACGTGTAAGTATGTATATTTTGGATGGAATTGCTACATAAAAGATGCTTAAATTTGTTGATATGCAGTGGCGCACTAAGTACATAGTAGACTGTTGGTGGGCTGTTTGTGGCGGTACCACACATTGCAACACTTATGAAGATTTCACCATGCAATATATCAAAAATATTTATAAGCAACCGGGCGGTTTGGCCGAGTGGTTAAGGCGATTGACTCGAAATCAATTCCATTCGTGGGCGCATGTTCGAATCATGCAGCCGTCGTGCTATTTCTTTTTTTGTGTTGATTTTTTTCTATATCAAAAAACTGATTCAAAATTTCTTTTTATTTAACAACTCTATATTTTACTACCAGTCAATACAGCTGTCCTTAGTTCACTAAAGCAGTCTAATAACAAAGGACTAAATTGAATTAGGGATACATATACAGAGTATTACACCGCTATCCTAGAGTAGGCTAATCCTATAGTTATAAGTACATACATACGTACCTAAATTGTTATGTCTATCTTGGCAGTAGACGTTGTGTCGGCGTATAAAGACCGGCCGGCATACGGGAGGATTTATTAATCTTCCGTATTTTGTAATTTATACCATTTAATCAAGGCTCCAGACATAGGTAGCCATAAATTGCTAAGAGAACCAACATAGAAATGCAGAGACTTGAATGCTATTGATTGGACCTCCTATTTTACAAATACTACATTCTTCGACAGCTAATTAGAACCCGACAAACAAGGCATTGGTGTATATATCCTAACAGAACCTCCCAACACAAACGCGTCTCCATCATCTAATGATTGCATACTACGGAGATGATATACTCGGGACTTGGATATATGCCTCTTGAAGACTCGATGGTAGTCGACAGTGGCGTTATAGAAAGGCTCTACAAACTTGATTTGAAGGGTTTAGGGGCACCACGGGCCTTCTCGTTGGATTTAAGCTCGCTCGCCATGTAAGCAATATTTCCTCGTCCTTAACGATCTTGGAAATCGATTTCAATATGGACAGTGATACAAGAAATTTTCTGGGAAGGTGTGATTCTTGGTTTGATTCTTTTATCTTTGGACATTTTCATTCTCCTTCCACTTGCGATCTATGCGGCTATAATTCAGATGGACCTCGACTCTGGACTCGTTTAGCAGGATGAGATAGGAGGCTATTGCTGTGGCCGAAAAGATGCCGGTGAAATAAATTTAACTTCCATTATATCATTAAGAGACGCATGATTTTCGAGGGTTCTACTTCCTACGCTAGCTAGCAAGGACAGAGGCCGCATACGTGGTGGCTACCTACTATTGCTGAAATAAACTTCTTTCAAGAAATGCAAAGATAACATTTAAGAGCTATTGGCCTTCGGTCAACATCCGAGGTGTGTGTGATATATTTTATGTCCGCAATCATATCGTCGATATGGGTGAAAAAAGAGGGCAAAAGCATGAAGCCATTTGCAGAGATCACGCCGCCGAGCACCACATGGGATTCGGGGAACACAAGCGAGCCAGAATCACCAGCTTGCGAAAATTGAATGTCACCCTATGGACAAATGGGGTATTCATACGTGGTGCGGGTTATAACATGACGATCTTCAATTTCATGCTCGACAATGGCACGGAATAAATATGCCCGAACAGGGGGTCACATTCAGAGCCACATTCTAGCCAGGCATAGAAGGTAGATCATGGCCCCGGGTGATAGTGGTCGCCCGTCATCAAAATAGGACAGGTGGCAGTGTGCGACAATTGGACACATTCCAGTCTCAGAAAAGCTTTACAGCTTCAGGTCGCCGATCCAACTACTTTCCAATCAAGCAAGATCATCCACGGACAATATCTCCTTTCACGAACTCGACTGCCATGTCCCGAAAGTTGTTCTTGTCGAGCAGGTTCCGAATATGCGTGCTTAATCGGTCTCAATGCTCCGGGGACGGCTCGAATTGCGCACCACCAGAATAGCGGTCTTGCTCCCCTTAAGAGTGAAATTTTCCCCCACCGCACGTAGGTGATGAGAAACCCCAGACCGCTCCATATAGTGAACAATTTTGTCTCGTATTTTAGCCCATTTATGGCATATCCGGCTTTTTGGAGATTGGAAAGGTGTTAGGGGTGACAAGGCCAACAAAGCCGCCTCGATAGGCTGTCATTTGTCGTTTGCCTGATGTGCTCGCTTTAATTTGTGTTCTCGGTTGGGAGATTCGGAGTCTGGGTCAGTGAGCCCTGCATCTTTCTGGTGGATGGCCATTTTTGCCACATTCACTTCAAGAATGAAAGTCAGAGAAGAAAGGTAAAAAAGGCACAATGATGAGCGTAGTAAATACCGAGCTTTTTCTTCGGAGGAGATCAACATTCTAGATCAGCTCCCTGTTTAGGCTAGTTATATAGTGGTGTAGTTATCAAGCTATTATAGGAGAGTTATCTTTTGGGGCGTAAATTAGCTGTATATCGCAGTGTGCAGGTGTCATTACCAAAATCTCTCGTATATGACCCATCTTGAAGTTAACTCACAGATACATTTGTGTAGAGCCTGACGGCAGTGATAGATAGTGGTTGATGTCTAGAACATCTTCGATGATAAACAGCAGAGGAATCTATATAGCAGCCAGTCCCCGGAAAGGCAGGCTGGGATCAACAAATACAGCGTATGTGCTCGGCTATTACTGAGTGAGAAAAAAGCAAGTGAAGTGAAGTGAAGTGAAAGAGAGAAGCACCAGAAGGCTTGATATAGTTATAGAAGGATTGGTTCCTTAGGTGTCAAGGCCCTGTTTGTCCTCAAACAAAAACTTCCTAGATATTTTAAATAAAGTCTCAGCACCATGACTATTTAATTTGGTGGGACTCAAGTAAATTATATAAAAGGAAAGACCACAAAGGAACAAAATCACGTTCAACGACTATGCGAAGAGATAGCACGAAGAACGATAATCTACACAGAAGGGAAACCATTAGAACCTGCTAAATAAAAAGGGAGCCTACACCTAGAAAGTGTTAAATTCAGGTAAAGCTAACAATATCCCCGTGAATACTCCACAAAATATGCGAGGATACCAAAAGACCTATATATGCATAGCTCTAGGAGCAATATACACTTTTGTAATCAAATATCAACTGTCTATGCTAGATGCTAAAGTAGCCGATTTTATTATTTATTGAAATTTGACATGTTACCTTTTAAGAGAAATGGAGTTTCATTGAATTTGTAACCCCAAATCCGGAATATTTTCGGCCTAAGTAAACCCCGAATTAAATGCACATTTGTATGTATGACGGGGATTTCCCAGGAATAGATATAAGCGCCTGCAAAAGTTGATACTATATAGAAAACGTCCAAAAGCAGGCATAATGGTGTTACATTCGGCACTTCGCTACTAGCGAATTCGATCTCGCTCACTGTATCCCCAGGTAAATCTGAAACTTATACCGATAGACGGAGGAAGACAAAATCTTATGGATCAAAGTTCGTGGGACAGATTGTGAGATTGTGTTGTTGACACTTGACCAGCTGACATATCCCTACATCAAAAGATATAAAGACAGCCTGAGCCATCTGCCCCAACTCTTATTTGTTCTAGTAATTATTTTATGAACAACTCAACGATCTCTTTCTCTTCTATAGAATGAAGGCTACTGTCTTCTTCCTTGTTCTTGTGAATGGGGCCATGGTACTGGCGACCTCTCCAATTATTCCAATTATATCAACCTACCTGCCATACGTATACTCTCTAAGTGCATTTAATTAATATTTTACAAGTATATACTTTACAGTGTTAAACCGTAAAAGTTTTTTCCTTTCCAAAGTGCAAAAGTCATCTAGCAAGCAGCACAAAAGATATCAAAAAAAAACGCCATAAAATGTGTACCATTAAATCATAAACTATAAACCATACTCATCATAAAAGTACCCTCCTAACATTTCCTTTACTTCCTAAGTACCTGAAATTAGTGCTTATGCTTCAAGAAGGCGGTGATGAAATAGGCGGTAGAGCAATATCCAATGAGAGAGTTGTATGACGCTGATCTCTATCGTCGCCCGTACCTGTCTTCGAGTCTTCGGAGCCAAGTTCTCTCTAGATTCTAGATTTAAACGGCAAAAAGATAAGCACGACACGACGGCTGCATGATTCGAACATGCGCCCACGAATGGAATTGATTTCGAGTCAATCGCCTTAACCACTCGGCCAAACCGCCTTGTTGATAAATTAAGTTCTTTGTTAATGACGTGTTAACTAGTGGCAGAGAAGTGTAATTCCAGCTTCGAGCTTTACTTATAGACACACATGAAGGGTTCAAGGGTAATTGACAGAGTGATGTTAATGTTTTGATATTACAGACACACTATTCACAAATTGCCCATTGCGAGCCAAACCGCAGAGATCTTCAGGATAGGTAGCGGGCGCAGAGGCAGGCTGTAGCCACACACCAATCAACAAAGCTCTGACGTGGCTATATACAGTATACAGGTGCCAAGAGGTTAGTGTTTTAATGTCAGCCATTATATCCAATGATTAGTCGCAATAACTTAAGTGGTCTTCGTATGCGGCTTTGCGCCAGCCCCCAGAATCCCCTATCCATTGGACCCTTTCCCCGCCTAGGCGATCAAGTTAGTCCCGTGGAGAAGCCCTATTTCCTCAAATTTCTCCTGCCACACCTTCAGTTCGTATTTTCACTCGCACCCAAGGGTTCTTCATCGCTTTCCTGTTCTCTCTACTCCGTACTCCGTATACAATTTGTCTATTCCGGGTTAGATATTATGGCGCCTTTACTCGCTACCTTAATACCCCGCGATTCTCGATTCAATCCAGCTACAACCTCGAATGAATTCAGGGATCAATATATCCACCCAGGCGATATTTTCAGTGTCCTACTCATTTTGGGCGGTGATGTCGTCGCTCGCGCTCTGGCGCAACTCGCAGATGGCGGACTAACGCCTTTCACGTTCTCATTTGGTACTGCGCCTCTATACCCTATTCCGACGCTAGCTATATGCTAACTTAACCCGCTCGAATAGGATGGGTAGCTTATTCCGTCTCCGCGCTTGTCTCTGCCGTTGGCGAAAACAAGCTTATGCCACAGAGCCCAGATTGCCAATGCAAAGTCATCAACGGCAAGAACGGACAAATAAGAAACAATTCGAGCTGGGTTCTAGGCAGAATTGTGCGCGATTTTGAGATATGGAGCGACCTTGCGACCAAGCAAAAGACTAGAGAGCTCTTGACCACAAAGTGGATCGAGATGAAAGCCCGAGATACGGATGCAGAGGAGCCAACAAGAGCTGGCCTTGTTGTTACTATCTATAAGCCAAGTGACACAAGTCGTGCTGGCGTAGCAAAGCGCGATATGGTCTACTGGAGCGGCTTGCTTGTCTTGGTAGTTCAGCTGGGAATCGCAGCTATACCCTGTGGACTGTTTGGCGATTGGGGTATTTTGTTAATCACAGTGTGTGGTAATGCGCTTGCCATTGCCACGGGCCTTCTCCCACAATGGAAGAAGGAAAAGTGGGCATGTCGGACTAAGTCTAAAGAGACCTATGTTCTTACTAGAGGCAACGGCGCCCAACATGCTATCGTCATCCTAGGTAATAAACATGGCTTGAATCTTGAAGATTTGGCATCGGGGCAGAGCAACATTGATGCCTCTACTAATAATCTTACCCGAATTATTCTTCTAATACTCTCGACTCTTTGGGTTCTTTTTCTTATCGCCGCATCGGGTCTAAAGACGAACACTTGGTTTCTTCTTGGCATCGGTGCTATCGGCATTGTTCAAAATGTTTTTGTTGCTGGTTGGAATAGGCGACCAGAAAATTTTGGCATCCCTCTTGATTTTATAGATGTCTTTGGCCAAACGAAAGTGATGGAAACACTACAGGACGTTGAAAAAAGCTATCAGTATTTAGGTCAGAGCATGCTGCAAGAGTTTTTCTCTAGAAAGCTTCGTCCAGACGAAGAAGAAGAGTGGGAACAGATCAACAAATCTCATGAAGCTAGAAGGCTCCGGGCTCAACAGCAGCAAGCTCAATACCCTCAAGCTTAGCAATCTCAAGTCCGGGGATCGCCAGGCTGAAATGCTCTTCTAAAACTACCCAGAACACATACGGCCAAGCTCAAGACAGTCATGTAAATTTGGAGAGCGTGGATGATCTTGCTCAAATATGATCGAACAAAAAATTATTTTGACGTTGAAGCGTTTAATTGTGCGATATGGACAGTAAATCACAACACTTTCAAGGAGCTAATTCGAAACGTCACTCGAAGTGATTTGGATCTACTCCAAGAGCTAGATAGTTCTGAAGGGCCAGATTATTCCAAACGACTACCACTGCACCTTGCAGCGGAACGAGGGGACTAAGGGATGATCTGCCGGTCATGTCGACTTTCCAGCTTAGTACCTCATATTATTCAGAACAATTACACCAAGTAAACAAACATAACTCAGACTTCGTTAGCATCAACCTCCTCACTCTTCACCTTCCCTTCCTCTTCCTTCTCCTTCTCCTCCGCCGTAGGCTTCCTCCCCCAAACCCTCCTCCTATGTAACATTAGCTCAACCGCTCTATCAAATATCCAATAGAGTAAAATAAAAAAAGAAAACTCACGCATACTGCCACATATGAATGTGCGGATCCTGCAGCTCCTTCCTAACCTTCGCTAACAAAACCAAAACCTCCTCCTTCGCCCACGGCACTGGAACCCCAAATTTAGTAAGAAGATACATGCCCCAACCCTCCATACCAGCGATCCACTGATGATAATGCAACCTCCCCACTTCCTTAAGTGTAGGGTCACGCGCCCACGGACCAACAGGCCACCTATACAAATTCTCATGGATATCCACAAAACCGGCCTTTTCCATCGCCGTACGCATCGTGTCCAGCGTATCGAGGGGGTGATTCCATTCCTGTCCGGCGCGGAATACCGCTTCAGTGAACTGGACCATACTGGAATTTGGGGACATGCTTGAATCTGAGCATTGGATTCGGGGGTCGCCTTCTATTTGTTCGACCCAGCCACCTGGGGTTAGGTTTCTGGTACTTTGGTGTTAGATAGGCATTCAGGAAGGAAGTAGGGTAAGGGTAGTAGGTATTGAGGCGGCGTGGGTAGATAGGCTTACTTGTAACACTGAGCGAATAGACCATCCCATTCAACAGGCGTGAAGGCGCCTATTAGCTGACGCATGTGGATTAGGTCGAAGGGTTGACGCCAGGTCCATTCCTGTAGGACGTCGTCGACTTCCATGATGCAGTTTGGGGGGAGCCAGTCTCCTGGTGGGGGGAAGAGGTCTACGCCTCTGACAGTTGCTTGGTTTGGTCAGCTCGCTGTCTAGGTGCTATGGTATTATATGTATGAATACATGTACTTACCATCTGGGAACATGTCGGCTACATCGCTGTATTTTGTCAGTTGGTGTTCTTGGGTTGGGGAAGTTGTGCTCTTACATGGCCCAGGTGCCTCGGCCTGTGCCGATATCCAGGATTTGCTTGCATTTGGTCAGTGAGGGCTTTCAATGGCTCCTTTGTTTCTGGGTGTATGTCTATACTTTGGGGTCTTTCAGTGGTGCCTGGTAGAGTGGGTTGCCGGTATTGGAGTCTAGAAGTATACACAGGAGGTGACTGGTTGAGTTAGTGTTATGTGTGTTAGTGTGGTGATATCATAACTCACCCTGCCTCTAAACTCTCAAATTGTTGGTCGTCGGATGGAAACCTAGAGGAATATTAGAAGGCATATCGTAGAGTTGATGTTCAGGTATGTACCAAGATGCACCTTCCCTCACAGTCTGATAGCTGATATATTGTTAATGTCCAACCTCAGGAGATTCGAACATATGCATACCGTCTTCCATTTTCAAACACTCCCCGATAGACGGATGATGATAGAGAGGTTGTTTCACTGAAGTCTAGGTTAGAATTGATTGATAGTAGTCTAGTGCATATACCCACGAAGCAAAGTCACTATCTACATAATTATCACCTCCACGGCCATAGTAAACCGGATCCTATTGATATTAGATCCCGGTCAATTGGATTATAAGCATTCACTTACAATCTCGATTGATTTGTCCATCGCTAGAAATACTCAAAGAAAAGAAGTGCAATTTCAAAGACAAAAGACAAGAACTCCATTATTTAACACGTTGTGAGGATTGAAATGACAAAAGAACCCATCAAGGATCCAGACGGATACATGACTCTTTCCAGGTTTAGTGCTTTGCGTGTCTCATGGATCCGCTAACGGCCTTACAGATGCCCCCTTGTCGTTAATATATTTTACCCACCTCTACCATCGCAGAAGGATTGAAGGATTGGACCAATCAGAGAGATAAGGAAATCCACCGGTCGCAATTTCTATACTGAAGTGTCTTTTTTTTCTTTCTTTTTGTTCTCAAAATGAGGGAAAGAATATTAAGAGGAGGAAGAAGACAAAGAAAGACAGAGAGACAATTGCCGAAGAGGCGGAAAAGGAGAAGGTCGGCACTTCATCCACATGGCACAATCACCTCAATATCATCCCTGTCCATCATCCCTGTTCCAATAATCCCGGTCAGCCTGTCTTTGATTCAATCGGGCCTAATGCATCTCATCCCGCGTCTTAGTCTCGGCGGATTTTCAATTAGGAAGGACTGGTGACGTCTGTGACTCGGATGTTTTAATCTCGGAGAGTACATTAACACACACCAGGATCCTTTGAAATCCTGTCTTTAATGTTGCTAGTTCTTTGTATTGGCATGAGACACACATTCCCCGCATACTTCCAGAACCTATCTACGAAGATGAGGGGTTGAGACGGTCCAACCTCATCCCATATCTCCCGAGACTCCGATCCCCCAAGGCTCAACAAAGTCTAGACATGACAACACATACCCCCTCCACAATTAATGAGGCTGACAACTTCTTCAGACTTCCAATCCTTGAATCCTTGAAGTTGCTTGGACAATGGCCCTCTCGTACAACAAACTCTCTCCTCTTCTGGTCCGAGCGCCAGCGTTAAATGCTGGTCAGTCATTGGCCACAGCCAAGAGGGCAGCACATCACAGTGCAACTTGCATTGAACCAACCAACATCGTCAATTACCCGCTCACCTCCAGTATGGATTCTGCACTGCTGATCGAATCGACCTGCTTAAAAGAATGCCATAGCCACCTCAAGGCGGATTTCTTCTCTCTTTTTTTCTTCAGCGAGCGTTTGTTGTGTATATCTGCCCTATTCGAGTGATCCTGAGCACTGGTTGCCTGGACCTTTTTTTTTCTTTCTTTATCTTCTATACTATTCTAATTTTTTTACCCTTTTTACTCTCAAACGAGCTGTGCTCTTTGAGATTCTGCCTTGCTACGGATTTTCCTCGAATTTTACAACTATTAACAGTTTTACTTGTCGCCGGTCGACTTGATTTCGCTGTTTAACAGATATCTACAACAAACTCAACTTTAATATAATCTCGCTCGATTATTCTTCTTTTCTTTGTCGGACCGGTTTCCCAAAGATCAGCAAAGAGTCCAATATTTCCAGTCAACTTTGACAACCCAAACTCCGGTAGTTTTAGGTTGTTCTAGCTATATACGATACTCTTGATCTTTTGCCTTCACGACAAACCCTTTTTTTTAACAATTCCAATTTTTGTGTCTACATTTGATTCATCATGGCCGCCGTTCAACTCAAGTTCTCCCTCCGGACCTCGTCCAACGTCAAGACCGTCCACCTGGTCGGTTCATGGGACAACTACCAACGCCAGATCCCGCTCTCCAGCGAAGACAAGCCCGGCGCCTGGGTCGGCAAGTTCCGCTTCCAGACCTCAATGCTCCAACTCGGAGGTCGTTACTGGTACTACTACATGATGGACGGGTACCACGTATCCCACGACCCAGCCGTCGAATACACCGTCGAGCCCACCACCGGCCGCAAGCTCAACATCCTCGATGTTCCCGGCGGAAAGCCCAGCACCCGATCATCCGCACCAAAGACCAGCCGCGGCAACATCGCCACTGGCCGCGCCCTGTCCCCCTCGCGCATCCAGCACCCAAAGCCAACAAAGCACTACGCTTCCCGCCAACTCCGCGAAGCAGACTTCGCTCCAACCGTCGACGACCTCACCCGTCGCTTCGCGGGCTCCCGCCTGTCAGATGAGTACTCGTACTCGAACAGCCCGCCCAGCTCTGCGGGGTCATCTCTTTCGTCGCGGTCGTCCTCCGGCTCCACTTCGCCTTCCTCGCTCTCGTCTATGAGTGAGCCCCCTGTCCACTGCCGCTGCGAGCGCTACGGTATCACCCGCAAGGGTGACCGTGTCAAGCTTGACTGTGGTGGTTCGCGCTGTGGATACGTTGAGTCTTCGGACGATAGCTGCTCGGAGTCTGAGTATGAGAGTGATGAGGAGTACACCCGTGCTCGCAATGCTGTTCGTCGTCAGGGTATTGTTGTTCGTCGGTAGATGGGGTATTATGTGGCGGGTTCTTGGGACCTTGCTAGGTTATTTTGCTCTATTTGTTCCTTTCGCTTGACTTGTTCGGGTCTGGTGAGACTTGGTCATTGCGTTTGTTTTGATTTCTGAAAATCATAAAAAATTTACCAAAAACAGCCCGGGCCGTGGGTGGACTGGTTTCGCGCTGCGGTTGGGCGGGGATGAGGATTGTGTGCTGAGAGGGGAGGAGAAAGAAGGGGAATAGGAGAGAGGATTGGGGAAGAAGAGTGCTAAAGAAGAAGAAGAAGAAGCCATCGATTACAATACCTAGGTATTTCGATGTGGACAACATCCACCCTGGATCATCGAATCCAGCCTCGTGGACTCCGACAAGCTTATCTTGAACCGGTCAAGATCCCGATCTGACCAGCACAAGCCCTAAGACGACAAGATCTGTCTTGAGCCTCCTGGATCCAAAGGAGGCCTGACCAAGATGAAAAACGGTATCTCGTCAACCAAAGAACATCCCTCCGATGTCATGGACTTGTTTCATGCTTTGGTTTAGGTCTCACTCTGAGGTGCCAATGAATAATGAGATATGACCTGCGTTCATGTTTACTGTAGATTGATGGTTCTTGTAGTTGTAGCCACGAATCCCGACTAGATTTCCCAGAACCCGGGATCGGGATATCTCAGTAGATTCAAATATGTGTGGCGACAGGAGACAAGAGAGGTTAAGGTTAAGGTGTATAACAAAAGAAAGGGGTATAGCCGTGTTGAATGTGTTGGAGCATCAACTCTACTTATAGATCTACCTAGGTAGGAGCAATGGAAAAAACTACACAAAAAGTGTTTCAATTCAAGTATGTAGGGCCGGTTATTGTAATGCGATGGCCAACGATCCTCCGAGACGCCGCGAAACAGGCCAAGCAGATGCGCATTTTTCCAGCAAGATCATTAAAGTACAAATATGAAGAGAGCAACCGTAAATCAACGCACCGAAACCCCAGAGCGATCGGTGAACATCCGAGCGGCAATGTTCATGGAGGCCAGCTCTTGGAACAACAGCTTGGCGGCGTAGGGGATGTGGACTTGCGAGATACGGTGCTTGTTGTTGCAAAGACGACACTCGAAAAGGCCCTTCTTCAGTTTCCTATCAAGACGGTTAGTTTGGTGTGCGATGAAAAACCAATAAAGTAGGGATTAAACTTACGCAACCGGTGTCATCAGGCCGCAGTCGTCGCAAATATGAACACGGAACGGATCAGAAACATCAAAGAGACGCTCCTTCAGGAAAGCACTGGCACCGTGGGCGATCATACAATCACGTTCCATCTCTCCGAAACGGAGACCACCATCACGGGCACGACCCTCCACGGGCTGGCGAGTCAGAATCTGAGTGGGACCACGAGCACGAGCGTGGATCTTATCGTCCACCATGTGGCGAAGACGCTGGTAGTAGGTAGGACCCAGGAACACTTGCGCCACCATCTTGCGACCAGTGTGGCCGTTAAACATGACCTCGAAACCACGCGACTGGTAGCCGTGCTCACGCAGCAGACGAGAGACGGAGTCGACAGTGACATCAGTGAAAGGAGTAGCATCACCCTCGAATCCACGAAGAGCGGAAACCTTGCTGAGCTGACATTCGATCAAATGGGCAATGGTCATTCGAGACGGAATGGCGTGGGGGTTAATAATCAGATCGGGAACGACACCTTCCCGAGTAAAAGGCATGTCTTCCTGTCGGTAGGTGATACCAATAGTACCCTTCTGACCGTGACGAGAGGCGAACTTGTCACCAATCTGGGGGATCTTGGTGGTACGCATGCGAACCTTGACGAACTTCAGGTCATCGTTACCAGTGGAGATCAACACCTGATCAACGATACCGTTCTCGGTACTACGCAGAGGCGTCGACACATCAATCTTGGTGTGTGCTTTGGTGCGCTGACCGAGCTCCTCCGCATCGGCGGCCAAGGGAGCTGTCTTTCCAATAATAATGTCTTCTCCAGAGACACGGACACCGGGAGCAACGATACCGTCCTCGTCCAGCTTGTCATAAGTACCCTTGCGCATGCCAAGGGTGTCAATCCGCATGGGTTTCTCGAATCTTTCAACAACTTGCAGTCCAACCATCTTCTCAGTATCCGCGTAGGTACGGTAGAAGAGACTGCGGAACAGACCACGATCAATACTGCTCTGGTTCATAATAACGGAATCTTCCTGGTTGTAACCAGAGTAAGTTGCAATAGCGACAATAGCGTTCTGACCGGCGGGCAACTCTCGGAAACGCAGGAACTCCATGGACCGAGTGGTGGCCAAGGGCTTTTGCGGGTAGTAGAGAATGTTGGCCATAGTCTCCATGCGCTGGGAAAAGTTCGTTAAGAAAACACCCATGGCTTGTTTACCCATGGCAGACTGATATGTGTTACGTGGCGACTGGTTGTGATCCGGGAAAGGAATAATACTGGCGCAAACACCCAAGATCATACTAGGGTGAATTTCGCAGTGCGTCCAGGTGTGGGCACGCTGGCTGAGAATCGACCGAACACGCTTGTTGGGGTCGCTGGTTTCGTCTTCTGGCAGAGCGTAGCCGGCCTGAAGCTGGCGAGATATCTCAAGGTCCTCGGGGGTCATGACAATCATGATGGTTTCCTCTTCTTCGGCGTCGACATACTCAACTGCTCCAGAACGTACCAGGCCATCCCATCCAAAGTATTGTTCCCGGCGTTCTTCTGGGCCCAAGTCTGTTGGCAAGTCTTTGTCGGACTCAAGCTTCCGAATGTGGTCCTTGTTAAGGACCAATCCACCCGAGTTCTCACTCTTGGGGTCGTTATCGATAACGAACAGTGGCCGACATACACGTCCAGTATCAGTGAAGATTTTGAACTCCCGTTCACGAATGTCACGAATCAAACTGACTTCGTGGGAGATCATGTTTCGTCGACGCAGATTCTGCATCGTAGTAACAAGGTGCGAAGGGTCCCGGTGAATACCCACCCAGACACCATTGACAAACACCTTTGTCGCGTTGGGTGTCACTTGCGGTTCAAACTCCTCGAGGACTTCCATGTTACGTTGAATCATGAAGTCCACGATGGGCTCGGCAGGTGTACCAACTGTGATGTAACACATCAGTGCCAGGTTCTTGACCAAACCACAAGCTTGACCTTCGGGTGTCTCGGCCGGGCAGACCAGGCCCCAATGAGTATTATGGAGTTGGCGAGGTTTGGCAATCTTTCCATCTCTGCCAATGGGTGTGTTGGTTCGGCGCAAGTGAGACAAAGAGGAAGCGAATGTGTAACGACTCAGCACCTGAGACACACCAGCCTTAGCGGAAGCCGCCTTCTTCTGCTCGCCCCAGTTACCGGTAGCAAGAGCATACTTCAATCCACCGGTCAATGTGCTAGCCTTAATACCAATGTTGAGATAAATTTCGCGATTGGTCTCAACGCATCGCTGCACATAACGCTGAAGATCCTTTGTTACTCGGGTGAAAAGAGTCCGGAAAAGACTTGCCAAAAGCGGGCCAGCCAAATCAAGTCGCTTCTTTCCGAAGTGGTCACGGTCATCGACATCACGGCGACCCAAAGCACACTGAAGAAGTCGGTGCACCATATATCCAAGGAAGAAAGCTTTGCGAGTTTCGCTGCCCTCGTTCTGAGAAATGTGAGGCAGCAATTCCTTCTGCATAATATCCCGGGCGTAGCGCACACGACGATCGTGGTTCAGGTTCGACTGTGACGACCCACGCTTGGCAATGAAATCTAGGGCAACTTCACGGTCCTGGATGACAAAGCCCTCCTCAATACACGGCTTCAGCATCTCCAACATGGGGGTATCGTTGCGGTCATAGCAAATGTGATTGAGGATATCTTCGTCGGAAACGACGCCCAGCGCACGGAAAACAACGACGATTGGAATATCGGCCTTAACATATGGAAGCGTCGAGCGAATAGTCGGGCCAAATCCTCCTTTGGCGCTGTCACCCTTGGCGAACAGCTTCAAAGTAAGCGATGAAAGCATGCGCGAGCCCTTCTCGACTGCACTTCGAATTTCGGCAATGTATGGTGTCGGGCTGGGGGGTGCCTTCTTGAAGACTTGGACGATGTTGCCCGCACTGCGCTCCTGGGCGATCAAAACCTTCTCACTGCCGTTAATGACGAAGTAACCACCAGAGTCGTAGGGGCACTCGTTCCAAGCATAAAGTGACGATTCGTTCAAATCCTTGAGGATACAGTATTTAGATTTCAGCATAATGGGCATCTTTCCAATGAAGACTGTCTCCTCCTTCATCTGCTCCTGGGGCAGCTGCTTCGTTTTCCACTCGAGGTATGTGCCTTGAGTCTTTGCATCGGTTTCGCCATCATTATCATCGTCATCGTTGTTAGGCTTGCCGATCCTCTCACGGCCTTCCACAATCTTCTTTGTGACACCGAGGTAAAGTGGGGAAGCGTAAGTGAGGTTTCGTAGACGAGCTTCCTGGGGCAACATGATCGTGGTCGCGCCATCGCCTTCTGTAACGGATGGGCGCGAAAGCATGACAGTACCAAATTTGAGCTCGTAACGGCGCACAACGATCGGCTCGATTTCGTCTTCGGAGGGGGGAGAGTTTGGTCGAGAACCACCTGGCCTTGCTCCTCCACAAGCTCCTGCATCGTCGAGGAGATGAATTCATCGAATGAGTCTAGCTGCTGAGAGACGAGACCCTTCGAGTCGAAAAAGGACGAAATCACCGTCCAGCAATCCTCGGAGGTGATGCCCTCATCCGCCTCATCGTAAAAGTCCTCCTCGTATGTCTCGTCGTAGTCCGCCATGATTGCGGAAAACTGGGGTTAGATATTGATTAAAATAATGAAGAGAGTTGAAACAGGAAACAAAAAAAGCGCAAGGCGCGTCGGCGTGGGAGCAGCTCCGCGAGAATCGCCCAGCGCGCTGCAACGCCCGCCTGTCAGTTTCTGAAAGTGGGAGTTGTAAAGAAGTCAGGAAGTCAGAGACAGATGCAAAAGGCAAGGCTGACAAACTGGGGGGGATGAATGAGAGGCTCCCCGACAATATTCCGATGAAGGGACTGATCTCCAGACGTTTGGATGCTTCTCTGCCAGGCGCTAGTCTCGATGGGGTGGGTTGCACGTGATTTTGTTTCACCGCCCTTGCAATATTGTGGTCGAAGATGCACGTGATTCCTCCTGGCCGCCAAGGAAACATGGCGGAGATCATGATGAGAGAGAGATTAGGGTATAGAATCATGTATGTTGACAAATTGTATGGATTGATTGTATTGAGGGGTGATAGTTGAAGACGTGTCGCAAACTTGAGTTTTATCGACTCATGCAAGAATGTATATAGCGACAAACGCATTTTATGCGCGTTCCCCGACAACCTTAATCTATGAAACTCTTAGGCACAAACCCATTTTCTCACACTTACAGGCTCTAATTAAAAGCTACTAAATGCCTGCCATCTTTACATTAAAATTCATATATAAGTGACGGGAATGAGGTCTATGAGAGCAACACATTGAACCCGAACGACATAATATATCTGGGTGGAATCTCTGTGAATGTTGGCTCCTAGGTGTGGACCTTTTGGATGTGATTTATTGGTAACAATGATATTATGATACATTACAATTCCGTCGTCGTTCAAACAAACTGCAAAAGAGTGCTCAACATGTCCTTCAAGTCCTTATGGCCCGGTTCATCCTCTCCGAGACCTTCGATTTGTTCTACCCGAGTTAGCTCCGACTATTATAGCGATGTGGGTTACTCACCTTGCAACGTGCCGCGGATTAGGGACAAATCTTCGTCACGGTCCGCAAGAAGTGAGACAATCTTCTTCTTCGCTCCATCATCTTCAGCAATGAGCCATGCCAGAATAACATCAATTGTCTAGAGCAGTTAGCGAACAGCCTTGCCAGCAAAGAAGAGAAATCATACCTGCAATGAGAACAGACCTGCATCCAACCGCCTCGACAACCATTCGCCAGCCATAAGTTCTTGCTCCTCTTTATCAAATGTTCTGCGCTCTTTTTCAATGGCTTGTTCGACAGGTGACACGCGCGCGGCATACTCGCGCCGGAGATTGACGAGCTTCTCGATCCTCGCGTAGTCCTTCTCCATAAACTTGGCCAACGTCCGGATGCGAGTAGCAGAACCACCGGGCAGAAGACGGAGAAGGGAGGCAAATATTCCCAATAAATGTTCAATAGTTTGGCCCTCTTGCTGGATGGATATTAGCACAACGCAATTTCACTGTGAGAGACCGAGCTTACCTTCTTCAGGAACATTCCGAAAACTGTCTTCAGGCCAGCTGCCTCGACCAGTCTCTCGCAGGCTGGTGCACCTCCCACTCCGCCCAAGGCATGGTCAAGAACTCTCAAAGCACGTGGCTTACTGAACTTGCCTTCCTTGAGCATGATCAGCGCAAGCTCAACTCCTTCGGCCTCCACGAACTTGTCTTTCCCTGCATCTTCCTCGACAAGGCAGATCAAAGCATCAAACAGATTCTCGACATATTCTTCCTCGTCAGAGTCCTTGGCTGGATCCCGTTTCCGGTATGCACTGAGCAGCTGGAGGAGGATATCGATCCCGTCGAGCTCAATAAACTTCGTGCGATTCTTTGGGGTAGACTGTAAAAGGATTGCCAGTATTTCTGCGGCATATTGTTTGTTTTGGCTGACCGCCGCTTCTTTTCGCTGAATACGAGACAAGATCCAGGGCAAGATTGCAGCGTCCTGTCCAATTTTCTCCGCATGTGATGTCTGGGAGGCCAGGTTTTCCATTACACCTGTATCTAATTAGCAAATTCTCCCATTTTCAATAAAAACATGATACTCACCTAGCACATAGTATACTCCCGCCCGATCTGTCTCAGAACCTTCATCAAGTCGGGAGAGATTTTGAGCGAGCAATTCGATGAGATCAGCCTCCATCTAGTCATAGTTAGCGTTGTGACCCATAGTATCATGCCACAACATACCATTGCGTTAACAAGAGCATCCCATTGTTCTTGCTCTGCCTCCACATCCTCGTCTGTCAATTCATTGATTATCTGGACGACATCAATTGCAATGTCGGCATTTTCATGCGACAAGAGAGAGGTCAAGGATGCGACGCACCCCATCTTAGCAAATTCCTCGTATAGATCAGAATGCTCAGACAGGATGGACAAGCCTTTGATTTCAGTATCCAAGTCGGCCTCGGAAGCCATGAACCTGCAGCATAATTAGCATCTAGTAAATACAGCTGCTCCGGTATCCACGTACTTTTGCGGATCACTCTCAAACTTTGCTCGTAGTTCAGCGTTCTTGGAGATCTTCTTCTCGAAATTCAATGCGAAGCGACGCACCCACGCAGAGTCGAACTTCTCGGGCTAGATGAGTACTGTCAGCACCTGGACACATATACCGTGTACCCCAAGTTCCGTACCGGAGCCTCGTCTTCCTCTTGCTGATCAATGTATTCCATTGCCTGGGCTGTCTTCTGCTCCATTCCACCGCCGAAGAAGCGGCCCTCCTCGTCATCTGGGACGTCATCTTCGAAGTCTGGAGGGAGCTCGGGTCCAGCTTCACCATCGTCAATTTCATCCTCCACCATGGGCGCTTTCCCCTTTGATCGCACATCCCCACTTGCATCTAATTTTGCTGATTTGTAGACCTCATCTGTTGGTTATCGTCAGGATTTGCGGCCAGCTCGTTTGCGGGGAAAGGGCGTACTTGGATCTTGGACGGGCTCGAACTTGCGCTTAGCGCTACCTGTGGCAGATGGTTTCTTTGGACGTCAGATATGCATTCGTTAAGTAGACGGACTTGGAACTCACTTTAAAGAGCTCATCGACGTTCGTCATGGTTGCTGCGGCTAAAACGCCTGTTAAGTGGACAATGTGAAGGCAACCAATCTCTGACACGCTGGTATATCAAATGAGATTGATTATATGAGAGAAACGTTCAAAGCAGCAGTGAGGAAAATATAAATATAAAGGAAAGGCCAGACGACGCTGTCGCATCGTCCTTCACTACGCGGGCAAAAGTAATACGGTGACCAATAAGAGCTAAAGACGCAGCGACGCCAAGCGTTCCGAGGCCGCAGATTTCTCGACGTCCGATCATCACTCCAACATCAACATCAACACAAGTCCTCTACACTCGTCTCTCATATCACATACAAAATGGCCCCTAACCAGCGCATCGTTCCCTCCGGCTCTCGCCCCCAGAAGGGCTTCGTCAGCACCCTCTACGACGAGGCCACCAACCCCGAGAACAAGACCATTGTCCGCAGCATCGTCATCTTCGGTGTACGTTTTGGCTAATCAGCAATTTCAACATTCCATTGTGATCCATGAAACTGACGATATCTGTTTTAGGCCGGCATCGCGTTCCTCCACTCCAGCTTCGGAGAATTCCTCCTTCCTCCGTAAGTCCAGCCAACCCGACACGTCTGCATCGAGATCAACCGAATGAACATCATCTAACTTCGCGCAGTATGTAAAATCATAACGCCTTTTATACCTCCGGTGATACGACTCGGACTCCCTCTTTTGAAACTGTGGAAGCATATCGGCGTCGGTCAAAGGAAAACATGATGCGTGGGCATCTTTCGCTCGGTAGTTTTTCGATTGGATAATGTGTACAATATTTTATTGGCACGGCATGTACTATCCGACATGCTGTGTCTTGTTTTGAGATTCATGAATATCAGGAATTTTGCCATTTGCCGGATGTCCGGCTGTGGTACAATCCAATCCTTGGTCTATGATAATCACGACTTGGTCCCTAAAGAGTTGGAAGAGGCGGAATTAGGTATCTAGGCTATCGCGCTTGGTTTCAATAGAGCCCATTTCTTCTACATTCCTCGATATTATGAATGTCGACCATCAAATGGATGCCCATTAATTGGTGACTCCAATAAGTAGAGATAAATGTATACATTTCTTGTCTAAAATATTGAATCCATGTGGGGCGCCATTTAATACATAAGGTAAAACAAGAGAGCTATAGCAATCTTAATTCATGCTTGAAATAGAGAGCGATATAAGTTGACATGATTATCTTGGCAGCGCACTATAGTGACATCTATATTCAATCAGGGTACCACAGATCTAGCAGGACCTTCTTCTTCCTCCTCCATTCCCAATTCAAGATGACCCTGGAGATATACGTATTCGCATTAGATACGTAGTGCTACTACCCAATAAAAATCCATGACATTCATATTTTCTCTCTTGTCACCCTTAACACCGATGCAAATCATACGAGCACTAGCCCAGAATATTCATGTACCCACTACCATTACAGCTTGGATAAGTACTCCAGGCATGGTAATTTCCGCCCCATCTAGCGCATCGTCCCCGTCGACACAACCAGGGCACGGAATCGTTAGGTAGACAAACATAAATATTGCATTACATGGGACTAGAACGATTCCGATGTTAGAACAATTTGATTAAACCAGATGAGTGCGTCCCCTTCGTGTCAGTTATTTTTTCAATCTTTCTCTCGGGTAGAATCCACTTGAGCGCCAAAAAAAACCATAGTTAGCTACTCTCTTCAAATTCTCCCAGCGCTTCTCTTTTGGTAATCGCCTCCCTTCCAGCGTAGAAGGGTTTTCTACCTATGACTGAGCAAGTGCCAGAAGAAGCCTAAGGATATAACTGAGACACCGATATAATGAAAGGGTGAAGGCTGTGTGCATGTTCTAAATATAGGTGGAATATAGATCTAATATATATTCGAGTACTTACGCACGTGCCACTATACATAACCAAGTAAAAGGGCTTTTTGCCTATAGAATCGGTCAATATAAAACCTGGGGCCTCTCTATTCTCTATTTGCATTATCTCGTCATAAGGTGTATTTTGAGTGTGGCAATCGGGGGATGAAGCACTTTTAGAGATGCCCAGTTGGAGGGATAGTCCTGGCTGGCCATCAGAAAGTTTCACCAATAAATGGTATTGTGGGTACCGATTGCTCCTTCAGACGTCAGTGCTTCAATGGATGTGATCGCGTTTATTACATGGGTTTACTGGTATTTACTCGGTGAGCCTTGTAAAAGCGGTGCTGAGATGGGAAACCCCAACCCGACGGAACCGACGGACTATGATACTTTACGTACAGTGACAGGTATTTTATGAGAGATGATCAAGATACATGTAACTATATATAACTATATACATTATTGTGGACTTTTTTTTTATATCAACCTTCAATGTTGGAAATGTTATAAATTCGGCCAATTAAATTTTACCAATTTCGGTCTCGAATGGAACCTATGCACAACACGAAGGGTGACAAACCAAATTTGGAAAAGGCGGCGATCTCCCCCAGGGGGGCCAAGACCCCGCAGAGCGCCCCCACATTTCCCCGGTTCCGAACACCGCCTTCTTGCCATTGCAGAACAGCTTATGTTTTGACCTCTCTGTGTAACGACCATACTTTTACTCCCAATCAGGGCCAAATGATACATACATGAGAGCTCATGTCTTCCTCCCCCGGTCTTAAACGCAAGTTGGCAGAATCTCGCCAGGAGCCGACAGCTAAGCGCCACCATCTTCATGGATACGATCCGCAGGCTCCATGGCTACACGAGTCAGAACCTACCGGTATATGGCGGACACGTGGAAATCGCGATGTACAGCACGCGATGCCCCTATCAAATATGGTGTCTGCCGTCCAAGATTTGATAGACCCGGATTTTGATCCACTGACGGCGATGCTGGACGACGAACCCCGGTTTTTAAAACCCCTACCAGCTCGCATCGCCCCGGAGGATTTGGAATTCTTGCGATTTCGTGGTGCTCTCTCACTTCCAGAGAGTGGATTGCGGGACGAGCTTCTTCGCTGCTACATTCAATGGGTGCACAGTTTCATGCCAGTTTTGAATTTGCAAGAGTTCTTACGATGTGTGGCTGAAAATGACCCGGAGGGAAATGTTAGCATCTTACTCTTCCAAGCAGTCATGTTTGTTGGTACGGCTTTCGTCGACCTCAAGCATCTGCAAGATGCCGGGTACTCAACCCGGAAAAGTGCGCGTAATGCGTTCTTTACTCGATTAAGGGTTTGTTTTCCTATAACCGGCTACAAGATTATCCAATTAACGCATAATCGATAGTTACTCTATTCTCTCGACTGCGAAGAGGATCGCATCGAGATTCTCCAAACATTGCTATTGATGACCTACTGGTCTGATTCGGAGAACAGCCCACAGCGAGATATATGGGATTGGATTGGAGTCTGTAACACACAAGCACAGTCGATCGGTTTAAATAAAGACCCTGCATCGGGTGAAATTGATATAAAGACTCGAAGGCTCCGTTCCCGACTCTGGTGGTGTCTGTACTCTCGAGATCGCTTGATCGCCATGGGTATGCGGCGCCCGCTTCAGGTTAATGATGGAACGAGCAGTGTCCCCATGCTCAAACTGGACGATTTTGATTTTGAACCTTTCTCGCCCTATGTGGTTGCCAAGTTCTATTGCCGCCAACTCCAAGATGTGTCACATCAAAAACGCCTCGCCACAATGTTCATCGAGAAAGTGAAACTTTGTCAATGTATTGGTAGGGTATTGTTTGCGCAATATACACCATCTCAACGCCAATTTGGAGCTACAGACCGAACTACGGTCACACTTATTCCTCGACAGGCTTCCGAGTCTGAGTTTGCGCGATGCGGCCAGAAACTCGACTCGTGGCTTAGTGCGCTCCCTAAAGATGCACAATTCATTCCGAAGTCAGGGAAGAATTTCCATGATGGTGAGGATGTGCTACTGCTTCACGGAGCGATGCTACGCATGCTCTACCATGCTACTAGCAGCGCACTTCACCGGCCTTGGACGGGTGCTTCAAAAGATCAATCCAAATCGCGAACGGACTGGCGCAATGCTGCCCGCGTGAAAATGAACGACGCTGCTGCAGGGATCACACATATAATTCAAGGCTTGAATCATCTCAACCTGACAAGGTTCCTACCGCAGTCTGGCGTGACCGTGATTCTACCTGCCGCTGTGGCGCATTTAGCCAACACTATGTCCGATGACCCCGCTGTCCGGGAAAGCAGTGTGGACAATTTCCATCGTTGTATCCGAGTTCTTCATTGTCTTAAGGATATTTATCCAGCTGCCGGCCAAGAGTTTGCCAACATCGAGGCCGCCATCAAGATGCAGGCAGGTGCCTCCAGTACATTCTTTCAAGTCATGGAATACAACCTCGACGCTCCTGCCACATCTTTGGCGACCAGGAAACCAAGCAATGCCAACACCATCTCCCAAGCCCAGCCACATCCACCCGTTAGTGTAACTGAGACTCCCAAGCCACAAGCACGAACCTCATCTACGTCTACGCAAGAGGACATGCATCAAAGAACTCCCAGTATGCTGAGCACACATGAACCTGCGCCACCTTTATTCCCCAATGATTTTGACCAATATTCCGACCTCGGTATCATAGACAATAATCCTTTCAACTTTCTCTCCATCGACATCGACTCCTTCCCCGACATTCAAACCCCTCCCAATCCAACGAAACTCAATAAGCAAGATAAACCCTATATGTCACCACCACCCCAAGACCCAGACACCATTGATTGGGCACAAGAGCTGTTCCAAGACACCGACTTGAATCAGTACAGTAACACAACAGCCTTCCCCAAGCCCGAAAAGACAACACCTCCACTAGATCATGATCAAACCAACCACGATCCGTTCTCTTTTACTTTGAACGATACAGATGACATTCGCTCCGTTCATTCTCGTCATCAATCAATGAATGATGCAAGGCCCGAAATCACCGGCGATCTGGATCGGGATTTGGGGTTCCAGTCTGAGGATGACATGTTCTAGTGTATAACTACAACGAATTGACATTGATATTTGATTGTCTTCGTGTCTCAAATTGATAAAAGGGCTGGTTTTTTATGGAAGAAGATGGAAGTAGACAGTAATTGGTCTACCTTTGTATATATGCACTAGACTACATAAAATGGCCTGCAAGGCATAAATTCAAGCAAAGCAGACACACATTGTATAGCTGTGAAATGGTATTCTTTGTGAATCATATGCTTAGGCTTGAGTGACTTTGTTTGTACACCTGGGCATATAAGCCATCATTCTCCCTCTCTGAACCAACTCCCAGATTTATCCTTCAAGTCGGCCATTTCCCATCCACCATGATATCTCGGCTTGATACCACAAAAAATTTGGTTTTAATGCCTGGTCATGATCTGAAAGACAAGAAAAGGTGAAAGCAGCCAAATGCAAAGCACGCACAATGTACGCAGATGGAAAGACCGCTCAAGTTGATGTCTGTGTCACCCTCCCACATGTTACCGACATCATTGCTCTGCTCTCCAATGGTGGGTCGGAACACTTCTCATCTCTTGTTAATGAGAAGAAACATCACTGAGGATATAGACTGGTATGTATATACAAGTGAAAGAGAGCTTATGAAACAACCTCATACTTGGTCCGCTTTCTTTTTGTCTTGCCCAATCCCGTGATACTTTAAATACTAAGCTGAAAGGATGTCTACGGACTCAGGCCCCATTCCATATATATGTATATCAATTTTTTTCAGGCAGTGGCATCCATTATATACGAGTGGGTATGCCCATTTGAATGGTCTGTTTGTACCAGCCTTTTCTAACGTTTGCTAGCATTTCCTGACTGGCTGGTTGTGCAAAGAAAAGGATTACTCCCAGATTCCCGAAACAGCTGGTTCCTCGGGTCTTCTCTCTTTGAGGAACCTTGTGGGTGGAGTTTTCCAGAGACCAAAAGAGAAATTCACTCCTGCAGCACTTCGTAGTCACACAAATATTGTCAAGCTGCTTCTCGACTATGGAGTCAACTCGATATACTCATGGGACAGAGCCAGGGTTCATAAAGGACTGGGAACATTTTGAGTTGTATTCAATCCAAGACTGGCTTCCCTGGACATCGGCGCTTGCCTGCGACCACGCAGAAGCGTTGGAGGAGTGTTCTACCACATTTGGCTCTAAATAGACCGCTAAAGACCATGCGAAGAATATCCATGCCGGTGAGCAAACGAGACCAAGTTTTCCTTGCCCGCACGCAAAAGAACCTGGCTGCGACAAGACATTTTGCTCGAAAGGGAATGCAAATTCACATGCGACGAGGGCGTATGACAGGGTCAAATAGGTTTGTCCCTTGAAAGATGAGAACGGATGCACCAAGACATTTGCTTCCAAACGTGCGGCAGAAGCACACGTAATGAGGATTCATGGTGATAAGGATACTTCGAGCTCCGAATTCCCTTGTCCGCGCGCAAAGGATCTCAAATGTGACAAGACATTCGCCATGACTCATGAGTCGAGGTGCCGATAGACATGCTGAAGATGTGCATGACCGAGTGAAATGGGCATGTCCCTTGGCAAAGAAACAAGGGTGCGAAATGAAATCCACTGATCCAAGTAATGCCAAACGTCATGCGACGACCGTCAATAGAGATACGACAAAGAAAAAGCCACCATGCACCGCCTTAATATGTCTATATACCTTTTGGTTCGAGGTCAACGTTTTGTCATTGTTGAACATGCAGGAATACATGTTTGTTTGCAGACTGAGCGTACTTTGGATGAATTTTGATGGACAGGGTATCTAAACTCTGAATTATCACCTAAGGCCAACAACTTCTTCTACTTTTACCCCTCGTAGTACTCCACTACAACATAAATGATATCCTTGCACATGCTGACATGATTCCATTTATGACGAGGCGCTCATCTCAAAATCAAATGCAACCTCTTGTACTTGTGGTAATGAAGCTTCCCTGTGCGTGGGAACTGGGACATGATGAAAGTGGTTGGTGTCGCGACCTTAGGAGCTAGTACCAGAATGACGCCTATGAGACCTAGAATGGATTGATTGGCACGATCAAAGTGGAGAAGCTGATTTCTTTTATACAACTGTACTTGTCTTGATTTATGTTTACTGAAGCCCAGCTCTGTCAGGAAGGTGTCTCTTGGGAGTCTATTATGTTCTGATAGCCACTGGACTCAGAACTAGAAAACACCAGAAGCTATCAAAAGCATCGCACAAGATAAAGACTGTTTAGCTATTCCAATTCAGATGATTAACTACATGGTAAATACTCCCAATTCCTCATATTTAGATAGAATACTATGGCTTCCCCTGGTATAGCCGCTTAGTCGTTGCCGTGTGCTATGTGCTCTGAAACTCAGCATCAAGATCGTTTGTTATTCTCTTCACGCGCGTATAGTACATTGCCTGTCTCTTCTCTCTATTTCCAATCATGCTCTTCTTTCCCATACACCAAATGCTTGCATTGACCCATCATTATCGTTTACTGTGATACGCAATCTATGCACGATGAATATCCCTAAACAGAACGTGAGTACTAACATACACGCCCCCTAGCCATGAACACAACCAACCTACATCCCAACAGCTCCCTGTGACAGGCCATGTACTCCGCCAAGTCCGCCGACGCAGCTACGAAGATCCAAACGAACGCATTCCCCCGGGTGTGGAAGAAGTGATCTCACGTGGCTCCTGCCATGTCGGGCGACTAAACGATAAATCAGTCCTGAAATACGCCTCTGACTTCAACGATCCCAACTATCTGATGAGCATCAAAATCGAGTACCGCATTCTGCAAATCCTCGGTCCTCACCCCCGAATCGTCGAATCCAAAGGTCTTGCCGAAGACGGTCTCATCCTGAAATACTACCCCAACGGCACACTCCGCAACTACATCAAGAACCACCCGTACGAGACACTCGAGCGCCGCATCGACTGGTGTGAGCAGATCGTCGATACTCTGTGTTTTGTGCATTCCAAGCGCGTCATCCACTGCGATATCTGTCTGCACAATATCCTCCTCGACGACAATTTCGATATCATCCTCGCCGACTTCCAGGGTTTGGTCATCTCGCGCGAGACCGGCTTGACCATGCTTGATGGATTGACCCGTGAATGCGCCAAGTCGTACATGCCGAGGGAGAATCTCTGGTCTGCGAGTTATCGGACTGATCTCTTCGCTCTCGGATCGGCTCTCTATCATCTCATTAATGGTCATGAGGTTTTCCCTGAGTTGGATAGCTTTGAAGATGAGAAGATCATCAGTGCTCGCTTTGCCAATGGGGAGTATCCGAAGAATGATTATCTCGGTGGTCATATCGTGGAGAAGTGTTGGCGAGGGGAATATGCATCTGCTGCTGAAGTTTTAACTGATATCGCTGAAATTCAGGCTGCTGTGAGGTTTGTTGATGAGGCTTTGAAGCAGCTGGATGTGGAGGCGCCGATCAATGAGGGCGAGTACGAAAAGTACGTAAAGTACGAAGAAGAGATCGAAGAGGGCGAAGAGTATGAAGATAAGGAGGACGGATACTACAAGGATGAAGAGGACGGAGAGTACGAAGACGATGAGGACGTCGAAGTGTTGTAAACAATGAGTGCGCAGGACTCAGATGTACATCGCTGCAAAGTCTCATTCCGGAAGGATGGGATTGAGATGTCTTCAAGGATATCATGTATTCTTATTCTCTATGGAGTTGGCACATTATGTCTAGCGAAAATCAATAACAGCCTCCCCAATATCAATGTGATCATGGCTCATGCTCAGCAAATGTTTAGCAAATATTCTATGACTCGGTGGGTAATAGTATGGCAAGGGTAGACAGTCTATGCCTGCTTCGTCCAGCGGCGACTCTCATCGCCTTCTTCCCACTCGCGCTCGACATAGCCCAGCTTCTTCTTGACTTCCTGGACCTTGGCAGAATCGCCCATGTTTTTGCCCAAATTGTCGCTGAGCTTGACAGCGGGACTGCCGTTCGCGGTGGCGATCTTGATAACAATGTTGAGGGGCTTGGATTTCTTTCCGGTTGACTTGGTAATAAAATCATCTGATGACCTGTCAGTATCTTGCGTGTTGCGGGTTTACGAAACTCAAACTTACTGGTGAAGAATGTTCCCACACCAAAGGTAGGGCTAAATCCTGCCTTTTCGGCAATTGCTTTGTATTCCAGACAGTGCTCAATATCCAGCGAATCTGAGAATACCACACTCTTGGTGTCGGTAATGCCCTGGCTATCGTAAAAGTCCCGGACCAGCTTGACAAAGAACGCTGGGTCACCTGAATCTTGGCGGACACCGGCGTAGCTCTGAGCGTAGGTTTTCGTGTTCGGATTAATGTCACCCTTCTGGTTTGGTACTGAAATAGGCTTGCTGAACGCATCCAGGAAAGCCGGCGTGCCAAAGGTGTCAGTGAGAGCGATTCCAAGAACCTGTGTTTCTCTAGTCAGTCTGTGACATTTCTCAATATTAAGAATTTCAAGATTACATACCCCCTCCCCGAAACAGCCAAGCCAGTAACTCAATGCCAACTCGTTGGCCTTCTGGTAGTCGTCCGTGATAGCCGCAATGGTCATGTACCATTCGTGTGCCACGGTACCGACAGCACCCTTATTGTATTTCATAGCAAAGTGCACATTGCTAGTTCCGGCCATCACACCGGGCCAGCCCTGCTTCTTTCCTTCCTCTGCGGCACGGCATAGTCCCTGCATAACCAGGTCCTGGGTATGGTAGTCGCGGCGACGGCGCGAGCCGAATTCAGAGAACACACAGCCATTCTGGAGCAAAGTGCAACCCTTCTGGTATGCCTTTTCTTCCTGATTTTCGTAGTCCCAGTCCTTGTCGGTGAACATGAAATACGCTTGACTGGTCAGTGCCAGCAGCGGAATTTCATACAAGATGGTGTCGAGCCAGAGGCCCTCGATGATGTACTCCACGTTGCCTTCATCTTCATCACTGCCTGTATCTTGTTCCGGCACGAACTTGATCTTGATATGCTCGGAGGGTCTGAGGTGGAAGGTCTCTAGGAAGGTAAGGTACTCGTCGTTGAGGTAGGGGCACTTTTGACGGAGCCATTCGCGCTCTTCGGGAGTGACGCGAATCACAGCCAGCTCTAGGCGCGCATTAGTTAGAAGCTGTATGATTGCGACAAGGAAGGATATTCTTACTGTCCATCTGCTCCAAAAGCCATTTGTAGGCCCCGCGTTGCAGTTTCATGTGCGGGGTCCGATTTGTGTAGCCGTAGGTCACGTCTGCGTCCAGATCAGCCCCGGATCCCCCCATTCCTCGGTAAGAGCTACTCACAAACATCTGGGAAGTATTTGAGGACCGCGCATTGCATCGTCAGCTTGTACAGATCTGTGTCCAGCAGGGATGTAATGCCCTGTGGCGGGGACGCGTCTTTGCCCATTTTGTTGCTTAACCGGGGGTTCCGGTCTATCAGTGGTAAATCAATGGAGATTTGTAGATTGCGATAAGTTGCAGGGCAATTTGGAGAGCTAAATAGGCGAAAATAGCCGGGTTGTTGTAGTTTCTTTTCTTTTTTTCCTTTAGTTGCGCAATTGATTTACAGCGGGGAAACGCGCCGATATGCCGATAGCTGTTTGTCCTGTTTGCACCCTTTCTACATCCTCGCTATGTACTTGTTCCTGTTCACTTTCTTTATTTTATCTTAGTTTTTTTTTTTTTTTCTTTTTCCTTTTAATGGGCTCATCCTGATTGATGTGCTCATTTCGTGTAAGCTTTCAAATCAAAGAAGGACGTATTGCCATCTTCCGCGACATCTATTCGTACAGGGATTGGCCCCCACCAACGCATTTACCACTCGCTCGGCTATAACGTGCATGTTCGGAGATATGCACGAGTAAAGCCGGAAAGGTACGTTGATTACCGACGCGTCACTTAGTCTTCTCGGAGATGACTCACTCCGTTCAATGTAGGTATCAACTCCCTCGCAGCAAAGTAGAGCAATATCTATGAGGACGTTGAACAGGCTCCTATTCGTTGCTATCAGGATGGTTCGATTCTGATTTGTTTATTATTGACAAAGACATATGTGATAGGAGATTTCCTTTCTGTGTTGCTTTATAAAGACCTGTTCTGACAGCCTGTTGCATTAGCATCTATGTCATCATCTATAGGGATTCACAAGACCATAGCTGGATGAGTCGTATGTGCAGCCAAAGTAGTCTTGCTCCATTATCATTAATTTATTAATATCCACAGAATCAGAGGCCAATAAGTTCATTTGATTTACTTACATATATGTAGTCAATCTACATAACCACTTAGGCAGCTCCAAAGCTTATCTCAACTGCTGACATCCCGGACTATGTGTATCTCGGGCCACTCGGCCTCTCCTTTTGCCCTTAACTCCACAATGGTGTTAGGTCTTACGAAAGGCAGGGGTACATAAACAAATGACCTCTCCTTGCTCCGTTCCTTCTATCCCTTTTTTTCCGACATTAAGCGTCAAAATGGCAACCGATCCTTATCTGCATCTGGTGGAGGTGCTTTCGATGTTTGACAACGCTGATAAATATCAACCATTCAAAGTGATCAACACGACTTACAAAAGCTTTGACGAGGGTCGTTCTCACATCAATGCCGATATTCTCATCCCTCAGACTATATTGACGAAGCAAGAACTTTCAAAATGCCCGGTCATGATACGGATCCATGGCGGATTTTTGGTATGAGCTATATTTGCGCTGAGCAGACTGCGCTACGACCCTTCGATCATGAACTAACCCACCTATAGTTCACTGGTTCAAGTCGGTATCCTGTTTGGTTCGCCAATTGGACATTGGACTACGCCATATCAACAGGGGCGGTTATTGTGGCACCAAACTACCGTTTGCTACCTGAAGTATCCGGAAAAGAGATTTTGGAAGATATGGATGATTTCTGGAATTGGTTACACAGTCAGCAATTTGCGAAGACAATCAAAGATGCTAGCGACGGTCATATTATCCCAGACCTTGGCAGGCTCCTCGTTCTTGGGGAAAGCGCAGGTAGGTCTTCCATGGTAGTATTAAATATGGCGAACAAAGGATCTAACCCGAGTATCAGGCGGCTATCTGGCTATGCAACTGGCGCTCAGTTATCCATCGGAAATTCATGCTGTCATTGCGGCCTATCCAATTCTCGATGTGAAATCAAAGTTCTACACAGAGGCATATCCCAAACCTATGCTTGGAGTGCCCAACTTTCCGAATGAGATTATTGAGGAACACATTTCAGCCATGCGAGCCACGCCCTCGCCCACTGTGGTTACTGCTGCAAATCCCCCAGATCGTCTCAAGCTGGCATTCTCGGTATTTCAAAATGGTCGATTCCTAGAGTTCCTCGGGTCAGAAGACAATCTCTTCCCGATGAACAGAGTTGAGAATCTCGCTGCTGCTGGGAATCTGAAACTGCCTCCAACTTTCATTTTCCATGGGAAACAGGATTCAGCCGTGCCATTTGAAGACTCTCAGCGATTCTCCGATTTAGTGCGAGAAAAAGCGCCCGGTGCAATTATTAAGCTTCATGGCCAGGATGGTGACCATGGGTTTGACTTTGCGACAACGTTGGAGACGGATTGGTTGAAAGACGGATTGGAAACGATCTCAAAGGCTTGGCTTGGCTGCACAGTAGTGCACTAGACTGCGGGAATTGTATGTTCTAGTACGGAGTAGAGTAAGTCAATAATAGTTTGCTAGAAAAATCGCACGTGTTGAAATCTGCCTTTGTTCACTGCGTTCCTTGGAATAGCAGTTACGATTTTTAGACAATCTGCAAAAGAAAAGGGCAAATTATTGCCATTAAAAATGTAATGTAAAAATTAAAAAAGAAATTGTTGTGCATCATCCGTGAATCGAACACGGGCCTCGTCGATGGCAACGACGAATTCTACCACTAGACCAATGATGCTAGTTGATGTAAGAGGGCCCACTATTATACACCAAGAGATCTTGCACTCCTTTTATTTCCAATAGTGTCTATAAACTATTACCTACCTAGGTAGGGCTGTTGTTATGTCTTCAAAATTCAAGCCTTGCTGGATAATTTCGGTTGAAACCCTTCTGTAGTCGCCTATGGCTAAATTTTACACCAAGGAAAATCCATCATACTTGCAGGTAAAACTTGAGATATATATATCTACTGCTACTTGCATAATGCAAACAAATGAACCGATTATTAGAATTCAATCTGTATGATATCAAGCTAAAGAGTATGTAATAGACCCGAATAAACTACAGATATACTGCTATACCTATAAGTATAGCATATACGACAAGGGTCGTAAATATCAATACCACAAGCACATCTGAGATGGAATTGCTCAGCGTCTTTCAGGGTTGATGTTTGTCCCTTCCCTATGTGCTAGGCAATGTAGAACTTGTAACTATGCAACTAAATGAAGATGTTCTTTGCACTCTTCTTCTTCTGTTCAAGCCTCGAAGCTGCCCTCCCTCACCTCACTTCAACGGCCATCAAACCATCAAACCATCCTTCCAAGTTTCACTCCAAATACCTCCATCACGATCCACGTCCATCACGCCCGTCGATCCATTTTTCATTGACTGGAGTGGCCCAAACCTCGAGATGGCCTATGCGTCTCCGGTAGTTGTGCTGAAGAAAGGAGCCAAAAAAAGCAGTCATGTTCGCCATACGAGCAAGCAAACACAACCCCTCAGGCGCTTCAGGGATGAAGATGGCAAAGCGAGCAGTGACGGCAGAAATAGACGGCTATTGGGCTCTAGTGATGATGACGGTGATTTCATGGATGACGGTTTCATCAACCATGACTTTCGGGTTGGGGGGCCAAACCTATGCCCATTACCCGCCGAAACATACGAAATTCAAGACAGCCATCCGCTTTATCCTATCATTGACGAACTCCAACGTCGAATGCTGAGTTGGATATTTGCTGTTCTCCGAGAATTTGACATTGAAGATGACCATATTGACCCTGTGGACGTTGTGGGAAGAGCAGATAAAGACGATTCCGAAGGCATTCCTCAACTGACAGTAATTATTCTTGCAGCACGCACGGTTGTGGACGATACGTGGCTCAATGTGGCTAGAGTCATTCAAGCTTCTCTTCTATCATACCTTCCGATGGTGGCCGTGGAGATTTCCACGGCTTGGAAATTCGTTTTAGGCAGTGATTGGGACTTTTTGGAACTTGCAGTCTTTATTCCACATTACCAGCTGAAAGACAATATTTTGGAACAATTATGAAATCAACAGTAATTTCCACGCATATTACCTGAATATATAGGTATTAATTAAACAGAATGACCGCTCGCTTGTCGTTTACTAGAATTGGAAATGCACTTATTCTCACAGTTGGTTGTGTTCGCCAACTTGCATACTTTCCTCCCTTGGCACTTTCCCCTGCCATACCGCAATTCCAGCTCTAAAACCAAGTGAGATATAATTACATGCACTCAACCACCAGTCCGCTATACTTTAACCTGTTTCGTCTTACAGGTGGCCCCAGATGCCAAGGCAATAAGTGTTACCTACGTAATCTGCAGTCCATAATGCTATCCATGCATTTTTGTACGTATTTTACAGTTGACAGAGAAAGACCCAGGTATTTACACCTCCATCCATCCCTTCTCGTTATCGTCAGGAGAACTCTCCCGGTATGGATGTTTCTCAATCCATTCCTGTGCGCCGATAACTGTAGCGGATTTCTCATAAAACTCGCTGAGCGCGTCGTTCAGCTCTGCAAATCGTTAATCTCCGCTCAACACACCCCTTTGTTTTGTCTAAGAACTCACTTTCGATTTCCATAGGACTTGAAGGCTGCAGGGAGAAGCGGGACATGCCCTCTCTCCATAGTACTAGCGCAGATGGGATAGGAGTACCTAAGCTCATAAGCTTCCATTTTCATTCAAAATCCAACATGGAAAAAACCATACCTCGGGGAATACAGATAACAGTGGGGTCCATAAGAGCTTTCCCATCACTGATCTCTTCCTGGTACCGGTCGAAATCAAATCGCAGCATTTGCTGCATAAGACGAGAATTCGGCATGAAAATTGGCCCATTAGAGTCTGACATGTAGATAGTTAGATTCTATTGCACAAGAACCCGACAGGAATTTACAGACAGGGACTGGACTTCGAGATTGTGGCATGAACCAACCCATCAGCAGATACGTTAACTGCATCCTTCCTGTGGCGGGTCTCGTCTTGGGTCACATCATATAGTGTAGCCTTGCGGTCCAGCTGGTATCGATACATGGTCGCGGGGAATGAAGCATGGGTGGAAAGTAGGGAGAACTTTCGCGCTTGGTTGATGTTCAGCCGGGCGGCTGGTAGCCAGTGAGTGGCGAGCATTGTTCCTAGAGTATGCCGCGAGGTAATGCTGGGGTAGAAGTCTCAAGTTTGCGGTTAAATTAACCTCCAGATATGGAAACTGGACTGTGGATGGGAAGGGAACACGGGCCCGTCCGTGACGTGATAAACATTACGTTGGGACAAGGTTTAAGTGGCCGTTACTGAGCTCCAGTCTCTCCAAAGTACATGGATTTCTACAATTTTGAAGATACATGTATAGGTATATACCTATGTTTATTTCATATTATTCTAAATATTCTCCAGCCTTGGAATATTGCTTCACATGCTTCTATATTTGGAATTTCTACACATAACGTGACGTCAACTGGTATTACCTAAAGGTCACATGATCAACAATACAGTAATTTACTGAGTTTGTTACGCATTACGTATTTGTTGAGACTGCGTTCCCGCATCAGGCGGATAGCCTCCTACCTTGTTTGATCTTTGTCTCCCTCTCTCTGGCAGCTAGCTTAATACAACCCATTGGTTTCCTTCCATAAAAGTATTCACCTCAGCGAATGAAATATTAGTCAAATAGCGTTGGTTTTCTACACAAGAAAGGAAAACAGGAGTTACCATACATAAACTTCATGATAGGCATATGAAGCTACTAACTACTTTGTATATATGGTAGGACCGTAGAGGAATCGTAGATTAATGCAAGTAGACTTGATCAAAAAAAAAAATTGAGTTCCACTATTATTGTAAATAATGATAATAATAAAGAAAGCCCAAAAAAAGCCCAAAAAAGCAGTGACCGTGGATCGAACACGGGACTTCAAGATAGATGCATACTTGCAATCTCACACTCTACCGCTGAGTTACCACTGCTGTTTGATGAATTGATTGTGCTTTGGAACAACTAATGTATTCTCTTCACTAACCCGCTCTTGATATCCTGGGTAACACTAAGTTACCTACAGGCCAACGTCAACGCCAATAATAGGGGAATATTTGGATAAAAGAATACCATAGACCTGGTGAGGATTAAGATGCAAAAATTGGCCAATAAGTTACGAACATGAAGATCATAGAACATGAAAACTGCGTGTAATATCGATCACGTCTACTCGAACTTGTCCATTTCAACTTTGTTGCATAACTTGATTCGGTTGCTATGCAGGTAACATGTTTCAATGGCTAGCAAGTATGATTGAACTGATTGTCTGATGTTCGACGCAGCGGAAGTTGTTATTCTTCTTGTGTGCAATCAATCCGTGCTCGACCCGACGAATTATTTTGGGTTTCCCGGTCTTTATATTGATTAGGAACATCTTGCTCACAAGTTGACATCGGAAAATATGCGATAGACAATATAAGCCTTAACCGGAATGTAATAAAACCACACCAGTGCCATGGTTCTTCCCAACAAGACTTGTCATCTCAATTCATGATCCATCCTTATTTGAGCATTCTCCTCTTCGAGGAACTTTTGCAAAGTCCCAGGGTGCCAGATTGCCCAGATGACCATGACTGAAAACATCAGTAATGCGTCAAATACATATATCGGCCACTCATGCTCCATCAGGTATCCATTAGAGCCAGCTGCGTATTCAAAGACTCGAAAAACGCTCCGAATCAATACCAGAGCACTGAGAGCATAGAGCGTCCGAAGGTGCTTTTTCCAATCAAGTCCTCCAGCGAAAGTCTTAGCAGTGGGACGTCGATACATGCGAATTTCAAATATCACAGATGTGAGAATGAAAAAGCAAAACATCATAACTTGGATGAGGAGGCCGACAACAACAATGTTACTACCCATTTTGGAATTGCTCCCGGAAACCATGAGACCGGCAGCTCCGCCTTGGATCAAAAACGAGAGAACGTCGCCGGAAACAAAGACTTTCGTGAGCCAATTGATGCGAATGAGCGAGTGTGATTCGGCGTGTAGACATCGGATGATACGACCCAAGACCATATAAATAGATGCCGCAAATAGGGTTGGACCGAGGAGGAGGAAGACGTTTTGAATAGCATATGGTATTATAGAGCCTGTATCGTGATGGGCTGCGGCGCGACCGCCATAACCTGCGACCTCAACTATTTATTTTATTAGCTTTGTTTTTGAACATGTCTAGGTTTGGGGTGAACAACATAATCCGCCGATGGAAAATGCCGTGCAGAAGCGCGCTCTAGTCTGTGAAAGCTTCCGGAAGTGGAATATTGTTGCGGCAAGGAAGCAAAGCAGGAAAATAATGGCAGCGGCGATTGAAGGAACATATTTCCATAAATAGTAGCCACCCTTATAAGGTTCAAGTTTTGCCATAATCAGCAAAATATTCAGTCAATGGGCTCGACCAAATACAGGTGGGGTGAGTCTCAATCGCTATACTTTGCAGCAGATTGGTAACAATTGCGGATTTATTTGTAGAATTTGTATGAGGAAAAATGTCTCCTTTAAAAATGTATAATGTTGCTTGAAAGCTAGGAGAGGTTGATCATCTTCACTGTCTCGGTTCGGTGGAGCCACGAATATACTTATACGCGTATAAAGAAGGGAAGTGACTATTTTTGACTTCCCGCCTTCAAGGGGGCCCGACTAAAGTCCACAAGATTGCTCTTGGGCTAGGTTTCTATGCCTTAGAAATATTTATCAACCAGAAGGATGGGAACTTATTTGCACGTTACGATACCAATGATTCGACACAAAGAGCCTACTAATCCTAGTGGACCTCCCAGATTTCCGATAGTATATCCTCCTATACGTGTAAGCAAGAATGGCCCCATATACTAGTGATAGACAGAATAAATAACTTGTCGTTTTGGAGGAAGGCGCTAGTTTTGCATTAGAGCTGCAATAGTGTGTCAATGCCCGACTTATCATTTAAGAAAACAAAACGAGATCGATGTACTTGAGTATAAATTAGCAATAAATAATACCGTGATCTAATGAACTTTACCTTGTATCCGAAGCGCCTTTCGTGTCTATCCTAGTGTTCCGGTATAAAAGTTCTGATTCTTACACTGGTAAAAGGTATACCCAAGAGCTAGTATTATAATAGCATTAAGCAATCAATTCGGGTATGAACTGACGATAATCCGCTTGTTATATCGAGACTGCTACCCAGAGAAAATATTTCCTGATAAAGCTGTGACCTAGTTCCTCGATATTTTCAACTGTTTTTTTCCCTATAACGTCAATGTTCTCCTAATCCATTATATTGCGGTTAAATTGATTTGTATGTACAAAATAGAAAGTCAACTTAACCCGACTTGCGTTGGTTATTTCAGTCTGGTCTTCTATCACAATGCTTATTCGTAAAAGTGGTTGTATTCAGAAAAGAAAGCCCCAAATGGTAGAGGTAGGTAGAGTGACCTAGGTATCTCGTCATTTTCACCTTCACATTAATCCAACCTTCCTATGATTTCTCGTTTCTTACCATCACCTCTTTCTATCACCATGCCCGAAATCGAGTTCGTCCAGGTTCTCCCCAAGATGATTGGTGAAAGAATTACTACATACTGTGACCCCCCCGGACTCTGCTTATTACCCCCCTCGCGACTGGATCATTATCAACAAGCTGGATGAGGAATCGAGGCCTATCACCCAAAGTGACTTCGCTAGTGGTATGGGACCTGCATTCACTGCTGGAAAATATCTTTGTAGGCCTAGTGCTGGGAACGAGAACAAGCTCGCCTTTATGCGTATCTACAAACAAATTCCGCTAGATGGCACTAGACTTGATAGCTCTAGCGTTCGAAAGGCGCAGGCCTCCAACCTACATGACCATGGCCACGTGGAGCTGGACGCCTTGAAGCATCTTACAGAAAGCGGGTGTACTGTCACCCCCCGCCTCCTTGGATATCAAATCGGCAAGCAGGACGCAAACGACCTTGTCCCTGGCGGATATATCTTACACCTAGTATGGGAAAGGGTCCCAGGAGATCCCCTTGATATTGATGAGTTCTGGAGTCTTCCGTACGACAAACGAGAATTCATCCGTGACAAGTTCAAGAAGGCCTACACGTATGTTACAAAACGGCTTGATTATGATCATTGGGGCTGACTAGAATTAGGGAAGTGTTAAAGTTTGGGTACCAGCCGATCTTGCCGTCCCCGTCAAAAATCATACTCGACAAGACCACAGGTGACAGGTGTGTTCTACTCTTATCTTTTGCACTCTCATTCTAATGACAAGCAGAAAAATCTCCGGTTTCAGGCGGGCTGCCCGCGTCGATCCAGACGCACGATGGAAAGACTACAACTTTGCGATGTTTCTCCTAGTCTTAAACTCCACAGAACGGGATAAATACCACCCTGTTATGGCGGAAGATATCAAACATGCTGAAAGCAATGGCTGGAGGTGGTGAGAAGGAGAGTTGATGCGCAGAAGGAACTAGGGGGTAACCCTTCTAGCTTCCTTGTCGCTTGGTCTCATGCGTTTGGTTAGCTAGCTTAAAGACGATACTACCAAGATCTATCAAGAACCGATCTCTCTAATTCCTCCGTATATGACGAAAGCATCACCTGCCTAGGATGGCTGACCACACTTCCCCCGGTCGAATAAACAGCACAATTTAAACATTGAGTTTAGATTTTCAGCCACCTATATGGCGTTTGGACACATCACGCTGTAGTATAAATAGACTGGTTAGCTGGAATGCCCACATGAGCTTATATACTAGTTTGTAGATTCCAAAGAACGGCCATGGCTGCGGTCTGCTCTTTTGGGAGCACGTAGATCTGTAAAAAAAGGCCAATGGTATGAATAGCGCTCAATTGTAGATAGAGCAGGCAACGCTCTAAGGAAGTGATCGAGTTTAGTAATGATGACGGTGCCTATAGGTACAACTAGCTTCCCTCTCCCTTCCACGTTACTCTTCCAAACCTTTCCATGCGCTTAGCTTCTGAACCTGCATTTCCATTCATTGCTTGCCAATTCAGCAAGTTGCGCATCACAGCGAAGTCTTTTACTAGCTGTTTTGCACTTAAGACTGCCAACAATCCGATCCATCTATCTGGCTCTGGATGGTATCAGGGTCATTATAGGCAAGAATATACTAACGTGTTTTTATTTGTTCTTCTCAGATACCTTACAAGTGGTCTTTTAGATGTCTTTTTAGACCTATATGAAGGCGGTAAAAAAAAAAATAAACCACACGAGGGACTTTTCTATGTATGGATAGTTACATAAGGGACTAGGTTTACGTCATAGATAAGCAAAAGGTTGTGCGTTATCAGGAGTAGGTGTGAGTTACTTCTAGACGAGATAGACCCCGGCCGATGATAGATCGTGATGAGCTTGAATATTAATTCCTATTTTATACAAATTCAATGACCCCACCAAATAAAAAGTGGACTCTGTATTTTTTTTCTTTTTGCTGGTATGAAAATTAGGATTATAATAAAAATAGTTTTTCAATGTTCGGTAAGCCGGACGGAACACGGAAGAGGATATCCGCTTCCGAGGAGACCGGCTGAATTTGCTTTGGACATCGCTCACTACAATGGAAGAGGAGGAAGGTTGAACAATGCTCTGTTCAACAGCATACAGAATGAATAAATTCATTATAATTATGATGTCTATTCCCTACTCAACTATGTTCAGTTCGTTTCAACAGATTCTGCGGCAAAGAGATTTCCCAGCTTATCAGAGACTGTGGGCCCGGAACCGGAACGGAACAGGAAGTGCTGCATGCCCCTGCGAAGACGCCAACAAACCCTTTTTTTATAGGGGAGATTAGAGATTAGAGTCTTACTCGTTACAGATACGCTCCACCTAATGCGGGGAAGAAGTAAGAATCTGGGGTTTCTTTTATATCTTTCAATGTGATAGCCATTGTCCAGGCACAGGGCCCAATAATGCCTGTCGACTGTCCCCCCTCCGACATGGGTGAAGAATCAGTGTATAGAAAGATCATTTCGGCCAATATTACGAATATTCCGAATATTCCGAATATCCCGCTCAAAATCTCACCTTTATTTGCATCTTTCAAACAATCATTGCTTCGCTCTTTTTACCTCGTAGTTCTCTTTCCCCAGACCAAGAAAATAGTGGGGCCGGCCATGGCTGTCAGAGATTTCTCCAAACATCGCCGCCGGTGCTCAATGAGTCAACGCTAACTTACAACCAACCCTTTGACAACACCAACATGGAGAAAGACATTGATAATACCAACATGGAAAAAGATATGGAGAAAGACATGGAGAAAGTCATGGATCTAGACAAATCAGAAGATCCCTTCGCCGGAGAAGAGGTCGGTGGAGTGCGTTACAGGACTATGAAATGGTGGTAGGTCGACACACATAATGGTTCTCAGCAAGTCGACGCAGAAAGCTAATCAGATTTACATTCAGGAACTGCGCAATTTGTACATATACCCCAGATGAACTAAATCAAATCATGGACCACAGCTAAACAGTCAATAGTGATGATTGCTCAGTCTGTCTCATTGGGAGTTCTCTCCCTCCCGTCGTCGATGGCAGTCCTTGGTTTAGTCCCGTACGTCTGATGAGAATTCCTTGGAACTTGCTTATAAACTCATGCTAATCCTGACAGTGGCTGTATCATTATTGTTGGTATCGGAGCTTTGACAACCTACACTGGATACGTTGTCGGCCAATTCAAATTGCGATACCCCCAGGTCCACAACATGGCAGATGCCGCAGATATCTTATTCGGTCCCTGGGGTCGTGAGATCGTCAATGTCGCCCAGGTCATCTGCTTCATCTTCCTTATGGGAGCTCATGTCTTGACATTCTCCATCATGATGAACACTCTTACTAACCACGGTGCTTGTACCATCATTTTCTGTCTGGTGGGAACTATCCTCTGCTTCATCCTGACCCTCTCAAGACGTCTGGAGGAAGTTTCATACCTGGGAATTATCTGTACGATAGACCTCTTTTCTCCTGCTGAAACTGAAACTAACAACCATTAGCCTCGCTATCAATCTTCACCGCCGTAATGATCACCATGATCGCTGTTGGCATTGAGGCACCCGATCCCAGAGCATACGCCATTACCAACCCAACTCTGATGAACGGCTTCTCCGCTACTCTCAACATAGTCCTCGCTTATTCCGGCCACATGTCATTCTTCAGCTTCCAGTCCGAGCTCGCAGATCCACGTGATTACCCCAAGGCCCTGATTGTCTTCCAAGCAACAGATACATCACTGTATCTCGTCACTGCCCTAGTAATCTACCGGTACGCCGGGCCGGACGTCCTTAGCCCCGCCCTGCTGAGTGCAAGTGAACTGGTTTCGAAAATCGCATTCGGCATCTCCATCGGTACGATTGTCATCGCTGGCGTGGTCATCTGCCACGTCGGCGCAAAGTGCATTTACGTGCGGATGTTCCGCGGCACGCATATGATGAGCGAGAGGTCCTTCCGTTCATACGGTACTTGGGTCTTGATCACTTTCCTCATGTGGACTATCGCATGGTTGATTGCAAACGCGATCCCCGTGTTCAATGATCTGCTCAACATGATCGCCGCGGCATTCTGCAGTTGGTTCTCGTTCGGTCTGGAGGGTCTCTTTTGGTTGAAGATGAACCGTGGACAGTACCTTGCGAGCAAACGGAAGATGGCTTTAACTGCGCTTAACGTCTTCCTTGTTGCACTGTGCTGCTTGATTGTAAGTTTTGTTCTTTTTGATTGATGAGAATTTGATGCTAATACGAAATAGTGTGGAATGGGTCTGTGGGCTACAGGAACGAGCATTCGGATCAATGCGCAGTCTGCACACAAGCCTTTCTCCTGCGCATCCAATGCCTAAATGACTCTTTTTGTGCCTGGTCTTCACGGACTATTCTTGTAGATTACATGGCTACCATACATATTTAGAATGTACAATTACTTGCTCAAACGGATTTGTTCATAGAATTCAATATTATTCAATGATCCATAACTCAAATTTTTGTTTTAGCTGTGTATGTTCATAACCGAGGATCTACCGGCAGAAATGGAAAAAGAAGTAAATGCCCTTTTACGGAATATATCGTTGTCTCACTTTGGAAAGACTGGTTCAAGTTTAGGTAATCCATCGTGTGGGGACATTAGTACTTAAGCGGGACTCGGGACCTACCTAGGTAGGTAGGTACTCCTAAGGGGTAAGAGCCTTTAACCGCTAGACTACGGAGTAGAAGATCAGACATAACAAAAACGTCTGGTTGTCTCTGCATCGGAATATATGTTGGAGTACCTATACATGACATACAAGTTTGACCGACTGAGCCTTACTTCGGATGGGTTGAACAGGACTCTGGTCTCTAACACATGTTAGGGCCTACTATAACTATATTGTTATAGTGAATAAATACTACGGTGGGGGAATTATTAATGTTTCAAACTAACAATCCAAGGTTTATATACCCCTGACGAGATCCCCTGATTTGGAATATGATTCTAAAAACCGAGGGGGTCAATGCGGTTGCGCAATATTACATAGGGGCTGTGGTGAACTAATACTATATTCTATATTCTGGGGTAGCAAATGTAAGTGTGTGATGGTTTAACTTTTATATATACCTACCTCCTAGGTAGGCTCAAGCCGTTGACCTCACGGACATAGTCTTGGCTCTGGGCCCTGCGCCACGGGCCGAAAGGTGGGACCTCGACCCTGATTGACCCTTTGACCCTGCAGAGCCTACACGCTTGGCGCTTACTTCGTACTTTCGGACTTAATGAGTTGACAGTAAAGGAAAGGGGAAATTATAAAAATAGCGTGGTTAGGCGGGGAGCCGGAGTATCCGGGCACCTCTGCACATTGCCAGTCAGCACGGAGATTGGGTAAGACATGTGGGACGGTGATAGGAGTCTTTTCAAAGTCACCGTATCCGTACATTAACACAACTATTTTTTTTTAACGAATCATTTGATTGAAACACACCCCGAGGGTTTGGCCCCATCCATTTCAGGGGGTCCCACTTTGTTTGAGGGACTCCAATGAAAGACAATGGTGAATGCTTCGCCTCGTCCAGGCTGAAACATTTGCTTAATCACGTTCCTGAGGTTCCTTTTCTTTAACAAACTCCACCGGCCAAGAAAATCAACTCCTTGGCTACTCTCGGCACCTGCGGTTTACCAGGACGATGAGGGTTAAAGGTGCTGGGCATATAGCCATACTGGCTTTGCGCATTCTACCGCTTGCCAGTCATGTCTGCGCGATTAACCTCGATGTTAACGATCAACGTAAGGAGTGGGATCGCGGGGGAATATATATTCTCCCTCTGATTTCGAAGAGCTGAATTGCTAATTACCATGTTCTTTTTTTTCCCAATGAGTAGAATCCATCAAAGATGCTGGAAGTATCGCGACATACAACATGATGACATGGTACAAAGAAAATGGAACGGATAACCCGGGTTTTATCTCAAGATCATGGTGGACAGGAGCCGCATTATTTCTGGCTTGTCTCAACTATTGGCACGCGACCAACGACACAACCTATAACGAGGAGGTCAGCATCGGAATGCAACATCAGGGGAGTTCGACCGGAGACTTTATGCCCACGTGGGCAACAGGCATAGTAAATACCCCGCTTTAGGATCTGAAATCGCATCGTGCTAACTCTTCCATAGGGAAATGACGATCAAATGTTCTGGGGCCTCGCGGCGATCACAGCAGCGGAGTATAATTTCCCGAATCGACCAACGGGTGATACTTGGCTCACCCTTGCAGAGGGTGTTTTCAATGACCAGAAAGATCCAGATGGCAAAGGGTGGGACACGACTGTTTGCGGAGGTGGTATTCGCTGGCAGAAGGAGCTCTGGCAAAGTGGGTTTACCATGAAGAACGCGGTGTCGAACGGTGGCTTTTTCATGCTCGCAGCTCGTCTCGCTTGGTTCAAAAAAGAGAAGGGATACTCTACATGGGCGGAGAAAGTCTGGGATTGGTCTACCCATGTGAATCTGGTCAATGATACAACCTGGGCAGTGGCAGATAGTGTCCGAGGAGGCACTGGAGGTCCTGATGGTTGCAGTCTTCCTGACAACACCCGATGGACCTACAACTATGGTACCTTTGCGTCTGGTGCTGCATATATGTATGCCTACGTGAGTATTGTTTTTTTTTTTTTTTTTTTTTTCTTATCTGTTTTGACATGCTAATACTAAACCATGCAGACGAACGATGCCAAGTGGCTCAATATCACAAACAACCTAGTGGACGCAATCTTTACTACATTTGCCCTACCCCAACACGGAGGTGTGATTACAGACTGGAACTGCGAAGCATCGAGCCGATGCTACTTAGACGCCAATGGCCCACTTTTCAAAGGCCTTACGGTGTCCTGGCTTGCAGATATCGCATTGATCATCCCCGAGCTTAAGGAGAAGATCCTACCAAAACTCCAAATTTCCGCTGCAGGTGCTGCAAATTCATGCACCGGCAACAACGAAAACCTCTGTGGAAACCACTGGTACGGCGGATATGATGGACAGAATTCAATGGAGAACGCGATTAGTGGGAGTCAGATCATGAGTGCTGTTATGCTGAAATTCCTGGGCGCATCCTCAAAACCAGTGTCAACTGCCACAGGAGGAAATGGCACAAGTGACCCGAATGCTGGGACGAGGAAAACTGGAGCGCCTGCGACGTTGGCACCTATCACGACGGCAGACAAAGCAGGAGCTGGAATCCTGACTGCATTTTTCGTGTGTGTTACGATAGGCGGGTTGGTCTTTTTGTTTATGGACCCCTGAGCTCTGCAAGAAAATGGCCGAAGCTGATGGGCATATGTATATATTTGGAGTTGACATTAATATTTTTTTCCTGTTTATTTGTATCTTGTGAGATACAATCCACCAGGAATAACCAGCTACACCAGTCAGACTGGGACTCATTCCGGTATCTTGCACGTAGAGAACTCAAATCACCCAGTCAAGTAGGCGGAGCATAAGGGAGGGGGAGGTAGCGGTATTGGAAGGGGGGAGAAGGTTTTGCCGTGGACATCCACAGATGTTTGAACTGTATAAATGACCGTATGAGCACGCAAGTTGGTTTTACTCGAAAAGAGGAAGTTAGGTTGATACTCAATGACATGGTTTGCATTTGAATAAGTCGATAAAAAGTCGTGATGATATTGGAATCAAGCTATAGTGACCGCAGAAGACCAGCACAATACTTACCGAGATTGAATTCGCCTTGCGTACATCGTGAACCATGAGTATGGTTCTCAACGGACGCTGAAGAGACCATAGGAGTGCAGATCCGAAAATCGCATATGGCCTCAGCAGAAAAACCTCATGGGCATGCCAGAAGTGAAAAAAGAACTGTAGGCTAGAACATAGGCAAAGGTCCGTCCACTTACTGCTCATACTAACACTTCCGAGGCAGTAGGTTAGAACATAGGAAATAATCCTCGTTCTCTTGCTGCTCGTACTTTACATCTTTCCGTACTATGACGGGCGATGATGGATATGAGCGGATCAACGAGGGGCAAAAGTCGACGCTGTGTATTACTCGCCGTCACAAAATCGCAAATACAATATGGCGCAAGTGACTTGCGCCTCCTCTTTGCCAGTCCTTTTACCGCACTGGTGGCGGGTGATGAATGGCTGGTGAGAGGTTACATGAAGGGGCGCTGGCCACGCTTCTAGTTTCTCATTATCGCAGCATAAACAGAGCGCAGTTAACTATCTTATTAACATGACAGATATTGGCCACGGGAAATGCTTGTGATCACCCCCCATTCGGGAGCTGCTTTATCACGACACGAATCTTCCGGTTGCCATACATCATAGGCATTGCCTGGTTCATCGGTGTTCTAGCAGATTGCAAGCTTCTCTGTAACATGTTTTGCTGATTGGATTTCTGGGCCCATTGGCGTCATCAGTGAGCCCTTGAGAGGACGAAGCCTTCTGTCGGGTTCAAAAGAAAGGTAGGTGCCAATACATCCGACCAACTAGACACGAACGGTGTTCGAAATATTCGAATGCACGGCATTGATATCTTCACATCAATGACTCGTGGGATATGAGAGATCTCTGGAAAAAAGAAGTGCCCAGGGGGTTTCCCAAGTACGTTTTATAGGTGGTCTCTCGGGTGTTCGGTGGAACTACTTTCCGCGGTGGGTCAGTCTCCCCTCCCCTAACCTCCTGTTCACTCTGCTATTCACTACTACTTTCTCCCGTCGCCTTTTGCCCAATGTGTTCAAGCTATTCCTATTTGGTGCCTAATATCTGAGTATTTGACCCACTTGACCCTGACCGAACTCGGCAACTTTTCCGTGACCGTATAGCTGCCCTTTAGAGTCCAACGATCAACGACATCTCTATATTTGATATGCATGAACACAATCCGCCTTGGATGTCTCGCTAATAGACACCGGTAACGAATAACCAGTAGTTCTTCAATCACTATGGTATCTCTATAGTATTCTTTCAGAGCTATCATAGAAAACACAATGAACTCCTCGAAAGAATGGACCGGAAGAAAAAGAGTATAAGATGATTATCATTTGAGACATGCTCGATCAACCATGCTACTAGAGTGTAGGAGGAAGTGTCATTTAATTAATAGGCTGCCTTGTTGGTCACGTATCGGTGTCCAAGCTCGTTGGAAAGATGTTAGTGCGAGGACTAGGCCGTCAATGCCATCCTCCATGAATACTACTCTACCCAACTCGTAAATGCAACCCTCATTATATGTTAACCTCTGTTTAAAATTGAACACAAAGCACCATAAGGCCGCCTAAGAGATACCGTATATATAGGACCTCATCTTTGGGGTAAAATTCCAGTACTGGTGTATCCCACGAGCCTTTGTCGTAAAAACATAACTACAGGTGTGCACCCGAGAAGATCTTCAACACCTATGTAAGGTGTGTAAGTTATTTAAAGACATAGCCACGCCACTCTTATGCCGATCAATCAGACTACACAAGTCACAGATAACCGGCGAGAACTGGGATGTGTTTCGAAATTCATCCTCCGAAGAAGGGGGCTGGGTCATATCTCAAAGAACTGGAATCGAAAATATTTCAAAGGGCTCCATTAACAAATACAAGGGTTACGCGCATGCTTGGGCCACGCAAAGGTGTTTTTATAGAGTCATTTTGAAGAAAATGGAGCATTTGTTGAATATTTTCATCCTAGCTCTTAATGATTTCCACATTGGGAGGCGTGCACTTGATGAAACAGCTGAGGTTAGGGAGATACTAGCTCGGGGCTCGCTAGTTTCATATTCCAATGATTAAGAATCCACTTAATGGATCCCTCAAGTGTTGCTAGTAGTTAGGTCGGGTCTCTAGGCAGCCACCTTGATGATTTTCCTACCATAAAATAACATCCCATACTTACATTAGTTACATGAAGTTACATCAAGTTACATTAATTATATATTTATCACTCCACCAGAGAGGAAATGGTTACACCCCCCGTAGCTGACAATTAAGTAAGCAACTAATACGATCTGCACGAGTATTAATAGTCTTCTCGTCCCCCTCATCTGACGTTTTCTAAATTTCGTACTTTGACCAAAATGGCTCCATCTCTCCCACCTCAGTATGAAATCCGCGTTCTTGGACCAGAACATGAAGAATGGGCCCGGGCAATTTGCATTCATACGAATCTATTCCACTCCCCGCTCTGGCCGGTTGTGTATCCCGAGAACAAAACCCAGCGAGTCTACCAGAGTTTCCGACATGCGCACTATTTAATCAAGCACCAAATCGACTCAGGAAAGTCCCTCGGTATCTTCGACAAAGAATACCAATTCAAACGACCCGAATCCGCAGCCACGGGGGGCAAACTGTACTGGAATCTAGAAGATGACAATGCCACCGAAAGCGATCTCGCAGAGCAAATGGACTTCCCACTAGTCTCAATTGCGATGGCCTACGATGGGATCGACGAGCTAGACACGGATAAGATAAAACCTCTGATAGAAGCACTCCCCTTATTCGAAACAGTCTACCATTCCCTCGAAGAACGTGACCAGCGCGATCCTGCGTCGTGGAAACCCACTGCCCGTGGACAAGTGCTGATGCGCAACGCTACCAATACCCTCCAGTCTCATTCTGGTCATGGGCTTATGAGAATTCTGGCTGAAGAGATGATGAGACGTTCGGCGGCTGAAGGGTACCGGGGTATCCAGATTGAAAGTGTTTCTTATGCTGTGCAAAAGGTGTGGTCGAACCCGCCGGCTCCGTTCAAGGGGACTATTATTGGGCAGTTTCATACGACCACGTTCGAAGAGAAAGATGCGTCTGGGGAAGTTTCGTATCCCTTCCGACCGGCGGATGTGAATATTTCCAAGATTTTCGTTGACCTTTGAGTTGAATAAATTTAACTGGTTAACTTCACCAATTACACTGATACATACAAGATCTAGCATGTAGATGGTAAATTATATGAGAGTACACTGTAGGCGTAAATTGTGACATAGCTAGAGTGCTCCTGGATCATAAGTTTCTGTGCACTAAATATCAATGTGCCCTCCATCCAATACAATGTATATGTTGAGATACAACGAGATAGAGCAGACAGTCTAACTATATTGAAGTCTCTAACTGTACTGGGTAGGGGAAAAGAAGCAGAGGGGGAGGAAGCTATTTGTAGCTGCCAGTCCTGTCAGACAGATTCAGGCGATCTCAATAATATACAAACACCTAGTACGGACTAGGAGTAGCCGACTTGAAATATTTCAACAGGACTTCCTTCTCCTTGGCACTGGAAGTGATGGGAATCTTTTTCCAGGAAGTGCCCAAATCAAACTGACTGTTTTGCGAGGGAACATTAGCCCCCCAATACGGCAATGTCCCATTGGTGCTCGACCCTCCCTTATTGGGGTTCTGAGTCTTAACGAAATTGGCCCAGTAAGACGACATCTTCTCGGAAACCTCGTAGTCAGTCTCGCTGTAGCTTGAGGACTGAGCATATAAGTTACCCAGAGCATACACAACCTCTGAACCATGAGTGGCACCACTACTTGAGGGATCGTAGCTCCACAAGTAGTAGTAAATAGGCTGATCGGAGGTCTTGCTCCATCGGTTGGCGAAGGACCAGGTGGAGGTGCAGTATCCCGCACGCAAGATGGCATTGTAGGCATTCGTGGCGGCAGCGGTGGTGTTGGCCGGGTGAAGAGCCAGGAGTCCGGCGGCATAGTCCCCGTAGATTGCGGTGATCTCCTCTTCATACTCTGCCACGCTGTAGGATGCGGTCGTATTGATGCCGTCCTCATCCTTGTTGTTACCAACCAGGATTGGTACGTTGTTCGCCGCTCCCTCCTCCAAGCTAACGATGTACTTGTGGGGAATAGAGTGATTGTTCAGTACTGGGTCAAAGCCGGTGAAGTCGGTGGTACCAGTTCCGGTCAACACAGTCGAAAGGTCCAAGGCTCTCAGCTCTGCCAGACTGGAAACATTCAATGATTCATAGAAGGTGTTGCTGAAATCCAAGGCCCAGGACATATTCCGGTAGTCACTGCCGTATCCCACCATATTCGGGTCGTATGGGTCCTTGATACCACTTTCTGCGATAACTCCCTTAATCAGACCTTTGGAGAGAGGACTGTTAAGGATGTGGTAGCTGGCTCCTGAGCCGAAGGATTGTCCAGCGGCAGTGATGGCCTCGGGGTCTCCACCGAACGTAGCAATGTTCTCATGAACCCATTTGAGAGCAGCAATCTGGTCTAGCAAGCCGTAGTTGCCCGTCGCGCCGGTTTCCTTTTCCAGCTCAGGCAGAGTGAGCCAGCCCAGGGGTCCGGTGCGGAAGTTGTAGCTGACAAAGACGATATCTTTACCAGCCATACCAGCACCATCATAGGTCGACTGAGAGGATTCGCCGCCTGCAGCATACGACCAGAACATGACGGGTAGTTTGGCATTAGCCGAGGTAGCGGGACTCCATATGTTTATGGTGAGACAGTCCTCGCTGTAACCGTCACCAGCCGACTGGCTGGGGCAGCTTGCTCCGAAGGAAGTAGCCTTGTAGGTTCCGTTCCAAGATGGGGCAGATTGGGGTGGTTTCCAGCGGTATTCGCCGGCTGTGGTGCCTGCGTACGGAATACCCTTCCAAACGGAGATGTCCTCCCAGTTGGAGATGGTGGACGGTGCACTGCTGCTATTGAAGGCAGCTGCACCCTGCAACTTTCCCTGGGGAATCTTGATGGTCTGGTCGTACAGGGCTGCGTCTGCCACGGCAAGCAGGGCAAAGATGCCAGCCCCGCGGGCGAGGTCTTCATAAAACTTCATCTTCCCAGTGATGTAAGGAAATGGTCATGGATCGAATGGTAATGGTTTCTGTTTAAGTATACATTGAATCCGAAGGGGTGTGTTTATATAAAGTAGAAACTTGATTAGCGGCAGAGTGCCTAGGTATGAGAATGATAAAATTGAGACGATCTGAGGACCAGGTGACGCGTTCCCACCGTTACGCTCTATTATTAAAGCTGTGATGAGCCGCAGATCACTCGGTGTGGGGGAAATTCAAGGGGTTGATCTGATAAACCCGAAGCGCTAAACTTCAATAGGTAGTCAGTGCCGTTGAAGTACGCATCAAGTTGTAGAAGAATAGTTATGGTCTGACGATAAAATCCTGAAGATATGTGGGACTGGGCTCGTACATGCATTACATTGTCTGGCTTAGTTGTATTAAGCTATGACCCTGCTGTATGCATGTGGTTTAAATCCGCAATATTATCCTAGCCTTACAATAAGGCCGGTACATATCTTTCCCGGGCTGAGGCCAAGACACAGAGCGTTTCAGAGACATGGTACGATGCAAAGAGTTTATACCGTAGTTCAGCCGAGGAAGCTAGCGCGTGAGGAATGATGATGATCATACTTTTTATCTCGTCTACTGCCGGATCTATAAAAGGTCTACCATTTGTTTAATAGTGGTGGAATTTCATCTGCCCTTCATGAAAACCCCAATTGAATATAAACAATAGTTGATTCAACTGTAATTCGTTCCATTACAGTTGCCCACTAGGGAAGTTTAAAATCAATTTAATACTTCTTCAAGGTACTGAACCATGACCTAAAGAGGGCGACCTTCTTGCTAAATGCGACAGGGATCTGGCCCCATCCATTTCCAACATGCTGAACGAGCTCGCTCGAGTTTACGGCAGGCCAAGAAGTCAACCCATCACCGTTAGGGTTTCCATTCTTGATGAAGTTGGCCCAGTATCCATTCATCTTCTTGGCGATGGCATAGTCCTCTGCAGTCCATGAGTTGTCGGTAGCATAAAGGTTGTTTAGGACATAGTTGATCTCAGACTCGTGGTAAGCACCCTGGTCCTGGCCAGGAGGAGCGTGATCCCAGAAGTAGTTGTATACCGGGCTATTGTAGGCCTTGTTCCACATCTGAGACCAGAGCCATGTGCCAACCTTGGAGCGGTCCGTGAACTGGGAATTGTATGCTCCAGAAGCAGTAGTGTTGTCATATGCCGGATAGAGACGAAGGAAGCGCTGCACCCAGGGGCCACTGTAGGTCTCGTTGAGGTCTGTCAGGTACTCTGACATGGTGATATCCAAACCATAACTCGCACCACTTTCATCCTTTGTGTTGCCGGTGATGACAGGCACATCTTGAGCTAACTTGTAGGTTAAAGTGTTGTAGTAAGTGTCAGGGATGGCGTAGTAATCAAGCGTGGCCGAGAAGTCAAAGTTCGAACTCAGGAAGTTCGTGACCAGGCTCGCCATAGGTAGTTCACGTGCCTCAGCAATACTAGAGACATTCAGACTCTCTAAGTAAGAGCTCGCTGTGGAGTAGGAGGAATCAAGGGTCGCGTACGCCTCAGCAAGGCTGGTACACAAAGGATCATGTGGATCCCGAACACCACTTTGAATTATAGCCCCACTAATCAATCCCTTGGTCAAGGGGCTATTTAAGATATGCTGAGTTGCAGCAGACCCAGCAGATTGACCCATAACAGTGATGTGATCTGGGTCACCTCCGAAATGGGCAATGTTGGCCCTGATCCACTTGAGGGCAGCGAACTGGTCGAGCATACCCCAGTTTCCAGAGGAGTTTTGTCCATTTCCAAACTCCTCAGTAAGTTCTGGAGAGGCCAGCCATCCAAAGGACCCAGTACGGTAGTTGTAATTAACAAAGACAATGCCCTGGTCTGCCATCCCACCACCATCAAAGAGGGCGTCTGCCGCAGTCGAGAGAGCTGGGTAACTCCACATGACCACCGGGAGCTTAGCATTGGTGGAATTGGCAGGACTCCAGATATTGAGGTTCAAGCAATCTTCGTCAATGGTGTAGTCGTTATTGCCATCAGTTGCTGAAGGGCAAACATTTCCCCAGTTTTTTGCATCCAATGTCCCATTCCATGCGCTAGCCGTTTGGGGGGCTTTCCACCGGTTCTGGCCTCCAGTCGTGGCGGCGAATGGGATGCCTTTCCACACGGTGATATCCTTCCAATGGGTCAAGTTGCCGGTGTTGGAGGCATTGAAAGCAGGGTAGCCCTGGACGCCTCCATACTTGGTTTCGATGACGGTATTGTAAAGTGCGCCTGAGACGATGGGCACTATGCCGCAGATGGCTGCAGCAGTAGATTTATAATGCATGGATAATACCGGAATTCCTGATACAAACGAAAGACGATGAGAAGCCAAGAAAAATGAGGAAGGTTGAAGCTGTTGGATGGCCGGGGACTTTATACTTCGATATTTTCAAGGAAGTGCAAACGGCGATCGTCGTAATCTGTACCAGCACGTCCCATTAGAGCCCCCTGAAAGATCCGCTTGAATGTTCCAAGATTATACCGAGCCACATACGCGTTGTATCCCCACCGTCCACTTCAAACAATTAAATCTTAGCGTCACACCTTATTTAATTGTAAACCCAAGGAAGCATTAGAAACCGGATGTCCGGAATTTACCATGAATCAGAAGCAGAAGAAGCCAGCTATTCCGTATTGTAGGCAATAATATGTAGATCTTCTGATCAACTGAGATTATCACCGAGATATTCGGCCTTAAACACCGAAATGGGTATGTCGACCGACACCCTCGGAGTTAAACGAAGTGCCAACCTTGGAAGGGGTTTCAACGTAGTCGTATCCCCTTTCCGGCTTCTATAGACTTTGGCTGATCTTGCCTCGTGAGACTGAATCTATAGGTGAAGCATGAGTATGTGCCGCATGGTCTAAACCGACCAATAATCTAATCATTCCGCACTAGTACAATAGCGCCAGAGGTATAAAACTCCTTAGGGACCAGTCTAGTTTTCATTGACAAATTCTATCAGTGCGCTTTCCTCGCAAGTCTTTTTTATTCCTTTATATATCCCAGCATGCGTTCATTCATTACATTGGCTCTCTATCTAGGCGCTGTCGCGGCTTCCGAGCTCAAGACACGTACCCTCTATCAGTTCTCCTCCAACGACACCTGGTTAGAGAACCTAGCCATACGATCCAATGGCAACATCCTAGCCACTGAGATTGGTCCTCCAGCCAATCTCCTGTCTTTCGATCCCAGCGAAAAGCATCCACGGAAGAAGGTGATTAAGGATTTCACCTCCGTCCTGGGTCTCTCCGGTATCACCGAAGGTGCCCACGATGTCTTCTACGTGACTGGAGCCAATACCACATCCGATAATATCCGAGATCCACCAAAGAATGCGACTCACGTTTGGGAGGTCGATTTCACCAAAGACAGCGACAATCCGAAAATCAAACTCCTGTGTCGCCCTACGGCGCCCACCGGATTCAATGGCTTGGCAAGATTCAATGATACAATTATACTTGCTACCGCCTCCTTTCAAGATTCCATCTTCGCAATTGACACCCGCACCGGTCGTACCTGGGAGGCCATCAAACAAGAAAGCCTCATGTCCTCCATCAATGGCATCAAAGTGTCAGACAACTTCCTCTACTGGACCGCCAACAGCGCCTTGTATCGCGCAAAGCTATACCCCAACCTCACTGCCAGCACGGGACAGCTGATCTACGAGGGCGGCGCGTTTGATGATTTCGCTATTGCTCCCAGTGGTTTCGCCCTTAACTCGACTTACGGTGCCAACTACAAATTCGCTTACCTTTCTACCTCTGCTGGAAATACAATCGAGCAGGTTATCTTTACCCGCAATGGGACTGCCATTGGTAGTGAGATTATTGCCGGGTCCGAGGACTCGACGGAAGTTGCTGAGCCTACGGGTGTTTTCTTCGGAAGGGGTGAGGGTCAATTGAATAAGATCTATGTCACCACCGGTGGTGGTAGTGGTGTCAACGTCGATGTGAATGGTACTGACACTGCGGTTGGTGCACAATTGCTAGAGATCCAACTTAATTAGATTAGAGAAGTTCCCTGTACTATAGAAGAGGCGATATTAAGTACTTGGATAATGGAATGTACTGTCTTTGAATTTCAATATTTTACGCTAATGGTTTTATGATGAATACCCCGTGAGACAGTTACATACCACCACAACATCCTGACCACTATTGCTGAACCCGAACCCGAGATCAGTCATAAAATCGCCCAGGAGCACAATCTTCCAGAGACTCCCGTGCCGAAAGATTTCTTCCTGGAGTTTCATCAGGCCTGCGCCCAACATCCTCGACCAGACAACCTCGACAATGGCCGTGCGAGCCAGCGGAAATCTACAAACTCCACAGTGAGGGCTTTAATATCCTTCTCGGTATAATATTTTCGCTCGCTAGTCGGCTTTGACACCTTGTTACATATGAAGAACCAGCCACACTTCGGGCCGCTAAAATATTCGGCTTCCCTTCTCACTGTCTGGATGTCGAATCCTCGACCAGAAGGTAACGCTATGGGAAACACCCCGCGTAAAAGAGCCTAAACATTGATATGAACGGTTCCTCAGGATCCCAATGCTGTAGTGGGTTGCCTTTAATAAGGTGATGTCGCGCATCAGATATCCGATTTTTCTGTTTACCGTCTGCGCCTATCACTATTGATCCGTGGTAGACACTTCGGTCTAAGCATATGACGTCGATCCCGTCACCATTTTGTTTGATAATGCTCAACTTCTTATTGCCCAACTGTCTTTTCTTTGAATCACGGAAAGAATGAATGCAATGGATTACTACCGCTTGCTACAAGAAGGAACCAGTCCTTGCCTCATACAAACTAGAAAAGCAGGACATATAGCGACAGACACGTTCAAAGACAAAAGAAACGCCCACAATGCATTATATCTTGAAAACATCATGCTTCTTCGTTGGCCCATCATCCATACCGCATAATCTCACACGTATTTTCGTTACCCGATCTCGTTCGCACACTCGCCCTGTACTCTCCGTCCCAGATGTGGACCAGCATTTCATATCGGCCCATTTTGGTGGTATTCAACACCCGGTTGAGTAAAATGCAGACAGTGGAACCAATCAATGTCCCACAGAGCAGTCCGAAACGACCACAGCATTGATAAAGCGCGGAAAAAGAGAGTGCAGAATAACTCCCACGAGCTCCCCGGCACTAGGAATCATCAACACCAGTGTCGACAATAAATACCGGAAGAACCCCCCATTCGACACACAACATTGAGCTTCAAATAGGAAAAAAAAGAAGGAGAAAAATAACCCGAAACAACCAGAAACCCCCGTGGAATGGTAATGGCACAGCCATAACACATAGTCCATCTCAAATCTCCCAATCTCCCTCCTCACCCTCACTCCCACTCTCATTTCCACTCAAACCCTGACTCTCATACCCAGAATCAGACCAGCATCTCGCACCAGGCGAAACAGCATATATCCCTCGTCCGGAGTGCTTGTCGCAGGTATAACCAACCAGCACAGTCTTTTCCTGTACTCCATGGCCACGCTGTCCATAAGCAGAGCAAGGGTCGATAGAGTGCTCGAAGTAGAGGCATTTGCAGACAGAGTATCGTTCGACAACTTTGTAACACATTTCGTATGGTATATGGAGTATCGGGGTAATGGGTTGATGGTTGAAGGATGGTTTGTTTGTTTGAGACTCGAAGGGGAGAAAGCGAACCAGCCGATTGAATGAACAGAAGTAGAAAATAGAAAATAGAACGGACAAGTGAAGAAAAGCACGCTGTCTCGCGAAAGAATGACCCGAAATGAAATCAGAGGGAGTGACTGGTTTGACAAACTGAGAGGGTTTGTATATAGAGGGACTAGGCGTTATATATGCAATGATCATAGGATGGATATGATCCATAATTATGGATATATAATATAATATACCCACTGTAATAATAGTATAATCATATAATCTTATAAAATAATAAAATAAAATAAAATAACATGTAGATCCAAGGCCATATCCCCTCAGCCCTATGGGTTGTAGCCCCAGGCAGAAACCAAACGGGGCGCGCCCAATCGGCTAATAGGGCTGAAGAGAAGTGTGAATGATACTCCACCATGTAGACAGGGACTGGACAGGTACTGGATATCTACATGCTGTCTCCATGGGTCAAGTCTAGCAGAGTATCCATTTTTACCCCTCCATGTATGGTAGTGGGTGACTATGGAGGATAGTGGGGTGGTGATGCAGAGTAAAAAGACCAGTCCAGTCCCATCCCCTCAGCTGGAATGTTCACCTCTCTGACTCTAAAAGTCTCACTTGGCACAGTAATAGTAACAACAGTAATAATATCACTAAAAAATGATCTACAAAGTGTGGCAGGGAAGTAAAGACGGTGAACCCATAGTGAAGAAGGCCACCCCGCGATGAGCAATTCAGTACAGCGAGTCGGTGAGCCACAGGCTGTGCAGCCACAGAACAGTAAGTGAATACCAAGATCACTGATTATCACTGGTTATCACTGGATCCAGGAATGACGGATCGCGATATAACTGGCTAAAAGACGTTCGATCGTCAATCCAAAGTGCCCCAAGTGGACATCGGGGCGTTTTTGAGTCAGAGAGCCTCTAACACAGCCCCCCCTGTCATTCCCACGACTACTGCGGCTTAATGGATATAGGGCTGTTGACCGCATATTGACAATTATATTTCCATACGAATAGTATCTATTCTCTTACAATTTTGTAACATTCAAGCGGTGACATTTTGTGAAAGTTGTGTTGGAGTGGAACTAGGCGCCCGCATTCAGCTGCTGACGCTAACGTTAACCGAGTTGCCTATGTATGGAGAACCGAGTACGAAATACCAATGGAGTAATTCGTAAGAACCGGTTTTTTTTTTTAGCTTGACGCTAATCGCTACGTTTTCCCCGTTGAATGGGCGGAGATACCTTGTGGGTTAACCGTCAAAGGCCGTAGGGCTGAGGGGTCAAGCCCACTTGCTGATGATTGCCGATTTCGGTAATCGGAAGGTCGAATTGGATACTTAATTCGCATTACATTGCAGATACACTGCTGCTACAAGATATGCAGGGAGCCTAGGTACTGGCTCTGAAAGGATTAAGTGGCATAGCAGGTCTGATATCGTACAGCGCCTGTCACAAAGACAAAGCGGGGTCCCGAACAAGTAGTTATTGTGTGTGTGTGTGTGCAAGTGGGCTAAGCTAAAATCATTTTCCCGGATTAAAAACACCCATTTTCAAAACTAGGCCTCCATCTCACTCTAACGCCGTAATTTCAGATCGATCCCATTGCGCTATGACTCAACCCGCGTGCCAATCCCAGTCGGAGCATCTGGAGGATATCCTCGCCCTTGGCAGTCTCGGGAAGCCCGGCACGCCAATCCCATCCGCGATCGGCGGCCTTGTCGCCTGGCGCGGGAACCAGGACGCCCGAACTGCCTACAGATGTAGGGCCTGATCCTGAACCGGAGCGTGTGCGCGCTGACTCGAGCATGTCGTTGCCGATGAAGGCGAAGCTGGAGGCGGAGAAATTGGACACGGATTTCTTCAATAGCGCGCGCGGGGAGGGGGGTCCATCTAGTCCCCCGCGAGTTGATGCTTGATATTCAAGCAGGGTAGAGCGGAAACATTCCTCGCACTGTGCGTATACACGGGGGGTGACGGTTTCCAGATCCTCGATGGCGGACAGGATGGTAAATTGTTGAGATACAGAGAGCACAGCAGTGGGTTCTGGTTGGGGGTTAGTATTAACGAAGAAATTTGACGTTGTTAGATTGGGAGACTCACGATTCACAAACGCACAAGCTTCACCCAGCAGAGCGAGCAGTCCATCCACCTGCACAGCGGAATCACGGTCTGGGTCATAGAGACCTCCGTAAATATTATCTGCCGCACTCCCAATGACAGCCGCAAGGGCTTGCGCAGCGGCGCGTCGCCGAGCCAACGGCTTATACCGTGGTCGCTGACCCTCTTGCAGTTCGAATTCCTCGTCGCGGATCTCATAGAACCGGCGCAGCGTCGCGTAACCACTGAGGTAGAACTGGAGAATCCGAGCAGCTTCTTCGTCGATTTGGGCAATGGACGATAGGCATGCTTTGGGTTCCTTCATCAAAGCGCGCAGTTGTTCATCGAGATCGGCCGTGGCAGGGTACGCGCGTGACTGAACCAAGCTGTAGGAGATCAAAAGATCGACAACTGACTTGACCTTGCGTCGGCTCTGGGCACGAGCATAGCAGACGAGGGCTAGACCGAAGTTTTCGGATTTCGAAGTCAACATGTCACCGAATCGCTGTCAATAAATTAGCACTAGGTCAGATAGTCAGCAATTCCCTTCCATCACTCACCTCAGATACCCGACGCCCTTGATCCTCCAGCTCAAGTTCCGAGCAGAGAACCACTAGTTTATCCAACTGAGCAGGGCTTTCCAAAGGAAGCTTATCCACGATCTCGGATACGGCCTTCTTCATCTGGTTTGCATCGTCGAAGCGGCTCAATACCTCAATAGCCAGCTCCCAGCCTTCACGGGAGCTGTGTTCGTTCTCAATAACGGTTCGGTCATACAGCCCGAATGCGTAACTGTGGAGAATATCGTCCTTGTGCAAATGGCGAGCCGGAGACTTGCTATCCTGCCCGTATGAAAGAACCATAAGATCATTCTCAGACAGACCAGGCAGTGTCTTTTGGCTGCTTGCAGACTCAAACCAGCCTCCCAGGCTGGCAACTTCTGCGACAGCGGAAGCTACGCAAAGTGACCATGTCTGCACTAGCTCCAATACACCCTGCACGTTGCCTTCGAAGACAGATGCAAGGCCGACCTCTACGCTGCTGAGTGTATTGGGTCGGAAATCAGCGTTGTCGGACGCATCGGTGGTGGTGTGGCTCAGGGCTAGTTCGAGGCGGTCGAGGTAGGCGCCACGCATGTTGCGATCAACAGCGCGAACATGGTTCTTTGGGCCACGCGAGCGCAAGAAATCTTGGAAGTTGTCGCTGGATGAGGTAGCACCAAAGTCCATACCGGAACCAGTGTCATCCTCGCCATCCCACCAAGCAGTCAAGGCAATGGTGGCCTCCACCCAGTCTTGAGACTTACCCTTGATAGCAGATGGGTCACCCAGAATAATTCGGTAGATAGATCTCAAGCTCTGGTAAATTGACCATGGGACACGACTTTCTGCCATGCGAGCCGATTGAGCGAATGAAATTGGGTTCTTGTTTGAGTTAAAAGTGGACAAGCCAAAGTTGACGGCCTGGAAACGATTCTCTGGGACCGGCACAATTGATTCATCCCGCTCCTCTCCCTCGGCGAATTCCTCCAGATCAGTAACAGCCGAAAGAACGCGCTTCCGGTATTGAGACCAATCCATACCAGTGACCTCCCAGTCTTTAGATTGAGTCCCAGGGCATGATTCTAGAATTTGAAGAGCCTTGTTGATGCAGCGCTGGATGTTTTGTAGTTGTGCGCCGCGGTAGCCAGGCTGCGGTAGGCCATCCTCCAACGCTGATCGGGCGTGGTTGAAGTCTGCGGAACGGAGAACATCTGCGGCATCAGTCAAGCGACCACGCAGCACAGAGGCAATGATAATATCCCAGAAGTTCGTGGATGCGGTCGGGTTTGGTTCCACATATTTCAATGCTTGGAGATCCTTGGTCTGCGATGCGTGATTTTCGCTGAGCCAGTCAAGCAAGATCTGGGGTAGAGGCTTAGGAACGGGGGGTCTTGTCATGGCTTTCACCATACCAGCAGCTCCGGTGCGCATGGGGTTGATGTGGGCAGTCGAAGGTGCTTCACGAGGAGGGTGGTGGATTTGGAGCAGCAATGAAGCCAAGAAGGTAGCTTTGACGAGGTTGGGGGCCTTCTCCCCGGGTCCAATTCCAGAATGGGCACCGTAGGGCCGGTCAATCCCACTTTCATCGGCGAAAGTCTGCCAACTCTCTGCCAGTTCCTTTGATACATTGGACAATACAGCATCGAAATCGACGTGTTTGAATTCGGCAGCTTTGAGCTCGTCGGAAAGTTTTCCCAGGGCATCCTCCGTTTTGAGAATCATCTCACTTGGCTCTGTAACAGGGGCAATGCGGGATCTGGCCGCAAGGTTGTGAAGAATGGATGGCATCGCGGACGGCTTTTTGGGGGCTAGGTTGGTCTTGCGGACAGGCGACTGGTGCGCCCAGTGCTCGTCAAGCTTCGGTCGCTTGGCATCGCTTGGATTCGAATAGATCGGTTTGCGCTGCGCACCCATGGAGGGCTGGGATCCAAAGGGGTTCCCGAAAGCCGAGTCTAAGAAGTTGAAGTTCTTAGACCTATCCTGGGTGCTCATGTCCATTTCCTCTTCAGCTTCCTCTTCTTCGAGTTCCTCCGGTTCCATCTGGTCTTCCTGCTCTTCATTAAAGTCACTCATTTGTGACGAGGCAAACCCATTAGACTGTCCGAAATTCATTGAATCCCCAAATCCGCCTCCGTTGGGCACACCGAAGCGAAGGCTAGAGTTGGCTGTGGGCTTGAAGGAAGGGGCTTTAGTCTGCTTGGGCATGGCATAGTCCGTTGATCCAAAGGATGACCCGAAGATGCTGTCATTTGTGTTGATGTTACCGGATTTGGTAAAGACAGAGTTGGAGAAGTCATTTCTCGAGAAGGAGTTCTGGTTTGTAGAGAATGCGCTATTGTTTGTGGAGAAGGAGTTGATGCGCGAGCCACCGTTGATGTTGGATGTAGAATGTGGTATGAATGACCCTGCAGAGGACGGCGGCGGGCCAGCAGGCGTGGTCGACACATTGCTCCAGAGACTGCGAGAGCGATCTTTATCTGGAGTCTCAGGTGGACTGGACTCGTAGGGTACTTGGAACGACATCGCGGGGTGGGGTTGTTCAGGATGAGAAGAGACGGGTTGACGGCATCAGAGGATGCAAGTTTTGGGCCGCAACAGCTCTAAGAACTGTTAGATGGAACAAACGACAATATCAATCGACAAAGACTGATTCGCCAGGCAGCGAAGAAGGTCGATGCAGTTGATTGTTTGTCGGAGAAGTTCCCTCTTCTCCAGAGTTGCTTGTTTTTCTTGCCCTTCACTTTCCGCTTCGACGCGACGGCGAAAGTTATCAGGCATCCAGGCATCAAGAATTTGATCATGTGATATTACTTCAGATCAGTCACGTGGTTTGCTTACTCATACAACTTTTAAGCCTTGAAGATCGGGCTAAAGAGCGGATGGCCATCACGTGGCCACCATGACCATGTAGAGACGTTTGAACGTCCACGGGTATACTATCATCAAAGGCCATACCCGTCGACAGAAAAGTGTCTTACACAGAATATATTTCAAATGTCTTTCCATAACCTTCGTATACAATCAAAAAGACCCTTAAAAAGACACATATAAACGAACATCTCAAACGAGATGACAAGACTGGGCCGACTATTCAAAGGTTATATAGGAAAAAGTCTCTTACACTGAATATGGTTTTTTTACCGCCTTCATATACAAATGAACAGAGCCTTTGAAGAAAAACATCCAAAAAACCAGCAAAAAGACATGAGAAGGCCGCATAAGTGGCCGGCTAGAGGTTATAAATAGAAAAGTCTCTAGCAGAAAGTATGCTTTTTTCCCGCGCCTTCATATATGTTGTACACCTAAAAAAGACGGGAACATCTAATTAATTATAGGATGGATTGGCTATACCTAATTAGGCTTAATGCGGAAGAGCTTACGATTATGTGACACTCCAGACTATGGACCCGAAAGCCTTTCTGCCTAAATACTTTTGCCAAGCGTCTCTATTGATCCGTTGGGGTGGTTGACGGGGTAGGAGTTGTGCCAAGCCAGGGTACCCCTCTTTAAATTGGCACAACTCCTACCCCGTCAACTACCCTGCACTGCCAGGATCATCAGGCAGGGATCAGCAGTCGGGGGCCAAATCCCACGCATCTGATTGCATGGGGGCTCACGAGGCACACTTAATAACCTCAGCCTTGCAAGGATGGACTCGTATAATACTTGTTCGAAGAGGGCTGAGTCTCTACTTGATCTGAGAATTTAGATATATAACGAACTCACTGGTCCCCAGCTCTTAGGAAATAATCACAAATGATCACAAACCTACTCCGAATGATACCATTCTCAAGTTCATCACATCCATCATGAATCCAGCCGCCCAGTATTACATCACTCACAACTCCAAGAGCGAGAACTACGATGTCAGCACAACAGACAAAACACACCTCTACCACATCGACAACTCTACCTTCACAATAGGAAAACCAGACCTGACTTTCCACCACAGTCCTGACTCCAAGGGGCCCGTTGTGGGAGTGTGTAAGTTCCGACACTTCTCCTCGGACTGTGAGATTGGTCTAGCGGACCCGGAACGGTTCAACAAAATGAAGTGGGAGTACCTGCACAAAGAAGGCTTTATCTTTAAGCGCGCATATTGGTTTCGCATGGAGCTAGACGATGGCACAAAGCAAAGTTTCACCTGGAAACAAACCAGCTCACTTGGCAGTGGATCTGGAAACCATAAACTAGTCAAGGAGAACGGTCAGACCGTCGTCGCGGTGCTTTCATCTGGTGGCATCTTTTCAAAGAAAATCGACTATGGCTACTTGGATATCTACTCGAATCTAGGGCCGCGGTTCTACCTTATGGCTCTTATCTCAGGAATTGCCGTAGTCGAGAGGATCAGACGGGCGAAACCAAATGCAGCGGGGGGAGCTGCCGGGGGCTCTTCAGCCGGTGGGGGAGGGATTTGTTAGGCCGAGGAAGTCTCATTAATAGCACATAATTATAAGGTCACAGACTCACGGAAATATTGGACGACACTTGCGGTTTATTTAGCGTTATTTTAGCTATGAGAAATACCCTTAGCGCAACTGCTACATTCTCTTAAAATTTCTTAAAATTGTTTAAAATTACCGAATACAACGCATATTATCCAATTACTTCGTAATTTGTACAGTAGAACTGACTGAACGGTGAAATGAAAAGCTCGCTCCGAATGTCCAAAAGTAAAGGAGGCAGTGCATGCGAGACAATGTTTCAGAGAGGACAAGCCTTTTTTTCGATGGTTTGATCGACAGGGTTTGATTATATAATACTATTATACTACGGGGCCCGAGGCCCCCGAATAGATCGAATCCTGTTGCCTACCCTTAAAAAGGTAAAAAACAACCCTAAATATCGGGAATTCAATAACCTCGGTTTTTTTTCTTCTTTCAAACTATGAATCCAATAACCACATGACTATGGCGCTCCGACGACCACATCGGAAATCTCGCCACGGCTGCGTGGAATGTAAGAGGCGCCGAGTGAAGGTATGAAAGAGAAAAGAAAAAGGTGAAAATAGCCCACTTATCCAATTATAGTGCGACGAGTCCCGACCATCTTGCAACAACTGCGCCCATCGCCACACCGAGTGTGAGTACGGGTCGTCATCATCTCTACTGTGGGCAAATGATGGGTCCGATAGCGGACAGACAGGCGAGCCCGTATCGGGCCTTCGTTCACCCTCGAGTCAAACCACAGGCGCGGCGGCCGCAGAGTCCCTCGGAATCCTGACCCAACTCAGCAGCGAAAATGCCACAACCCCAGCCGGGTCCGCACTGAACCTCAACGACCTAGAGCTGATGATACAGTGGTGCGACACGACCTTCCAAACACTGTCGCGCAATGAGCGCACCGATCCAATCTGGCGCACCATCGTGCCCGAAGAGGCCCTCTCGCACCCATTCCTGATGCACGGCATTCTGGCCCTGTCATCGCTTCATCTTGCTCGAACAGGACCGGAACCGACCCGTCGAGGGTCATATCTTAATCGTGCTGTCGCGCACCAGAATCAAGCGCTGGCGCTGTTCCGGGAGATGCTGGGTGACGTGAATGAGAGTAATGCCAAGGCGATGTTTGCTTTTGCGGGAATCGTGGTTATCTACACGTTTGCATTCCCGCATACGCCCGGCCCACAGGATCCGTGGGAATGCGTCGATGACCTGTACCAGGTTCTTGTTTTGACTCGCGGTGTGCAGCAAGTTATCTATGCCCCGCGGGATTTTACGAGTTTCCTAGTGGACAGTTCTTTCGGTCCGATTTTGCAGATCGAGGAGACCCAGGGTGTGATGCCCACGGACACGATTGCTATGCTGAAACAACTACGCGAGGCGAACAAAGCCTGCGGGGCGCGAGATCCGAATCATGAACTTCAGGTTTACGAAGGGTCTATTGCAAATCTCGAGGAAATGCTCAGTTGGTGCTACAGCGGGATGAGAGCAAATACGATTGCCGGGAAGTGGGCGATCCGCTTGAAGCCTCGGTTTATGGAGTTGCTGCGCGAACGAGACCCTTTGGCACTCGTTATGCTAGCGCACTATGGCGTGCTCTTGCAATATTTGAAGCATCGCTGGTGCTTTGACGAGTGGTGTGTGAGGGTCTCCAAAGCCGTGTGGGCAATATTGGACGATCAGTGGAGGCCGCTGATCCAGTGGGCCATGAAAGAGATCCTTGGTGTTAACTTTTTGGAACAGGTTGGGAGTTGACATTCTGAAGCATTTTTCTGTTCTATTCATATTCATATTCGTATACCCAAGTTCAAAACGCTGAAACCGCAGGAGAAATTCCATAACAAAAACAAATGCAAAAAACAATTCGAATCTCCACCTGAATCTTCCCACAATAATCACAACAAATTCCGATCCGAACCCGTTAAACCGCGTTGGAGCCCTCCATGACCTTCAACCCACCCATAGCCGTGACGACATTTCCCCTTCCAAGAAGATAATTCACCTCGCTAGGGTGAATGATCACCAGAATGACCATCATCGCAAACATCAACAATCCATCAAAGACATAAATGAAAACCTCATGCTCCATGAGATAACCATGTGTGCCCTGCACATACTCTACGACACGAACGACGGACCGAATGAGAACAAGGACACTGGACGATTGCAACGCCCACATATGCTTGCGCCATGGGTACTGGTCCGCCACCGCACGAGCTTCAGCGTGAGAGCCCAGACGCTTCTGGAAGATGAGCGACGTGAGCAGGAAGAAGCCGAAGAAGACAATTTGCACAATGAGGCCGCCGATGATAACGTTCTGGCCGGTGCTGACGGAGGATGAGGGGTTGGTAGAGTTTGCACCGGTGACCATGATTCCCGCACCTGTGAGAGTATATTAGCATTAAGCTTCGAAAGACCCAATCGATCTAAAGCGATCATGAACAGGCAGAGGGATAGGAAAGCATACCAGAAGCCTGCATCAGGAAACTCAACACATCACCCGCGACGAAGATCTTGGTCATCCAGTTAACCCGAATCAGGGCAAGCCGCTCTCCCTTGACCATAATGATAATCCGACCCAATTCCATGTAGATACTGGCAGCGAAGAGTGCCGGCGCAATGAGCAGCAATGTGCTCTGCATAACATAGGGTCCGATGGTCCAATCGGGTGACTGCTTTGATGACATGGCGCGGCCAATATATCCAACTAGCTCGACTGGGAGGTATGTTAGTACTGGAGATATCTGGGGTTTGTTGGGGGTAATGGATATACTTACAGTATCCGCCAATCAAGAGCGGGATGAAGAACCATGTTCTCGTACGGAACAGATGGAATGTGTGCATTAAAGTGACAATTGCAAATAAGACAATGAATACCACTGCAGCACCCATTGAAGGGTAGTAGTCATAGGCGATCCAGCCGGCGTGGGAAGACATCTTGAATGTAGATTGGGTAGGTAAAAGGCAAGGCCAGGTTGAATTGAATGACTTGGAAAACTGAATCTAAAAGGCCACTCTCTCCACTCTTATATATGTTCTAATTCAGAATTTTCCTCTAGATCTAAAACGGGGTCTAGGTAACCCTTGGAAAAAAAAAAATTCGTGGAGTTATGGAAAGGAGATTCCGTATACTCGTACCTTCGTAATCTTGTCCCGATAAGGATAAGGTGGATACCCACTAGTCCTAATTAGGATCGTAGTACGAGATACGAGAGTTTAAAATCTTAATTATTTTTATCAAGTGGAGACTCCCGTGGACCTTCCAAAAGATAAACGTTGGAAGTGGAGATGAATCCCATGGATGCTTGTTCGTAACTCATCTCGTATAGAGGGGCTGGGAATTTAATCTAAACCCAAATCTACAATTTCGCCTTCTTCCCATTTTGCAGCACATACCGATATCTCGCCTTCCCCTCATGCATATCCACTAGCGCCTGATTAACATCCACCATATCCCTCTTCTGAATCCAAGGCAAGACCCTCTTCTCCGCAGCCAAAGCCAACATAGCCCGAATATCACTGGGGGAACCAATATTGGACCCAGTGACCTTAACCCCCTTCTGAATAAGACTCCAAGCCATAAGCGGCGGCAACGCATCCTCCGGCGCTCCAACCTGCACAAAGGTCCCATCCCGCTTAAGCAACCTCAAATACTGCGCAAAGGGCATATCATGCGCCGAAACCGTACACAAGATAACATCAAGCGAACGCGAGTATTTCTTAGCCCACCCCTTCTCCTCACCCGTAGCAATAAACCCATCAGCCCCAAGCCCGCCAACAGCATCCGCCTTCTTCCCAGACGACCGCGAAATAGCAACGACACGATCCGCCCCGAGAGCCCTAGCAAATAAAATCCCCAAATGTCCCAGCCCCCCAACCCCAACAATCCCAACCGTCTTCCCAGGCCCAACCCCGTACTTTCTCAAAGGCGCAAAAACAGTAACACCCGCACACAGCAACGGCGCCGCCTCAGCCGAGGGAAGAGAATCCGGAATCTGGAATACGAAATGCGCAGGTCCGCGCCATTTATCAGCGAACCCGCCGTATGACTTCGACTTGTCGCTGTATCGTCCGTTGTATGTGCCTGTCATACGGGCGCAGTAGGATTCCTCGCCGTCGGCGCAGGCTTCGCAGTCTGCGCGTAGACAGGCGCCGCTCTGTGCGCCGATGCCGACGCGATCGCCGAGACGGATTGCGTCAGGGGTGGAGTTGGATTCGATGGCGCTGCCCAGTCGTGTTACTGTGCCGATTATCTCATGGCCGACTACGCAGGGGTAGTCGGTGGGGCCCCAGCCTGAGCGGAGGGTGTGGATGTCGGTGCCGCAGATGCCGCAGTGGGAGATGGAGATTTCGACGTCGGTAGGTGTGAAGGGTTTGGGGGTGTAGGTTGTGTATGTTAGGGGGCTTTTGGCATCATGGGCAACCCAGCCTTTGAAGGTGTCTGGCTCTGCGGGAGGGGACATTGTTTGGTGATGGTGGTTGCGCTGTGTAGATGTGCCGAGGTAGGTGTTTTGCTGTGTTGCTGGGGAATGGAATTGAGTAATTGGGAGATTTTTGGTAGGTTTCCTAGGGTGTAGAATTATAGAAGTAGGTATTGAATTTGATTTGGTTATGAGGTTGAATGGTTTGAGGTAAATGCACAAAACAAGCTCGGCATATGATGCGGAGAAGCCGCAGGCCAAGTTACCGAGGTCCATTTTTAACTCTGGAAGAGGCATACATTATTAGATTTATATTGATCGTACGCGATTTTGAAAAAGTGACTCCATATTTACATGCACTCGCTCCAAGTATGTATGTACAGTGCAGACTAGTGGGGGGTATCAATTGATTTTTCACCGGGCCACGCCCATGAGATCGTCAAGCTCATCAGTGGTGAGAGTACTCCGACGCCGATTTGCTGGCCTGGAAGCTTTCTCGGGTCGGCTTCTCTTTCGTGATTCGCGCTCCTTTTGCTCATTTTGAGCGGCACGGGCCTCGTCTTCGACGGCGGCCAATTTTTGGTGCACGCTTAGTGATTCGTGGGATTTGAGCTGTAGGGCGAATTAGTCCTGGAAATATCATTGGGAATATCCTGGGAAATCATTCTGGTTGCATACCTGATGGGGTTCCTTTGTTTCGGTCTTTCGCCTGGGTGGCCTGCGGGTCACAGTTTCGACTTTGTAGGCTTTGATTTTAAGGGTATCGTCGTCGGTAGTGTCCACACATGGTGAGCCTTGCAAACCTGGCGTGAACGAGACCTTCCGGGGACGCTTTGTCATGGTGTTTTCACTGCGTTCCCTCAAAACACGATCGGGTCGCTCGGGTACTTTGCGAATTTTGGACCTCATCTTCGGGGGATTGAGCATCTCTGGGTCTGGTGCTTTCTCCTCCTGTTCACTCATATCTTCCTCCTCATCTTGGTCCTCCAGGATTGTCGGGATGGGATTGGACTCTGGCAAGCTTTGCATGCTCATGTCCTCGGTTGAGTTAATGCTGAGATCGAGATTCATGCCGCGCTTCAATTCATCCGCTTGGACAGAATCTCCCCCATCCGCAAGACGGCGCTGCCACCCACCCATCATGGTAACTGCCTGCTTCCACCGGGATTCCATCTTCACCCAGCCTTCTCGCAGTCGTTTGATCTCTTCGTCTCTTATCTCAACCTCTTCAAGAGGCACGAACGACGGGTTGGTAAGCAGTGTACGTAGATGCTCTAGCACACCTTCCATGTGAGCGGATAGTTCTTCACACGAGCTTGGAAGCGAAGTAACAGGCCCCGCAGAAGACTTCTGAGCTCCTACGCTCATAGCCATACCCGACTGCTCATTCTCGCCATTCCCATTTTCAGCTTGCGTCAAGCCTTGTAGATCTTTCAAAGTATGAACAGTGCTTCGCGCAAGCTCAATCAGGGTATCATTTTCATCACTGAGATGCTGGCATAACTCGGTCAAGAAGTCGGTAGTCTCCTGCTTCAAGGTATAACCGGGGTCATTTACCCGTTCTCCGCCGCTAGCCAAAAGACGGGATCGATCGGAGGCAGGGTTGATGTTGATAGTAGTCACACTCAGACCCTCGCGCTTGCCTCGTTGTCGTTCAGCCAGATGCGACTTGAGCTTCTGCATTTCCAGGTCTCGCTTGCGGATATCATTGGCGCATTGCGCCCGGACTTGTTGGACGGTACTCTTCATGCGCTGGACTTGCTCCTTGAAACTTCGAATGTTCGCTTCGGCGCTGGACATGTTGGACTTGAGCGTGCGCGTTTGCGCCTCTGCCAGAGCAAGCGAGCGAGTCAACTCGGATGTCTTCGTTTTCAGTTTTCCCTACACAAACGATGAAGGTTAGCGCGCTGTGCAACATGAGTAGAGTGAAGACATACGATCTCCGTGGTCTGTTCCACCTCGCTGGCTTGCAGCGTGCGAATAGTTGTAGATAAGCTCTCGCGGTGTTCGGACTCGCGCTAAAATTTGTCAGTCGCTGGTCAAGTAGCATCTCAGTGCAGCACACGCACGTCTCGTCTCAAGACCAAATCGTTGACCAAGTTGATCACACGAGCCATGGTGCCGTCTATCCCTCCATCTTCGTTTTCTGGGTCGGCAAAATCGATCGCACGACCACCTTTTAGCAATCCCCTTGCCAGTAAGATGTTGTTGACATAGGTCGAAGCTGCCTGCAGGTTATGCGACTCCATGGCAGCGATCACTTCTATTGTCGACGCAGATAACTCCAAATGCCGAATGGGGAAGAAAGTAAACACGGAGGTGCGGTGGTCCTTTCGTGCCAAGTGTGCAGTTCTATTGGCGGTGAGACAAGATGTTTTTATTCTGCCCGTTTTATTGCGGAATTGAGTCGCGAGTCAAGACAAGCTCTAATTTAGTTTGATATACTCGAAGATTTCCATGTAGAGGTATTCAAATTGAACATAATACATTTCGTTTGGCTTTGTTTTTGTTTTGCTTATTTTTGTTTATTTTTTCAAAAAAAAAATAGAAGATCCAACCCACAATCCAGAAGCCATTGAATGATATCTGATAGTAACATGGTGCGTCGTTGTGTGCATAATGCGTGGAGATAAGGAAATCACCCAACCCCTACGTCTTATTTGTCCCTTGCGTGGCAATAAACCTCTCCCTCCTACCCCACTACTTAATTCTCACCAACCGCCTTTGCATCTGCTCTTCAACATGGCTTCAAGGCCAGATATGCGTGTAGTACGCGGAGTAACATCCAAAAAGAAGACCGACATAGAACAGGCTGCTACTCTTCAGCGAGCAGGCCAAAATGCTTACAAAGTTGGGGATCTCCAAGGCGCCATCGAGTCCTTCACTCAAGTACGCCCCATCTTGTTTGTTCCGTCACGATTCATACTAATCATGTATATATCTAGGCATTGGTGGCAAACAATGAGGATGCTGGAATTTTGGATAATCGTGCCGCCACATATTGCAAGTTGAAGCAGTACAGCCAGGCCCGCGCTGATGCCAGGGCTATGGTTAAGCTTGCACCCAACGACGACCGCGTAATTATCCGCCTCTTTGCTTCCTTCTCAATTGTGGGTTCATCGCTGACTTTGAAAAAGGGATATCTGCGCTTGGCAAAAGTTCTATGTCTAGATGGGAACTTTAACAAGGCCCGAGACATCTATGAATATGCCCTCCAAAAACTTCCAACTGATCACCCAGGCCGTGGGGTAAGTTTCTCTTTCTTGGCTTTCTGTTCTGTTCACTCTTCAGTGTGATATTTATTTCGTTATGTCTCTTTTCCCATACTAACTGTCTTCAGCTTCTCGAGCAGTTACTCAAGAAACTACAGGATAAGCTAGCAGGAGGAAACCGGCGCGACCCATTCACGATCCTGCCACTAGAGCTCGCAGAACTCACGCTTCAGCAATTCTCCTTCAGACAGGTCGTGTAAGTTTCCATCCTCACCTCCAATATTCCCTAGCTCACAACATCATATAGGGCAATCATGCGCGTCTGCAAAGGATGGAACCGGTTTTTGGGTGGTCTGACTAGCCTCTGGATGCAGGTTGACCTCACCGGAGCTAGATCTCGTGTACCTTGGACATCTATCCGGAACTACATCCACCGATCGCGGGCGCAACTGACCAATGCTACTATTACAAATCTCGTACCCTCTACCACACCCAAGGTGCTCGACATGCTGAGCAGATGTCCTCAACTAGAGCACCTGGAGTTGATGGTTCGCTATGACTATCCTAAAGAATTCTACCTTAAAACCAAAGATTTTCGACGTCTGAAGAGTCTCGTTTGTGGGGCTGACATCAGCCTTTCTCATGCGTGTGTTGGGAGTATTTTATCTACCCTCTCGCAACTTGAGAAAGCTGTTTTTCTCCGTGTTTGGGACAATCCTATCAGAGGGCCACCACCCACGTCGACATGGCCTGAACATCTCCCAAATATGAAGAGTCTAACTATTGGGTCTTCGCAAGAAAATCCTCACGGCTTGATCTTCCAGGAAGTGATTCCGGGGTTAGGATCGGTAATCTTTCTCTGTATTTGGTATCTCGTCCTTGCGCTAACACAACTCAGTCTGTATATCCCAATCTAGAGGAGCTGGGGCTCGTTTGGGATCCTGCTCGGTCACAATCATTCCGATTTCACCCGGTGCAAGAGAATGAATATCTTCCCCCGCTCCGAATACTAGATCTTCGGGGCGCGACTATCCATTCCGGTTTCTATCAAAACCTTCCAACCTGCCTTGAGACTCTACGGTTTTTCTCAGGGTCCATCGGGCCTGCTCACCTTGGTGGAAATACATTGTTGGAGGGACAGAATAAACTCCCAAACCTGAAGACCTTGATATTCAATGACACCCCATGGGTCAATCACTCAACACTCGTTATATTCCTACTTCATTCCGAAGCTCCCCTCCGAACCCTTCATGTGAACCTTTGCCACAACATGAACAGCGCGGTGCTCATCGACATTCTTAACCTTCTCGACGAATTTAATCCAGAATTAAAAGAATTAACCGAGTTGGGAGTTGCCTGCATGGCTGGCATGGATGATTTGTTCGCTAAACGTCTGTCGGAAATGTTGCCAAACCTGAGAATCCTTGACTTGTCGCAGACGAGAATTACCGGCTGTACCATTCGCATGTTTGCGGATGCCCGGAATGATGAATTGGCCGTTGAAAAGCTTGACGCCTTAATCATAAAAGGATGCGACGATGTGTCTCGTGATGCCATTGACTATGGCCGGCAAATGGGACTCAAGATTGTCACCTAGGGATTGACAATATCTGGTGATGATCTCTCTGGCGTATGTTACACAATGGCCTAGGACATCACCCTTGTACAATATAATGACCTGGACTCAGGCGGAAACGATACGTGATATGAATATGAAATTGATCTTGAACCTGCCTCCTTTATCCTCAGAATAGCCTCGTGGGTTATTAGTCCGTCTCGGTAAAGAACATGTGACCAAGAAGCAACTAGCACAGACCCTTGCATAGGCATCAGCTGATACAAAACACAAAGTCAAATTCCTTTACCCAAGGATTACAGTTCTACAATTGGGATTTCGTACTGAGCCTGGGCCTAGCAGTGAAACATCGGCTTGAATCGGTAAATAGACAAGATAGTAACAGATACCGACAGTTACACACACGAGAATAGAGGACAACACAGTCTCACAATCTCAAGAAATTCATTAATAAAGCGAGAACCAAGCAAAAACCACCTGGGCAGCTACCTAAACCCCTCGTTCCTGACACCACCGCTCAACTTCTCTAGCGAGCTTCTCCTTTTGATCACGCACAAGTTCCATCATAGGCTCAACCTGCTTCCTGTGCGAGGCAATAACATCCTCTTTGCCGTTGACAACAGCGACACCATCCTTCGGTGCAAGATTATCGTCGTAGATTTTGACCATGAGCTCCATAACGGCGGAGAGCTGATTCGGAAGCCACTATAACACCAAAACAATCAGTATACTGATACTCACACAGTGAGAAATAGGACTTGTACTCACGGTTACAATGGGACTGCCACCGGTAGCAGTGGGATGCGGTGTACGACGAATGATGTACTCACGCGCGAACAACCAGTGTCGCCAGCGGAAACTGCGGATGTGGTTCAGTGTGCGCAGGAAGAGAACTGCGGTCTCGGAGTCTTGGATGGCGTATTTTTGGACGCCAATTTCTTCGGACTTTTCGCGGATGTAGGTGAGGAATTCGCGGTGGGGGAGGGGGCGATAGGCGCGGAATTCGTGGAGGATTTTGGTGAGGGGTGTTTCCGGCATGGGGATTTCGCAGAGGTGGTCTAGGAGGGGGATCTGGAGTTTGGTTAGTTGAAGCTGATCACTTATTTCTTTTGGTAATGTTTGGTTTCTTACGATGCTGTCGTTGGCACCGCTCTCGCCACGGAAGTAGAGGGGCTTGTTGTCTTCGCAGCCTTCGTAAACCACGCCGTTCGGGAACATGGATTGGTTGGTGATGCCGAAGATGAAGACGCGGAATGAGAGGTATTCTGATGGCTTGGAATTGCCCCACATGTCTATTTTAATGTCAGGTTAGAAGATCTTAAAGATGGGATTATTAGGACGTTTAGGGTTACATACCTTCCATGGATGCTTCGATCTTCTCCATCGACTTTAGGATCTCTCGGAATCCGTCATTGATTTCCTGTCGGGAGCCATGCTGTTCAAGGGAATCAACGATCTTCAGGACACCTCCAATGAGCGGGCCAGTTTCTTTAACCATGTCTACATGGGTCAGGATGAAGCCTGCCTCGGAGCTCTTAGGGTCGAGACCTCTCTCGAAGGAGCGAATCAGACGAAGGTTAGAGTACTCGCTCAGACCCTTGGCAGGGTCGGCGACGGTGTAGTTGAACAGAGCATATGAAGCAGCATATGACATGAAAGGTGGTAGGTCCAGGCTAGAGATGGGTGTTAGTTACACAGTTGTTATATGATGAAGATGTGTATCAATATGATTCACAAGATGTTAAGGTAATAAAAGAAAAGGAAGAAGAGAGAAGACTTACATCTCAGCACAGCGATACATAGGACGAGCAACAGACTGGGGCAAGACATCACGACCAAGTCCATAGCCACCTTCGGGGTCCTTGTTCCAGTGCTCCCAGCAAGGCTCGAGCAGGTAAGAAGAGGCCAGGAAGGTGTAGTCACGGAATACCGCAGCAATAGTGAAGCGGTCATACGAGCCATCAGCGAGGACCAGCTTCTCGACCTCATCAGTCAGGTCGGTAAGCTCGGCCTTGACAGCAGGACCAAGCTCATAGGTAGCCAACAGACCGGGCTTGCCATCGAGCCTGACGACAGGGAGACGATTGACGAGAGACAGCAGGGCACTGAAGGCCTCTGGCAGCTCGACAGGGGCAGTCTCATAGGGCAAGAAGCCTGTCTTGGTGGTGATAGTGAAGGGGTCTAGCGAGTGGGAGACGGATGAAGGGTCATCATGGATGTGAGGGAACCGCTTCAGGGTAGTAGGGGAAGGGTAAGGCACTTGGGTTCGAGTCATGATGATATCAGGTGAACTAAGTGAAAGAAAAGACCTTAAGTCTATTCTATATGGGTGTGGGAATAAAGGATGTGTTGGGGTAGTGTAGGGAAGAGTGTAGATGTGTAAGTCAAAGGCTAAAGACCAAGTCAAGAGCCTAGGGAGTAGGGAAAATGGGTAAAAAAGATGAGGAAGAAGCCAGGAGACTTTGAGAGATGAAAGGAGACTTGGAATTCTGAGATTTTGGGCGGGTGAGGAGCAGATTCTTATAATACTTTGAGGCCGGTAACAATTCCGGCCTCAAGTCCACATTACGAAAGACAATAGGAGATAGCGTGGATCCTGCAATATCCGATGTTACATGATGGAAATTGGCTTTGTCTATCCTAGCTAAGACTCGAGGCACTTTATATGAGTATATTCGGCCAAAACAAGATATTTTGACATCCATCTCAGCATCTATATGATCTATACAACTGCCCAGTGAGAGAGGGCAGAGGACGGTCACGGGATGGCGCTAGGCCCAATACAGCACAGGGTTTGAAAGGCGGTTTCACTACTTTTCCTGGGATTTGATGGAATTTTGTGGAGGCGTATGCTAAGCCAAGTGTTTAAAATGCTTATAATAAAAAATTTGGCTACTTAATAGATCACTATTACGGATAAATGGGCAATGTTGTCTACTCAAGTCATGATGTATGCTCTATAGTCCATGCGCTGCCAAGCATTGATGACCAGATCCCACTTTTTGATTGGACGATAAGCACAAATTTAACTTCCCTAGCGTTCGGAGGCCGGAATGCTACCGGCCTCCGAGGGTAGCCGGCCTCATTATATATGTCCTGGGTAGGTTTGATATACAACATAGGACCTTTGAATTGGCATGACTTGTGTGATACCTTGTGGGATTCTCGAGATAGAGCGAAGATTGACCTATGGACAGCTTTATCTTTTTAAAGCTCTTATTGCTTGCTATTCAGCAAACTCGAAATCACACTTGGTACATCTTCAGATATATACTGGAAGTGAACAAAAGAACCTATAGTACATTTGCGTCTCAAAAGTACTTGATCTATTCAATCACTCCTCTATTTTTTATATAATATACTATTAAATATAAATGTAAATGTTCTTCATGGCTGGTAATCTCACAATCCATCGCTCCCTTCCATATAGTTTTCATGCAAAAACACGCTCAGTCCTATTCACCACCAAAGCACGAGAATTGTGATAAAAAGTCCCGTGCAACTGCGGCAAAAAGTACTGTAAGATTGCATCCCCAACACCAGCCGGCAGCGAACTCTTGTCACCCCAATAGTGCCTCACCAACTCCCCAGCACACCCGGTAGCTGCGACCTCAGGGCACCCATTTGCCTCTGTACAAGGCAAGACACGAATGTCTTCCGATCTGTTGAAGTCATACCTAACATGGTTTCCAAATGCAGATTGCTCATGTGGCCATTCCCCACCCCACCTCCCGCACTCTGGATAGCGCGTTTCGTTAGGGCAATTCTCCCACGCCTCAAAGAGTTCATGGGTACGAGGGCTTTGTTGGGCAATAATAAAACCCGTGTTAAGAAATGTGCGGCTATTCCAATCACGGTTGTGGGGTGCGTCTGGATCAAGAGCCATGGCAACTAGAGTCTCTGGAGTGATCTCCCAGTAGTTGAATAGCCATTCCATGGGCAGATTGGGATAGGGCATCATGGCATCTGCATCTATAAATACAACGTATTCGTAGTGTTTTAACGCTTCCCTGATCGCAGTAACCTTGGTCCATGTTGCAGATCGACCGACTGTCTGGGGGATTTGAACGAGTCGGTAGTCGTAGCCGTGAATCATTGCTACACTCGTCAATCACAAAGTGGAAGCAGATAGAAGTGGGACGGACTACCTACCGAACATAAAGTGGTTGAGTCTTCCACTGGTATCTGGGGGAAGTCCGGTCGCGTTCAATGGAGCCTTGCTCAAAACACCCTTTGGGCTATCAAGATGGCGGCTGTCGACGTCCAAAATGAGGATATTCTTGCCTAATGGTTCGGTGAACCTCAATGGTTCCGCAATCCAGAACATTTTCCCTGTGTGGCCGACAAATATGGTTTTAGTAATGGGATGTATATACGGATTGTATAGTTTGTGGACTGTGGAGGAGTATGGGGGGCTTTTGATGGTCCATTGAAAGTGTTTTCTAAACTAAAGTCAGTGTTCAGTTTCAACGTTTTGCTTTGAGTAATCTCGCACTGCGATGGTTGATCAATAAATATACTGTTCAAGCAGGAGTAGGCCCAGAAGAGCACACACGCTATCAGACTCGAAGTAAAGATGGCGGTGACTCGGCGAGGAAACATTAGTCCTGACCTTGGATGGCGCATGGAGATGGTGTATGCATGTAAAATGGAGATCCAATCTGTAGATTTGGCATAGAATAGGGTGTCAATTGACATGACATAATGTTGATGAAGTATGGAATATCATTTCCTCTGCCTTCCATTTTGAGTACTCACCTCTTGTCGCTTTTTGCTCCGGAGAACTAACACGCTTTTATTTACTTTTCGCACCCGCTCATTCCAAGTCTTATATTATATAGTTGCGCCATTAACTAAAAGGCTAGCCGGATGGATTTCCGGGGTTCCGACGCTGCGTCTCCTGAACTCCTCTTCTTTGACCGAACTTCCCGTCTCTTCAATTCGAAGTTCAATTGCGAACAGTGGAAGTCGATAATTAGAACACGCTGCAACTCTTCGTTCCACAGTATGTTGCCAAAACGAAGATCCCCATGCATCACCCTTGGGGAATTTATTTCTTTCCTATAGCATCGAGTCTGCTTTTGCAGTTCTGGAGAATGCTCTATACTATTGATAATCAATTCATGGTAGGTTCAGATGAATTCGACAAAGGTGGTATTTTCTAAAACAGAAGTCTGGGACGGTGAGCGAGCAAGAGAATTTGCTTAAATCAAATCTAGATTTTGAAATATTTCATCCAGTAAGAGAGATTTTGAACAAGCCAATAACGAATGAAGCCTCCCATATCGAACACCTACGCTATCCCGATCAACCCATTAAGATCCTGGAGCAGCTGTTGTACCAGCTCCATATTGTCTGATTTCTCACGCAATGCGTTCTTTAGCGCACCGACTGCCTCCTTGGTATTTCCGGACACTGCTTCCCCAGACTTCAGTTTCTTCTCCGCAGACTTGATACTTTCCTTCGCACTTCGAATCTGCGACCAGTACACTGTGGTCTTGTTGAGATATCCAGTTTCCTCAAGAGGCAAATTCCACTCATGAGGAGTCATCTCGACGATATCCAACCATTTAGCCATGTGTGGCCATCGGCGCTCCTCCAGTCCTGGGAAGTGGACGAGCAGATCTCCCCATTTGCCTTCATACGCCCAGTCCCATTCGTAGGTGTTAATCCATGGCCGTGGCAGGTAGGAGACCCCATCCGCGTAACCCTGTCCCTTTGGGCCCCCGGTCGTCTTGTTGAGCACACGTCTCATGCCTTCCTGGTCGGCAGACCGGCCGAGATCAATTTGAGGGAGGTAAAGAGGGTAACCCATTGTTTCGGTAAGGAAACTGATCATCCAAGAATGGACATGGAGGAACATAATTCCTGTGTTGAGGCCGTTTTGGTCCTGGGTTGCCACCAGGTGGATATCTTTCAGGTCTGATGGCGGAAGGAAGACTTCAACGGGGATGTCGTTGTTGAGTATAATCGAGTCTGCATCTACCCACCTACAAAAGTCAGTATTACCCAAGCATATACAAAAAGAAAAGACATACATCAACCATTCCATTCTCTCGCCGGCTGGCTTGGTCAATTCATTGATCACCAAGGATAGCAGATAGCTCGGTTTATTCCAAAATCCGACCGCGATGTCCTGTCGCAGGACATGCATGGGGTAGCCCCATCGCTCCCCGTGGCGTTCATGGCTCTGCAGCGCTCTTTCGTAAATATGGTTCGTCTCTCCGTATAGCATGGACACTTTTGCGACTCTCTGCAACTTGTTGCTAGGGTTATCATCTGACTTGGGGATATAAATCGTCTTGTATGATTTGATTGAGACCCAAAAAACACACATAACTGATAGAACTACCAGAATGAAGTTCAAGGGTCGTTGTTTGAATGCCATTTGGTGCTGAATCATGGCTGGTATCACCGAGCAGGTGCCAGGCCTTTCATGGTAGATGAGAAGAAGAAAAATAATCTTTGCTTGAGATAGATGAGATTATTGCTAGATTTAGAGCCCATGTTTGATTCGAGACTCGGGGGTTGTATGAATCCGTACTTCCGGATTGGGAATGCCGTTTCCGGTAACTCAACCATATCCAATCGATAGCCACGAATAAAGTCCAATTGGTTGATTTATAAATAGATAGTAGTACAATAATTGTAAGCAAAAGCTCATTTAGTCTAGATCCCATGAAAAGCTATGTTGCACATGGGTACGGGCCCACAGCCCACATGGCGCGGATGAAGCTCGCAATGGTGGTGTCCAGGAACACCTTTGGTGGGTGTTCGGAGTTGATTGACGATAAGAAGGAATGTCAGCAGATCTCCAAAGAAACATGCCCGCGACTAACAGCGACACCTAATATATTACACAAGAGCATGTAAACGGCCCACACGACATGGCCCCATAATTATAGACCTGAAAATCATAACAGAATGTCCGATGATTGTCACCACACTGGTGTGTATATGCTATAGGTCTTAAGCTTGCTTTGGGATTGCAGTGCAACTCGGATTACCTGGAAACTACAGCATTGGGTATAAGATATCGGTTAGGTAGTACCTAAATTGGCAGAGAGACGATTTTCATGTTATATGGTACAGATGAGGGTATATTATACACCACATGTTTCAAATATTTGTACAGCATCACATATGCAAACAACTTTAACTCCTTGTTCCCATGCATCAGCGACCTGGCCCGCCGTTGAATTCATTGGTATAACCAGAACGTATCCAGACCGAATCGCGAACTGGATCGCGCAAAAGAACGTAGCTTGATATCCACAGTCAAACATATGCATCATGACCCCGGACTCGTGTTTTGACTGGTTGTATTTGAGTCACCGGTGGTGCTATGTACCGTCTGGAGCTTGAGGTACTCCTGCTCGAGGGCCTTTTGCATTTCAAAGTCGGCCTGGCGTTCTAGTCGGATACGCTGCTTTTCCATATCACGTTCGACTCCTTTGTGCATAGCCTAACATCCAAAAAAAGTAAGTATATGCCAGAAATAGAGAATCGAAGCTGTAGCATACCGCTCTGTCCGCCTCTTGTGCCCAGTGGACAAACCCGATAATACCCATTGTGCCGAGGCCAGTGGCTGCTAATGTGAGTTTTGATGCGCGAGACATGGCAAGATAAATGAGAGCACGGCCCGATACAGAGGTTCAGCAAACAATGGTCACAAACAATGTTCTGGCGTGTTAGCTGTTCATCAAAACGAGGCCGGGATTATCAGTTTATCGATCACCGGGCGGCGTTTGGTGGCAGAACCCCCACCGCTCTGGGGGGCGATGCGTGGCTCCGATCGACCTAGGCTTGGAGCTCCAGACTCGCCGTTTAATCGTCCCTGTCCAGCCCTATTTCCCCTTTACCCTATTTTCAAAGCTCAGAGGTCTCTAGTAAATATGGTGAGTAGTCTATCTCGGAATTGATGGTCAGTCGCTAACGGTGAACAACAGTCGGCTCAGAACTCCGCGGGCATTCAGACCCTCCTCGATGTAGGTCTTGGTTGTATGTTGAGCGCAGCCTGGAGATACTAACCACAGAACCGTCAGGCCGAGAGAGAGGCTCAGAAGATTGTGCAGAAAGGTAAGTCCAACTTACGCTTACCCCTCATCGCTGCCTATCACAGACACTAATACGTCACATCACATTTAGCCAGAGAGTGTACGCAATACAAACTTACCTATCGCCATTCGCTTCATCGAACTAATTGTTTCGCAACAATACAGACCGTACCCAGCGGATAAGAGACGCCAAATCAGAGGCCCAGAAGGAGATCGAGGAATACAGGAACCAGAAGGAAGAGGAGTACAAGAAGTTTGAGGGCGAGGTGAGATACAGCTTCTAAATGGCGGTTATAACCAGGGTAGTACACAGTGCTAACCTGAATGTTTCGCTAGCACTCAAGCGGATACAAGGTATCCGAGGCGGAGGCCGACAAGGAAGCCGAGGTCAAGCTCCAGGAGATCAAGGAATCCGGCAAGAAGCAGGGCGAGAAGGTGATCGCAGACCTCATTCGTGTGACGACCGACGTCAAGCCCGTGGCATCTGAGAAGATCAAGGCATAATGTAGATATTCTGGGTTATCTTTTCTTTCCTCGCGTGAATGCGCTTGCGTGTCTGTTCATCGATATCCAATTGTCGGACAATATCAGTTTCTTTTTGGTTTAACCCTGTGTATATGACCTTGATTGAGTCTGGATCACACTCATATTGGAATACACATGTCGTATTCATATCCTATGGTGTTCCCAAATATATGGCTTGAATCTAGGCTTTTCGATCTGCGGCCAGTCTGAGTACTGCCCACCGCGACACGGTTATTCTTCCTTATTGACCCAGATTACTCTTAACCTCTTGTGGAGGGCTATGCTTCGGCGAACTTCAAATACATCGCCAATCCACCAATCCAGACAACACACCCCTGATACCCGTGGCTGTTCTTACTCGATACCAGGCGACGACAACGAGAGGCGCAGGATGATTCAATGTGCTAGATAAACCCCTACGCAGGTGTCAGTGCTCGTTTCCGTTAAATGGATATCAGGGCAACGAGTCACCGTTAGCAACACATACTGCCGCCAGTGACGCTATTGGTTTTAAGGGGTGTCTCTACTACTCAGATACGTCGCCGGGCTATATCAGTTGCCTCTTATAGGACATTATGCTTTGTTCGGTACAAGATAATTTCAGATTCGCAGGAATATTACGTTCCAACCATGTTGTCCTACGTGTCTTTCTTCTGGGCGACTCCGTTCTCTCTAGCACTTTGGTGGCTCTCACAACAGGCAATCGTGACACAAGAGAAGATCGTCACAGTCCTCGCTATTATTGCAGTTTCTATGTCGCTGCAACAACTTTAGAGTATACAGTGACTACATTATTCCATTGAATGGTCAAAATTGCTGCGATATGAGAGTGGCTGTTGGAACTTGTCTATTAGTAGATCTTGGGATGTTTAATTGTCGTTTCGAATTATTTCCCCGTATCAAAGACACTCACTATAATGAACGGACTTTCGAAGAGTTAGCTGAGTAAACAATTCTTTCCCTTTTGTATAGGTTACGCTCTTGGTAAACAGAAGTATAGTCCATGTTGGCCTGAGGCACCAACCCTGTTTCCCGTTGCGTCATTCCGTGCCAGGTCTCGTTCGACAACCTATCTGCGGACGACGCAGAACAATGAAATATGCAGTTCTTACGCGGAATGCGCTCAAACGGTCTTCAATAGCCTGCTACTCATACGGCCAGACTGTATGCCACTCTAACAATAGGTTATATCACGGGTCTCCATGCAGACCCAGACCAAGTCTCGAACCGCGATTAGAGGACCATGGCAAAGTAATTGTCGATGAATACTCAATCATCCGTGATAAATATGGTTCGTTCCTCTAGATTTGAACGGTATGGGACAATTGCTGACTCGCGATTAGCTGCACCAAAGTATCCTGTTGTTCTCGCCCATGGCTTGCTCGGGTTTGATGAATTGCGCCTTGCTGGCCCATATCTACCCGGTGTTCAGTATTGGCGTGGAATTAAAGAGGCGTTGACTGCGCGAGGTATTGAGGTCATCACAGCAACAGTACCCCCATCGGCTTCTATTGAGGCGCGGGCTGAGCAATTGGCCCGAAATATCGAGGCTGGGGCTCGAGGAAAAGATGTTAATATTATTGCGTATGTTACCTTCATTTACTGGCTACACATATTGACATATTCTGACTGATTTTTGTATAGGCATAGCATGGTGAGACACCTTAAATGATTGCGATAGAGTTAATGCTTACCTGTGATTAGGGGTGAGACATAACAAGAGGATCATACTATACAGCGCAAGCTAATTAATGACTTGCAAAGTGGTCTTGATTCACGATATATGATTAGTCACATACGACCGGAGAAGTTCAAAGTCTTGTCACTGACCACTATTGCATCTCCGCATCGAGGTCTGGCCCATCATAGCCTTTTATTCGCCTTCTTGCTAACTATCTAGCAGGCTCATCTGTGGCGGACTATGTACTTGATCAAATTGGAGGTTCGTCACCATTTACTCGCTTACTGGGATGACGTAGAAGATAACATTGATTTCTGTGCAGCCGATCGCCTACCTCAGATCTATTATGCCCTTAATCGACTAAATGTCGAGACGGGAGCATTCGCTCAATTAACACGGAAATACATGACCGAGACCTTCAACCCCAATACCCCAGATGTGGATGATGTCAGGTGCGTGCCACATATTCTCCCCACTTTACGCCCTGCCAACATTCCCCAGATATTTCTCCTATGGAGCAGCCGTGGAGCCAAGCATATGGTCTGCGTTTCGGCTTTCACACCGAGTGCTTGCGGAGATTGAAGGGCCCAATGATGGCCTAGTCAGCGTGTCTAGTAGCCGCTGGGGAGGCGATGCAGGCTACAAAGGAACCTTGGTAGGCGTGAGCCATCTAGACCTGATCAACTGGACCAACCGCCTTAAGTGGTTAGTCGGAGAGGTAACAGGCAGCAAACGAAAGTTAGTTGGTTACAGATTGTATTTTGGGAATTATGCTGATCTTCATGCAGGTTTAACGCCATTGCATTTTACTTGGATATTGCAGGTATGTGTTACGGTCTGATTGGATCACTTGAGACTAATAAGCTGTTCACTAGACATGTTGGCCAAAGAGGGACTTTGAGAAAGATATAATTGGATTTCCATCAGCCCTGTTGTGGCTTCGGGTTTGATATGGGAAATTCTGGTGCCTGGAGCTGGAAACCGGATATTTTTCTTCCTCTTCTTGCCTGTGTACTCGTGTAGGGAGATATTATTGGGTGAAATTAACCTAGTAAATCTGCCAATTAGTGAAATAGATGATCATATTTCAAAATAATTTAATATGAAACAGTGTACAGACACAAGTTGAACCTATAGTTTCCGGATACTAGCGGAATTGAGGCCTTTTGTCTTAGAAATGTGGCTGTGATTTGATTGAGGCGCAGCATATAAGCCTAACCTAGACCTCTAGGCTTTAATTCTGCAAAAGTCCCTGCTTATGCCGAAAAACTGTGGCAGTTGTATATTGCTTGGCAATCAGTTGATCCCGCGAACGCTCGAAACGTCATTCCCGAGATCCTTCGCATATAATCCGCATTTCCCCCTCATCTCACAGGCCCACGTCTCGCGCTGAGGTTGCCTTACTCGTATCTTCCAACAGCTTGATACTTGTCGCATTATTTTCCAGCGACCGTGTTTCCCCTATTTGACCCTTCGAACGCCGGCACCAACCGAAGAGAGAGAGCCCCGCCAGGGCCCGGGCGCCCGCCGCCATGTCCGCAAATATCGTCTTGGACAGCCGCCACACCCATTATACAAATCTGGATTTTCTGAAGGGCAAAGTTGTGCTACAGCTACCGACGGAAGCAGCCATTGGGGCCATTCAGGTCAAACTGGAGTGCGAGAGTCGCACTCGTCTATCCGGTCCCAAGCACCCCCAAAATGTGCACTCGGACAAGAAGCGAACGGAGCTTGAGGTCCACAAGGTAAGAGGATGTGGTTCATTGTAGTTATTGGGGAGATAAAATATCGACTGGAGCATTGGTTAATCAACGAATGCAGATATTGTACAAGGTTGCTACCGTCTTCCCAACACCGGGTGTGATGCAGAATGAGTCCCCTGCGCCTACATATACCTTTGCCGCAGGCTCATATGAGTATCCTTTCGAATTCAAGGTAAAGAGCTTTTTTCTATGGCAATTAGAACACTTTTAACGCTTCGCTAGTTCCCCTTCAATAATTCATGCAGCACCACCAATAGCATGCTCACGAATCTAAGCTTCTCCGGGTTGAAAGTTGAGGTAGCTAAAGACACCAATCGACACGTCAGAAAGACTCTCCCACCATCTTTAAGCGGGTTCCCGGGCGTAGCAGATATCAAATACTTCGTCAAGGCAACAGTCATCCGGCCGCAGTTCTACAAAGAAAATATCAGATCGGTAAGTGATATACTCAGATAATATGCCATTGTCGTGCTCGCTAATTGGCTTCTCAGATTGTGCCTCTCAATTTCCTTCCAATTGAGCCACCAAGAGTCGGGAATCCCAACGAGGAAACCTACGCCAGGCGGCAACACCAATTCTCCAAAATGCAGATGGCATCTAAGAAAAAGAGTATCTTCTCGCGGGGATCTGCTTCTGCGCCCCGAGAGTCATATGCAGAGCCTCCTCGGGTGTCTGTGGATGCTCGACTCCCCAACCCATCTATTCTCACTTGCAACGAACCTGTCCCCCTCCGTCTCCTCGCCAAGAGGCTGAGCGAGGGACCGGACGCAATCTTCCTTCAGATGTTGCAGGTGGAACTAATATCCTACACAAAAATTTTGGCCCATGACCTCAACCGCACTGAAATTAACTCATGGGTTATCATGAGCCGCAGCAATCTGGGTATCCCGTTAGGCAAGCCAGATGACCCCGTAGGCACTGATTGGACTATTGATCCAAGCCTGTGGAATCGATATCCCTTACCTAACTCGGTGGCACCGTCCTTTGAGACATGTAACATTGAAAGATCTTACGAGCTGGAAATTCGAGTGGGCTTGACCCATGGATTCCAGGTATGTTGAATCACCAACCCCTAGAGTTGTCTCTTGGCTGACCATGGCATAGCCTCAACTTATTGTTCTGCCCCTGCGAATGCCAGTCAGAGTATTCTCAGGAATTGCTCCACCACAGGCCCTTCTAGATGCAATGGCCGCTGCATCACTTCAGCCATCATCATCACCCTCTAAACAGAAACCCCAGCCCAGCTTGCCAACAGAGGTGGGAAGCAGCCGACCACCCATGCCACCACGGCCAACCGGCGAGCCTGTACCTGTCAATTCCGGAGATGCATATGACGACGCACCGCCCAGTTACGAGGATGCCATGGGAGACCACCTGAGTCCAGTGGATGGACCACGCCGCGAGTATCACCCACCAGACGCCTCATCACAACGCACAGTAGAATCTCCAACTGATTCCAAGTCCGCAGCCCCACCGGGTAAGGCGCTTGAGGATGAGCCCGCGGCAGAAGGATCCTCGGCGCCTCGTCGTCGAGACAATCGTGCTTCCACAGAGTCCTTCGACATGCTACCTACCACACCCCCGGAGTCACCATCTGGATCACCTCCCGCATCCCCCGTGAGACGTCCCGCGAGTATGATGAAACTTCCTCGGGGCACCGTTGATGAAGAAAGTCCACCGCAATATGAGCCTGTTGCGGGAAATCAGCTGAACGTTCCCCAACCTGTGCAACGCCAGCCTTCACGGAATAATCTTCGTCCTATGAACTTGGGTGTTCCTAATCGGAAGCCTGTGCCGCGAAGTTCAAATCCTTGAGGCTAATGGGCTCAATAGGTTGCTTGATTTCACTAATTTGATCATATTCTCTCCTCTTTCATGCTCAGTGGGTTTGAAATTAATTGGAGCTTCATCGCACTTAGCGCTAGTGATTATTCCAACACTCATAGCATCACCCATCAAACAAACTGCATTATTGCTACCTTCGAACTCAATACCCCCATCAAACTTCGGTGATGAAAAGTGTTTTTAATATCTTGTTCTTGAAATGCATCATAAGTCTCTGGAGGTGTTAGTGTCTAGGGGATCTTTAATTGAACTCATCGGGTGTAACGCCTATTAAATGTGATAATTCGTTTGAGACACACTTGGTCTGAAGAATATGCTCAATTCAATGAAGCTGATATCATTCAGTGTGCATCAGGCCAATGTGGAAATAATTTTGTTTATGGGAGTATCTCAGGCATGAAATTCATTCCCACTTATTGTAGCACTCAGTGTGACCATGACTCCTACCACAGCCAGCCCTTCTCATCTTCCCTCCAATCCGCATTGTTCTTTTCGATATCTGGTATAAGAGCACCGGGGTTCCGGTCTGGGAGGGCAAGTTGAAATCGATAAAAGAAGTGATCTCTGAACTCCTCTGGTTCGTCAAGACGATATGCGAATTTAGACCCGGAGATGTGCCTATAAGAGCGTTATATAATACTCTCCTGTTTTGAAATGATAGCATAGGTAAACATTTGACCAGAAGATTCGTCCTAGATGATTTTAGATGGAGTAGCCGGAAGTGGCATAAACTCGAATTTCAAAACCCCCTGAAGAAAGTATTATTGCTGAGGATGTGTGGGAGAATCAACGGAGTGATTTGGATGAGGTGTGGAGAGAGTTTGACAAGTTGCAGGTCAAACACTCAACATCATATTTACTACAATACTATACATATACGTAGGATCGTGGAATCCATCCCATTCTTCCCACTTGGGAAATACTTTTTTACCGTCTTCGTATATATTTAAAAAAAAATATCTGAAAAGATATCTAAAAAGAACATGACAAGGCCGCATAAGCGGCCGACTAAAATTCTTGTATATGCCTCAAGAAGGCGGTGATGAAAGAGGCGGCGAGGTAATATTCAATGGGATATTTATGGACCGGTGGCATACCAGTGGCCCGTACTTCGAGAACTGTCCCCAGGACTTGTCCTATGTTCTGCTCAATTCAGCCATATACACCCGCTTCATCAGCAACGAAGGACTCCACGTCATTGCGATTTCGCGATACGAGGTCGACCTTGATCACAGATCTTTCCCATACATGGCGCTGGTGAGTGTGTTTGACGTCGGTGACAAAGTTGGGCGATGGCCACAGTAGCCCATGGAAAGTGACTGGGTGTCGAGTACTCGACCTTGTCTTTTTCTCACTTTGTCTGAGAGGTGGCAGGTAAGCTTCAACAATCTGACGGGGGAATAAATTCGGCATATTTCCTCTGTACCCAACAGTGGTTAATATCCACAGCTAATATGTACATCTCCGGTCCTTAAGTCTTACTCACGATTGTTGAATGGTGGCTGCTTGGGATGAAAACAGTTTAAGTGGCAGACTCCCCAATCCGGTCACTTTGAAGATAGGGCAAGAATGTCACAACCGACATACAACATAGAAGATAAAGAGTGTAAGATGAATTCATTTCCTTTCTGACATCTCACCGATCCAAAGATCCGCCCTATCTACTCTACGCAGTACTTTGTATGTTGTATATGTAGTCGCCCGTACCGAAGTTCAATCGTTGAACATGTGCAAAATCAAAATGATCAGTATTTACGAGGATTGGGATTACTATTACGTGGTATATTGAGCATTCGCCAGTTGTGTTCAAATGCTACCAATGCATAGCAGCATAGGGTATCTATGAGTCCAAAATATGATATACGCTAGTCCAAAAGTGGCTAGCGTATCCTCCACGCGGATTGAGCTCTGCTTTCTTCTTCCACTTGAGCTCATGTCCATTCCTATGGGCATCTGTCCTCACATTGTATCTTAATCAAACTCCGTTAGACCAGCTTGGACTGGATTAACCCCGCACCGAAACATTGCCCAGTACTCGAAACCCCTCAACAGCAACACGAAAAAAAAGTCCGTTCACCGCGTCAATGATTTAGCTCGCGACTGACACCATCCACCATGCGTCTCCACCTTGTTATCTCACGGCATGGCCTGCCGGTCACGCGCATTCTGTGGACCACAACTTCGTCGACTTCTGTACTAGGCGAGTATGGGACTCATCGCCCGGCATCAACAGCAGCTGTCGCATCGTCTCGCACCCCAAATATCGCCTTCTCGAGTGGCGGATACACGGTTGCACAACTCCTCGAGGATGTGAATGAAGTCGTGCCGCTGGAAACCGAACCAAGTATCTTTGATGCGGAGTTCAGTGGCCAGTGGGGATTGGAAGATTACGTTGTCGAAGTCGCTGGCTCGGAATGCCTTCATTTTATGGAGGTCGATGGGTTGCTCCGAGATGGAGACGAAGTTGTGTATGTGCATCTAATAATTGTTCTAATATCTTACACTGAACTAACTTCTCACCTTCTAGTATCCGCGCCCTTCAATTGGCAGATCTCCGGACCCGAAAGCTCTGTGGTCGCCACCAAATTACTGCCGAGGGCAAGCATCTGATCGACGGCGTGCCTTTTGGGTCACCTTTCCTGAAAAGAACTACCTCTACGCGACCTGCAATCACCATACCCCCAAGGAAGAAGCGACGCACGGTTTTCTCTGGCTGGGAGCACGCTCCAGAGTTTGTGACTGACGAAGTACATGACGAGGAGGAAGGTGATGGAGAGTGGCTTCCACCCCCAAACACCGGGTTCGGAAAGGAGCTTTCTATTGTGCCCCCCGAGCACGAAGAGTCTATGGCCACGGTTATTCGCCATCCTGTTGACCACACCGCGGAATCTGACAGTGAAGCGGACATGTCTGAGATGCCTGAAATCGAGGAAGATGAATTGGAGAGCGAACTCCAAGCGCTCAAAGAGGACTTTGAAGAACCTTCTCAATTTGTTGACATCAGAAACCAGACTCGGAATGCCAGTGGGCACCCACTACGGGCTACCTCGATAGTCAAGCGACCAACTTCCAAGGGGTCACTTGCAGCTGCTTCATCTCTTTCCAGCAAGCGGTCTCGCGCAGAAGACTCCTCTCCCAGGGCCTCCAAGGCTGTGAGATTCAACAAGGGAGATGAGCAGGATATGCCCGATCTCCCACAAGTTCCGCAAGTTCCGCAGGCGCCACAGGCGGAGGAAAGTGCTGCTGAAACTTCCGACTCTGATTCATCCGACTCGTCTGCGTCTTCCTCCGATAGCGATTCTGATGATGATTCCGATGATGATTCTTCGAGCGAAGTGGAGCCTGCGGCAGAGGCACCTGATTCTGATTCTGATTCTGATTCATCCTCAAGCTCCGAAGACTCTGATTCATCAGACTCGGATTCTGAAGAGGAAGCCCCTGCGCCCGTCAAAAAAGTGCAACCAGTTTCTGTGGGCGCTCCTGGTGAAGGGTCCATCCGCACCAAGAAGAGTAACAACCGCATCAAACTACGCCGCCGTCTATCAAAGCTCAAGGAGCTTGGTGCTCTCCCCGAACAAGCAGGCTTCGATGCATTGCGGGAATGGGAAAACAGGCACGGAGGCTGGCATACTCCGGAACAATACCTTAACCCGCAGCCATTCGTGAAACCCCAAGAGCCTGTGGAACCGGAACAAGTATCTGCCGAATCTTCCAGCAAGAAGCAAAAGAGAGAAAAGAAAGAACAGGAGCAGAAAGAGTTCGAAGCCAAGCGCCAGAAACTGCTTCGCGATCTTGCCTCGGGTAATGGTGTTGATGTAAGCGAGACATCAGAGAAGGAAAATGTCCCGCCTGCCGCATCTGTCGTCGGAGAGACCCCTGTTTCACAAGAAGTTCCCGGAAAAGACCAGCCGGGGCAGGAACCTTCGAACCGACGTACCCTGGACATTGCTAGCTCACGGCGCATGCTGTTTGGATCTCTCGGAATGCGAACCCCGAAGACCAAGGAAGATGAAGAGGAAACACGGAGAAAGCTCGCTGCCAAAGCTAGTGCAGGCGGGCGCCGAAGCAAACCTTCTAAGCAAGACACCCAGGAAGAGACCGACCAGATGCAAGAGGACGAAGATGCATCTGACATTGATTGGCAAAACAAACTTGTCATCCGTGCTGTCGAGTGTCTCTACCCCCAAGTTGATATGACCGCGCCTCCTTATCCATTCGTTCAACGTTGGGACCAAGAAGCCAATGCATTGATCCGTGAGCTCAAGGGCCCCAACAAGAAGCGGAAGAGAAAGCAGCGTGTTCAGGTCTACGAAGAATATGAGGAGCAGGAGGAATACGATGAAAATGGGAATTACTACGGCTATGATGAGCAATACCAAGGCGGAGATGACCAAGCCAATCATCAGGGTCATTACGAAGGTGAGGCCGATCCGCATTATGAGGGCCATTGGGAAGGCGAAGCTGCTCCCTACTATGAAGGTCATTATGCAGGCGAAGCTGAAGGAGATCAGATGAATTATGACGATGCTCCTGAGCCTGAAAAATCTACCTTCGATGACCTACCTGCGGTCCCCGCCGACATAAGTTCAGTGCCCGATTTGGCCGAGGGCGAAGCGAAGGTCGGCGCAATCATTGCATTCCGGCAGCTAGACATGTCCAAAGCCACGAACTGGCAGCCTCAGATGTCTGAGTACCGAGTAGCTGAGGTGCGCTCTGTTAAAGATCATGGAGTGATTAATGTACTACTAGCCAAGCGAGACCGAAAGCCCCGTTCAGCATCCGAGTCTGACGAGCCCCGTCGATTCAGCAAGTTTGAAGTACCAGACCTAGCCAATGACGAGGGAGAGGATGACGGCTATCGGGAGCTTGCCTTTGCAGAACTCAGTGATCCGAAGCTTCTTCAACCCGCAGCACAGTCGGGTGCTGAATCTGAGGACCAGAATAATACTCGAGAAGATAGCATGTCAGTGAAATAAACTCTGATTGATGGCTCATGCTTACATGTCCAAGTGTCTCTGTAGTTCAAGAATCCGTACCGAATGCCCAACCAGCCCTATCTGAAGAAATGTACCTTGACGACACAACCTTTGTCACCATTGGAAATGAAGTCAGCCGTCTTGAGTCCCCGCGTGAATCCCCTGGAATGCCCGATGAGCCTATCCAACAAACCCCTGGCAGAGGCGTGCCGCAGATTCAAGTCCAGAGAGGATCTGATGAGCGCAGTATTACACCTCCAATCCCTTCGCCTTCTTTCACTGGATTTCACTCTGCTCGATCCTGGCAGCAAATGACCCCTGGTGCTGAGCTCAGTCACGAGCTTGAAGGCCATACTCTCATCGGAGGAGAAACGCCATCTGCTTTAGTCAATCGAGACGAGGATCCTTCCGCTTTGTCATATGCTTCTGCAAATCAATCCTTTGCCGATGATCCTGAGGACCAAGAAATGTCTGAGCATCAAGAGCATGAACGCCAGGTTGTTGAGGAAAATCTTGTGCCGCCTGGCGAGTCGGGGGAGAGTGGTCCTCAATCTGGTTCACTCTTGTCCACCATTGACCGTAATGGTCACGGTGGTGCATCTGATTCTATGTTTGTGAAAAACGATACGAAAAAAGAAAAAGACAATGTAGCCCCCAACAGCTCTTCTGAATCGTGGAAGGATCTTCTGAACAGATTAAGGAATGGTCCATCGGAGCCCGGCGATTCACTCATCACGAGCGATGTCGACAAGGACAACGAAGACAACAACAGTGAAAGCAATCAGAGTCCCGAGCGGTTGGAAGACAGTGTACAGCACTCCTACCTGGACCTCAATTTCTCGCCGCTTGACACCCCACGGGTATCCAATTCGCGCTCTCCTAACCTACCAACGAGTGCCCAGCAGGATGCCCAATCTCAAAAACAAGCCTCATTCCCTTCGACATTTGAAACGGGATCCCCCGCCACATCCACCCGCTCCAAACTCTCCCAGCGGGTGCATGAACCCGAATCCGCCTCCCAAATCCCCGCCTCCCAGGCATCCGAAGTGATTGACCTCACTTCCAGCCCACATGAATCACCTGAACCCAGCACCTCCAATTCCAACCCATCCCAGCGCTCTAAATCTGCAGCGTATGGGAAGTCACAACGTGATGAGGACATTCCTCGCCCGTCTAGACGTCCACCCCGAGCTTCTACGGGGAGACTCCAACACATGGTGGAAGTGAGTATCAGTCCTTCCAATCAGAAGAAGAGACGGTCGTCGCGAAAGTTCTGAAAATATGCTTTATGGATCGTTATTGAAGTTGAAGAGATATGGATGTACTATTCACATTTTACCTTGTCTGTATATGTATGGACGCAGAGCGATGGCGTCTAGGAACCTTGCACATTCATTTTATTCCTGGACATTATTTTATTTCGGCTGAAAGTCAATACAATGTTATGATTATTCTGAATGTTCTTGCAGATGACAAACCCCTAGTGGTGTCATACCTAGGTAGTAGTATACTTCAGTCCTGGGGGAATTATTTTGCAGCTGTCCACTCATAGTGCGCGGGGTACGGACTTCAAGCTATACGTGTGTATACGGTGTACTATTTTGAGTATATATCTTTATTTAGCCAGCCACAGTAAATAAATCGCCTATAGGAGATAAATAGTTAAGTATTTTGCTCACATTTATACTTTTATCTTTTAATACATAATATCTAGCCAGATCAAGACCTACCTACCAAGGTACATAGCCATAATAATAAACTTGGAATACCTGTAGATCAATGACAAAACCCTGACGGTGATTGGTTGGACTCATTTATCAAGTGATGTCATGGGAGTTGTGTATACTTCAGGTATATTGCACGACATACACTCTTCAAAGTATTTCGGTCAATGGATTGAAACAAAGAGAATAACCTATTTGGCCAACTTATTCTTCCATTCTCTCTTTTCCTCCCCTTCAATCATGTACCGTCTCAGTCCATGGCCATCTCTCCAAGTACCCCGGCGGTGTAACTGTCTACTCTCGTCATTACGCCATATTCCCTCACCCCGCATATCCAGCTTACTCTGGACCTCTTCCTCTTTCTCCTCCTCCTCCTCCTCCTCCTCTTCTTCTTCAATCCCTTCAATATCTAGCCCCCATTCATCTCCATTCAACTCAATCCAATCAAAACGCTATCTATCCAATCTATCAACAATGTCTCAAGAATACAAACTAAAAGATATCTCCTCCTTCGCATCCCTCAACTCTCTAGACAAGATCGAGGCCGAAATTGAAGGCATTGAAGATGGAAAAGTTCTCCTCGTCAAACTGGAAGACAAGGTCCATGCCCTAAGTCCACGGTGCACGCATTACGGAGCACCACTGAAGAATGGTGTTGTTACTGGAGATGGAAGGCTTACATGTCCCTGGCATGGAGGTGAGTTCTCCTTTTGTTCAACCAAAAGAAAAGAACAAAGAGCTAACAAGATACTATACATATAGCTTGTTTCAATGTCACAACTGGCGATGTGGAAGATGCTCCAGCTCCCAACGCGCTGAACAAGTTCGAAATCTTCGAAAAAGAAGATGGCGTATACATCCTTGCTAAAGAAGAAGATGTCAAGGCAGGACAGCGCAATCCAGTGGTGAAATGTAGCGTGTCAGAGCCGAAGGAGAAGGTTGTTGTCGTTGGAGGGTAAGTCTCCCTTTTCTTTTTCTTTTTCTTACCTCGTCATTGTGCACATTTCGCGTGATATATTCAACTTGTCGGTCTGGATGTATGGATGGGCGGGCACTTGACCAAGCGGTTGTTGCTGGCGACAAACATAGAGTTAGAGGCATAGAGGGTTAGAATTAGAGCACCGCCTGTTTGGAACCCGCCCATCCTCAGCTCGAGTGCCGCTTGATCTCGAGTTGCCGGATCGCCTCTGGGCGATGACTTTCTTATTTTTCGTCTTTTTTTGGGATGCTATTCATAGTACTCCACATTGCTTCCCTGCTTCCCAGTGCCTCCCCAGTGCCGCTGCATGTCCCATACGCCCTATGCACATGTTTCTACATTTCATCTCATCCAGATAATGGGGTACCCACACTAACACTAAACAGAGGAAGTGGAACTCTTGGCTTGATTCAAGCTCTCCGCGAGCTAAAATACCCGGGGTCGATTACAATCATTTCTCAAGAGCCCGATCTAATCATAGATCGAACCAAGCTATCCAAAGCTTTAATCACAGACCCTGCCAAGATCCAATGGCGTCCACGAGAGTGGTATGCCGAAGCCGCTATAAAAACCATCACAGATGAAGTGACGGCCGTGGACTTTGAGCAGAAATCCATCTCCACCAAATCCGGCCAGAACATCCCCTACACCAAACTGGTCCTAGCAACAGGTGGCGTCCCACGCAGACTCCCACTAGAAGGCTTCAAAGGCGAACTCAACAACATCTTCACCCTCCGCACAATCCAAGATGTGGAGTCCATCCTCACAGCCGCCGGCCAAGAAAAACGAAACATCGTGGTAATTGGCAGCTCCTTCATCGGCATGGAAGTCGGCAACGCCCTCTCAAAATCCCACAACGTGACAATCGTTGGAATGGAAACCGCCCCAATGGAGCGCGTAATGGGCGCCCAAGTCGGCCGAATCTTCCAATCGAACCTAGAAAAAGCCGGCATCAAATTCAACCTCTCAGCGAACGTAAGCCACGCAACACCCTCCCCTTCAAACACCAGCACCGTCGGCGCAGTCCATCTCAAAGACGGAACAACCCTCCCGGCCAACCTCGTCATCCTAGGCGTTGGTGTCCGCCCAGCAACAGATTTCCTCCGCGACAACAAATCCATAACCCTCGAAAAAGACGGCTCTATCAAAACAACTTCCCACTTCCTCGTGCCAGGCTTGCAAGACTCCGTCTTCGCAGTCGGCGATATAGCAACATATCCTTACCACGGCCCTGGCGCTGACGCTGGCGGTTCGCCAGTCCGCATCGAGCACTGGAACGTCGCGCAGAATTCCGGACGTGCGGCTGCACGTGCTATCGTGCATGCGCAGCGTGGTCCGCTGTCGTCTTTGAAATATAAGGCGTTTATTCCGGTGTTTTGGTCGGCGCTTGGGTCGCAGTTAAGATACTGTGGCAATCCGGTTAATGGGTATGATGATGTGATTCTGCAGGAGAAGGGGGACGCGAAGTTTGTTGCGTTTTATACGGCCGGGGAGACTGTTGTGGCGGTTGCTACTATGGGAGTTGACCCGGTTATGGTTAAGTCTGCGGAGTTGATGAGGGTTGGGAAGATGCTGCGGAAGGCGGAGATTGTTGGTGGTGCGGATGTTTTGACCGTTAAAGTCTGATGGGATATTGGGATTTGGGGTTTAGATATTAGTGAATATGTCGGATAGTTTGAATCAAGTGTTTTAAATGTTCAATTGGCATATACACATTCGAATTCGAAAGGGAAAATAAGAGCAAGCAAACCGGAACGCCCATCCAGGATGTAGTCAACAGTGATATATGATATCGGTGCTCATGCGGACATGTATACAGAGCGAATTTATTCGTCCTTGCTCTTCGACTTGGAAGACTTGGACTTCTTTTCTTTCTTCTCGGTCTTCTCCTTCTTCTCTTTCTTTTCCTTTTTCTCCTTCTTCTCCTTCTTGGGGCTGGCATCAGGATGCACATCCACAGTCGAGAGCTCCTGCACCGCCGACGCCGCCGGGACGTTCATCACGGGGATAGACCCAGAGACCTTCTGAGACGCAGGGAAGAAAGAAGGAGGCAAAGACTGTCCCTGGCGCTCAGATGCAGAGAGCCTCTCCTCCTCCTCAGCAGAAAGCATAGTTCCCTCAATACTGAGGAACCCGCGATCCCGCTCAGAACCGGGAATAACATCCACATCAACAACACGGAAGCGCACAGAGCCACTCACGCGGTGCCCAGAAACAGACTGGAAGTAACCGGTGTGAGCAGACTCATCCTCCTCCTCACCGTTAATGGCGATCTCCTCCGCAGAAAGCGAAGCAGGCTTGAAACATTCCTTCTCGGCATCGAAATCCGCCATATCCTTATCAGAGCCTGAGTCGTCATCGGTCAAAGCCGGTGTCTCACCCTCCTCACCGGGCGGAACCCATTTCCAGTTCGAAGGCAGACGCTTGCGCTCAATACCAACAGAGAACAGATTGAACACTACAGCACCGAGGAATCCCTCCGACTGCACATTCACCCATCCGTCAAGGGCCTGTCCGCGCTGCGGCCGGAACATCAAGAACGTAGCGGTCAGGTAGACGTACAAGACACCGTACTCGTCCGCTGTTTTGGCGAGTGTAAGCGGCTGCGGGTTCAAATCCGAGGAAGCGCGAGGATGAGCCGGCGGCTTGCTGGAGATCGAGGCATTGGAGTAAGCCAAGACGACACCCTTCAGCGGGGGAAGTAGGTCAGAAGCAGTGGCGAGAGATGCTCGGCCAGCAGCGAGGCCAGCGCGTGCGTTGGCGAGATGGAGATGGGCGACAGGGGCAGGTAGAGGGTTGCTGTTGTGAGGGTGAAGGGCGACTCGGGGATTGAGTCTTTGATTTGTGGAGTTTTTGAAGATGGGGCTTGCTTTCGCTTTTTAGATGGTGATGCGGATGAGGATGCGTCCTTTTTGGATTTGCGTTTGCGCTCGGCGTCCGCTGTGCGCACCGGCAGGTTGTCGATTTCCATTGCGTCAATTGCCATCGTGGAGGCAATTTGGGCGCTCCACGGAGCTTGTCGTGTCGATGTGGAGGGATTGAAGTGCTTCTTTTTTTTCTTTCGGCGTCGAGAACTTTTTTTTTTTTCATTTGGCTTTTGGTATGACGGGACGGGAAGGCGGTGGGGTTGGGCGGTGACGGGGCGGGACTATTTGGGGAACTGCTCTTTGGGGGGGTCTTATTGTTGTAAACGCCAAGTGGCGCTTAGAGATCTATCTTTTATTTTTCTGATTTCTTGTTTGCTATGGTGCAGTTGAGGCTATTTGGGTGATATTGATTTATTCGACATGGCGTCGCTTTTGCCTTTCTTCGGATGGGCTTTTCTCCCCAATGTGAGTGGAGCGCGATGCGGAGCTATACAACACGTGGAATGGAAGCTGATATGAATGACAGTATGCCACATCATTCTTACAAAGTGTCTACTATGGCATAACCATACGGGCGGGTGAACCCAAGCCACTCCCTCAGACTCCGCGGTATGAGCGCCATCGTCGCCGTATCTTCATCTTCGTGATCACCAGTTACCTCCTCTACACGCTTTACGAGACCTTCTACCAGGTACAGCTTGCAGGCGATTACTACCAAGCACTAGGTGTATCACCCTTTGCCGATGAACGCGCAATCAAGTCCCGATTCCGCCGGCTCGCAGCTCAATATCACCCCGATAAAGTCGGGCTGGACAGCGGTTCCGATGCTTACTTCCTGTACCTTCGACAGGCGCAGGAAACACTGGTGGACCCAGTGAAGCGATTTGCGTATGACCGGTTTGGGACAGATATGCTCGGATGGGGCGAGCAGAAGACCATGCGCGACTTCCTGATGACTTCGTTGGTCAAGTCGGTTGTCCCGCAGTATATCGGCGGGTTTGTCACAATGCTTGTGCTTAACTGGCTATGGTGGGCGAATTGGGGCCGTTATGTTAGTCCACAAGATAATTACTGGAAGACTTTCAATTGCATAAGCTGACTCTGTTGTTAGTGGCGGTTCTACACGTTCGCCGCAATGCTGACCCTCGAACTCGGCTTGATTACGCACCCCCAGGCTGTGTTCATGCCTACCACATACCTCCCCGTGGCGCTACAAGCTTGGCTCCCTAAAAACTCATTCTACCTTCTCCCCTTCCAGATCCTGACGCTGGCACGCCGCGCCTCCATCATGTTGCACATTTTCATCTCCCAGGCTGCACCGCCCACTGCTAAGGTTGCCGGGAATGGGAATGGAAACGATAAGATATCGCCGCAGACTGTGCAGCGGATCGGAGAGTTGATCCAGTTGACGCGCGGCACGGATATGGAGGCGACGCGGATGCTACAGATGGGTCTGGCACCTTTCCGTGGTGACCGTGAGAGTGTATCAACACTCCGGCGGGGTATGAAGGAAGGGCTGATCCTGGGCGGGGTGCGGTCCAGTCCTGAGGTGCAACGTGCTGTGGCACAAGTGGTTGAACGACGCAAGGCTGAGGGTGACAGTAAGCGCGATTGATTGGATTTTCAGGTGTAGACTTGAAACTAGAAGGTTAGATGTATATTTACATATTTCCAGATATTGTATCCATAAATTCTTCGTAATCGATTAAGTATATAGTTATTTTGTGCTTTATTCTGGACGATCCCTTGGCAGTCGCGTAATTTGGCAAATTCTTTTGGTTCACCCGTGGACTAATCGAAGTTCACCTTTCCGAAGTGGCGACCCGTAGTGCCCGTACTTTGTAGGGGGGCTTTGTGAGAAGACTCGTGATACCCTCACCAGATCTGTTCAGAACGGGTCCACCTGGACTTGATCTCAAAGAGGTGTGAGGTTTCTCTGTTTGTAAAAGACTAAAAGAAGGGGAAAAAAGGGCGCATCTCTCAAGACATCATGCGGTCAATGAGTTATTTTTCGGGATGCAGCGGGTGGAATGAGATCCATCAACGGGTTAGGGTTGGGTTATTTGGGCGATTTGTTAGATTAGAGATTGGTCAGACTGTCGGGTTTCTGTCTAAGCAAAGAAGAGACACCCAATGACTCTGAAGATCATGAAGATCATGAAAATGTTCAAGATGTTCAAGATGTTGAAGTTCAAGTATTCACCCCAAATTAATCACAAGGAAGGTCTCGAGAGAAAGAAAAAAAGGAAAGTACATATGTATATCGGTAATGTGGTATTGTATTGTCACAGTTCAGTATTAAGCTCTCCCCGTTGGTCCCGAAGTGACTTTCCAACCTTTTGGAAGTTTGTAAGATTCGAAAATGACCGTACAAGGCCGAAGTCCACACCTTCAACACATCCCCTGTGCTTCACCTTGAATGAGTTTTTTCTACGATGAGAGGGCCCACGATCCCTTTTTACTTCGCCCCTTCCTTGTTTTTCCTTTTTCCCTTTTCCTTTTCTTCCCCTCCCCCCATCTTCTTCACTCCGGACTATGCGATCAACCATCACATACTTCTTCTACATCTATAAGAGACGGGCGGTAGAGACACACACCACGTCACGGTGAATTGCCTACACTTCCGTCACCAGAAATTCCCCTCTCGTCCATCCAACCATATCCGGTACACTCGCGCAATCCCGACCCCCCTCAATCATCCACCATGCCCGCCGCCACTCCAAATGGTCGCTCTCGCGCTGGAGCCAAGAATTCATCCAACTCCTTGATGGTGGTTCTAAAGCTATCTGGGGATACCCTCCAGCAGTTCGCCAGTCCCAAGATCAAGCTCAGCCAAAATAATACCCCCAACATTAAAACCAACGACAACTCATCACCAGCTTCATCCGCCGAGCTCCCTCCTGTCCGTCCATCTTCCGCCGACAATGGCTCCGACGCCGACGCCCTTTCTACACCCGCCACAGGGGCAACTGCAGGCGATACACCGCGTCGGAAGGGGGTTCCGGGTCCCAAGCCTGGCAACAAAAGAACAAAAGAACAAACCGACCCTACTGCAAAGTCACGGGGACGCCCTGGTCCCAAGAAGAAACCCAGACTGTAAGCAAACCTAACACACATACCCTCCAATGCAGCACCACAATGCCAGGAAAAACCCAATCAAATACTAACATATTCATCTATCTTAGTGAGGAAGGCGATGCTACGAAAAACCCGGCCGCAGCGCGCCTGGGACCAAAAGCCAATACGGGAGCCATCAATGCCGGTCTGCGCGCACTAGACCGCACCGGAGCCGCGTGTCGCAGATGGGAGCGCAAGCCCCTGCAGCTACGCAGCTTTACCGGCATTATGTGGCAACTCCCATCCTGGCGCACACCCACTATGTCCAAGTCCGACGACTCGGTCGATGGCAAAGTCTCCGCGATGGAAAGTGGCGACAGCGACACCAAGCCTACACTCCATGCCCCCGGCACCGACACGGCCAATGGCAGCAGTGCGGTGCCTAGCGAGAAGAGCAACTCCGGGGATGGTGATATCACCCCTGCTTCTCATCTCGTGGAGCCCTCGTCGCCGGCCATTGCTATGACAGCTTGAATATGACTGACGAGTTCGGATGTGGTCTTTCGTGCTGTACTTATAGATTTCGCGCGTCTTCTGTTTCTTTTCTTTTCCTTTGGGTTTTATGTCGGATCTGGGTTTGGCGTCGGAGGGAAGTGTTTATGGCTAATGGCTTTTCTGTACGAAGGGCTTGTTTTTTTTATTTTTTTTTATGTGCCCGGGAGGTTGTCAGCCGGGGACCTAGCTTATTTCACTCGGTATGTGTGTTCTGTATTATAGCCCTTTACTTCTTGTTTTGCTGTTTATCGGCCATGTTTCTATCTTCTGTTCAGGGATCTTTGCTCTGGGAGCATAACACAGTTAATTTCGCTCAAGTTCTGGTTATACTCGATGGTATAGGGTTATATACTTGGATCTACCTAGGTACCTTACTACTTGGAAGTATACATCTGAACAAAGTCCTTGTCTGCCCGACCCTTAGTAGTACAGTAGCCGAGCTTTACTGTTCTGGTCCACATCAGCTCGTGACATTAGATTCTTCTCCCCTCTTTTTCCTTCTTATCCTTACTCCGTATAACATCCGAGTTCCCTTTTCCCCGCAATCTATGCAAGAGGATTCGTGATTTCTTCTCTAGTTATTTCGCTATTACTAGGCTCTGCACGTTTTTTTTTTTTTTAGAATTTTGGATCTCTTCGTATTTCTTTTTCGATAGAATAGTGAGGTTCCGACGTGGTAAGGTGTGCTGCTTTCGGACCTGTCACGCAACGTCACCCTTCTGCCGTGAGCGCCTTGTTTCCACGCATTATTTTACTTATCTTTTATTTTCCACGCACTTCAGTATCCGAAGCAGATATTAATTCCACGCACTTTACCCATCTAGTGACTTCGACTACTACGTACAAAGTACTATACAAAGAGGTTGCTATATCCACACACACTTCAGACTACTACAATGGCTAACGCTTACTACCACGCACTTACAGTACCCCTCAACCTTAACAAGTCAAACGAAATCAACGAAATCAGAAAGTGTGGACCCCCCAAAAGCCAGAAGCGAACAAACAGGAACGCAGAAAACGGTGGCCTTGATTTCGTGGCATCATTTGGGGGGCGACCCGCGAACATCATGGCCGATGCTCCTTTCCCCCATCCGGTGGAGCTCGAGCTCCAACCTCGTACCCCAACATCTCCTCCATCCCACGCCGTTCCTCCTACGCCTCAGTAGTATCTGGCAACGCATTTCCCCCAATCTCTAGTTCCTTCTCACATCTCCTTAACGACTACCACCCAATCTTCTACCCGTCCGACAGCCGAGTCCACCGGGCTCCGTTCGGCGTGGATGCCGCAGACATGCACATGAACTCCGCCTGGAGAAACACAGGTTCAACAGAGTCACTTCCTCCCTGGTCTCGCAAATATGCCGGCTTTCTACGCCCGGCCGAGTTTCCGCACGGCCTAGGCCTCGCCGATGCCCCGGCCTTCCTCACCCCATCCTACCTCCGCAACTCCCGCTACATCGCCCGTCTCGAGACTGCTCACCGCGCTAAGATCGCTACCCAACAACGAGACCCCTCATCTACAACATCCAATCCTCCCCTATCCGCCTCATCCAGCAATGTCCACTTGCCCCGCATCGCCCCGTCGCACCGCGGCATGACATATGAGATCATAGAGAAAGAACCGCCCACCCCGGCCGATCCCCTCATGCCGCTGCCCAGTCAGTGGAGTTCTGTAGACAAGTTTTCCGGCCTAGAATTGTCGAACGAGAACTTTGATGTGCGCTACACTGGTCCTATGCACAAGCATGACCATGAAGCCGCTGCCTTGCGTGCGGATCACCCTATGCCGCCGCAGTGCGGGATCTATTACTTTGAAGTGAAGATTGAGTCAAAGCCGAAGGAGGGGTATGTGAATCAGCTACTCAGTGGATATTTATTGTCGAAGCTCACTGTTTCTTTCTAGCATGATCGGTATTGGGTTTTCTAGCCCCAAGGCGTCCGTCGAGAGGCTGCCCGGTTGGGAGACGGAATCCTGGGCTTACCATGGCGATGACGGAAAGTCGTTCTTTGGTGAGAGCCAAGGCCAAGGTCGAGCATATGGACCGACTTTTGGTGCTGGTGATACAGTCGGATGTGGTGTCAATTTCTCTACCGGATCTGCGTTCTTCACTAAGAACGGTGTTTTCTTGGGTAGGTTTTTGTGTAGATTGTGATTAGGATATTTTAGGCTAACTTTGACAGGAAATGCGTTTAACGATCTGCGCAGTACGAACCTTTTCCCGTCTGTTGGAATGAAGAAACTACCGCCAGTGCATCTCAAGACGAACTTTGGACAGGAACCTTTCGTTTTTGATATCGATGGCATGGTCAAGGTTTGTGCTTCCTGCATTACACACTCGGAAGTTGTCAAGCTAATTCCTACCAGCAAGAGAGATTCAACATTCTATCAGAGATTAACGAAACATCCACGGCTGGCCTGCAACCGCCGTTGGACGAATCGACACTTTTGCAAGAGTTAGTTGCGCAGTTCCTAGCCCATGATGGTTATGTAGACACAGCCCGTGCATTCGCACAAGAGGTGGCCACCGAGACACTAGCCCTGCAGAACGGCCGCAACGAGCCACTAAAGAAATACGAGGTCGAGGAAGACCGCGAAGCCATCAACCGGAACAGTAAGCCTATACCTCTACATTCCTCCCGGCGCCAAGCCCTCGCTGACAGCCCATAGAAATCCGCTCCGCAATCCTAGATGGCGACATTGACAAGGCCCTCAAGCACACCAAAGCCTACTATTCCAACGTCCTAGAAGACCACCCGCAAATCCATTTCAAACTGCGCTGCCGCAAATTCCTCGAAATGATGCGACGGTCCAACGAACTCTCCGCCGCAACCGCCGCGAAGCGCCGGGGCTCAACATCCTCCAGCTCGCAGGAGCATGCCGTCTTCGATCAGGAGATGGAGCTCGACGATGGGGATGGCGATGGCTGGGCTGCGGACGGCATGGAGACCGAAGAGCCCGAGGTCGTCGCACAGTTCAACCAGCTCCTCACTGAGGCAGTACAGTATGGCCAGCAACTGCGTGCCGATTACCCCACTGATGAGAATGGCGGCGATAAGAAGCTGCTGGATGATATCTTCTCATTGGTGGCTTATCCTGATCCGAAGAGGTCTGTGCATGGTCATTACCTCGATGCCGAGGGGCGGGTGGCTGTAGCCGAAGAGTTGAACTCCGCTATTCTCGGTATGTTGCTCGGTCTATTTATTCTGCTTCTTTGTTTATGTTTCTACTTGCAAGAACGCTAACTCGGCACTATATAGTCTCATTGGGCAAATCATCTGCTGCTGCACTGGAAAGATTATACCAACAAACTGAAGTGTTGGTTAACGAGATCAGTGAAGACGGCGGCGCTGGGGCGTTTATTAATGTTCGGGATGATATTCTGCTTTGATTGGCGCTGGTTGGTTCTTTTCGCTTCTTCACTAATGTTTCTTTCTTGTGAAGGGAGCTACCGATCTCAGATGTTTCATGTTGGTTTACTTTTACTTTCATGACTCTCTGTTTCTTTTTTACCCCTGTTTTCTTTTTTTGTCAAATTAACTTCTACGTATCTCTTAGCCAGAATGATGAGTCCTCTGGGATTACTTTTGAATGTTCACCAGTGATTTCCCAATGTTTAGTCCGTTTAATTAAACTTGAATATAACTACAATTTCCATTGAGAGACTCCTAGCTTATTATAATAACACTTTTGAACTCCTTGCCTCATTACTAGTAGCATTGTTGTATCCAATTATTTGTGACGTCAACTTCATTCCTATACTTCAAGGCGGTGAAACGCAGCAATATCAAAGCGGTAAGGCCTCGTGAACACCTGGAGGCTTATCTCATCCAAGCTGAACTCGGAGATCTCCGCTTTCTCAAATCAAATGGAGTCTGTGAGAGTCTGTGATACCTCGAAGCTGCAAGGTTCTCTGATGATCAGGTCTCTCCAAACACTCAGCTCCCCCAAGGGGCCACATTCTTAATGGATTCTCCACATAGCGCTGAGATCCTCAGCATCCCTACCCATTCCAGCGGTTCCACCACCCTACGCTGCTGCTGTGGCCGCAATGATTGTGCTTTACTAGAGCATAACAATGTAGCTCTCGAGGGCTTGGAGAAGGATCTGGAGACTGCTGCTAGACTGGGTCAGGTACGTATCTTGTTCGAATATAGCTGCCCGAAATGATGTGCTGTTGGTTGGGTATGACTAGACGCCAAGCTGTTTTTCGGCTGGCTGAGCCATGCATATTTGTTTGATACATCAATTCATCATTCCTCACAGACCACTTTGTATCAAATTACTTTTTTTTACTTTTGCCGTTTCATTTATACCACTCGGATTGCACATTCTGCATACCTTGTGCAGACTCCACATCATTTGAAAGATGGCCTCCCTCAGATCACGATCTCCCATTCTCTCGCACTGTGTTGGCGTCTGTCATGGCTACCTTTCATGATTATACTGCTCAGGCAGCAAGCGTTGAGGCATCATCACTGACTTTTGCCCTACAGGCCTTGCTCCACCGTCATGAAAGTTATATGGCTGAAGCGGAAGAGGACCGTCATCGGTTGGTCGACAGCATTGACGATCTAGAGCGCGAGAAGCAACAAGCTCAAGCGGAAAACGCGCGCATCATCGAAGAGAATCGCAGTTTATTGGAGCAACTTGACAATTTGAATCAAGCGGTCGCCGAGTCTGACGACCATATCAAATCCCTAACTAGAACTCTGGAGAACACCGAATCTGAGTTGCGAAGGCTGACAGCTGCTGCGACGCGTGCCGCAGAACTCGAGGCGCAACTAGCTCTCATGGAGACAGAGCAGTCTAGACTCCAAGAGAGCCTTGTGTCAGTGCGTGAAGACGAGAAATCCGCCGTCCAGCGGTGGAAACAAGCAGAAACCACCCTGCGAGATCTTCACGATCAAGTCGACCGCATTGAGAAAGAGGCACGCGAGGAGAGGGATCGACATGCTGACCTCGTCCAACGCATGGAGCGCAAGAGAGCTGTGGAGCGCGAGCTGGACAACGCGGCAGGGCGTCTTAAGGGTGCCGCTGCCGCTTCTGAACTCAACCGCAACGCCGGTAGTACAAACGTAGTCTCTCGTTTCGTCAAGGACATATTGCAAGACAACGCCAATCTGCAGGTCGGGATCATGGAGCTACGTGACATGCTTCAAAGCTCGAACGAAGAAGTACAGAATTTACGGGAACAGGTTATCTCTCATCAGCCGCTGGCCGGCGTCGATGAGGAGGACAATACACAGCCAAGGCGTTCGACCACGCTGAGCGAAGAGCTACGAGCAAAGGAAGAACGACGCGTATCTCAGGAATTACACATTCATCATCATTTCCACACACCAAGTCCAGCTCCAACTACGAAGAAGGAGAAAGGCACGCTCAACCGTCGCGTGAAGAAACGTCGCCCCGCTTTGGGAAGCCCGGTAGCAATGCACTCAGCGGCGCGGGCGCAATCGCCTCGAAGAGCCCTCCATCGCTCCCAGTCATCTGGATCCTCTATGTCAACCATTCTGTCGCAGACCTCTGTATCCATCCCGCCCCATTCATCCTCCCGCCGGTGGTCCTCACAATCATATGCAGCAGACTCGCTGGCAAGCTCTCCTCGCTCTGCTTTCCGAACGTCATCGATATTTGATCGTGTTGAGCGTGGCGCCGACTATTCCGAGCCTACCAGCCCTGAAAGCACCGTGTTCTCTTCGCCTTTGATGCAGGCAAGGAACCTGAAGGGTCTTGATATACCATTCCGACCAATGGGTGGATTTGATCACCACGATGCACCTGACGACCTATCCGGATATGAAGATGATCTCTATAACCGCCAAGACTTCTCGAACATGGGCGATAATGCCACAAGAGAGCCAGCTATCCCAGAAGAATCCGAACCATCACCATCGGTAGCATACTTTCCGCCCATGGGTGAGTCACTGACGACCACCGACGAAATTTTTACCATGCATGTACAGCCTTCCTCCTTGCGCAGATCTTCTTCTCATGACAGCTTGCTCTCCGTCTCCGTTGCTGGAATGGACATTCATACACCCACCAGTCGCCACAAGCGAATGGGTGACTGGCATCCCGGCATGCGGATTCCTCGCCGCATCTTGTCACCCAGTGTCGAACTACTCTCAACACCCCCTGTGGTTTCAGCCCCAGCCATCACAGCCGATCGTGCAGTAAGCTCGGGGCACACATCCCAATCATTGCTTGCCTCCATGGCTGCTGGAAACCCCACAAAGTCCGATACAGCATCTATAGTATCCACAGAAAGCACTAGCACCAGCTCAACCTCAACCCTTGGACCTCGCAGATCTACGACCCTAAGTCGCCGCATGGGAGGTTGGGTCCTAGGCCGATGGGGCGTGGCACCTGTCTCAGCCGACAGTGACTCGCAAGATCCGACAAACTCGGTAACCACGTCTGTGGCATCGTCACCTTCTACATCTACATCCACGCCCAAATCAGTTGACCCGCTGGCTCTTCGCTTCAGACATCCAGGCGTAAACCAGAAGGGTCCGATAATGGGCCTGCGGCCTCCGCCTCCTGCTCCGATCTCAATTCATGCTGAAAGCATAGACGAAAACCTGCTGCGAGAGAGTCTAGCTGAAGAGATTCACTAGATTCCTCCTAACTTAAATACCTGCACATTCATTGTTCTTTAGCGGCTACACTCGTTTTAATCTTGCATCTATTATCTCTTTATTTTTACTTTTGCATCCTGCTATCACGGTTTTGTTGCATTTCTTGGATTCCTGGTTTGGAATGGCGCGAGTTGCGATGATACCCATGCTTTCATCTTTGATTTCCTAACCTGTCTAGATGATACGATGTACATTCTTTGGTCCTTTCACAATGTATGTTTTTTAGACAAGATCGTGTGTCTTGGACTTGACTTCATTGAGTACCTCAATATCATTGGAGTTTTACCCGTCAAGAAGATCGAGTTGAACAATTTTGCATAGAGTTCCCTTGGGGCTAGTTATATACAGTAGCAACGAGATTTATGCAATCACTAACTTTTGCATCATTTGCATGATATCACATTCTCTACTCATACTCATTACCTCGTGATGTAAACGCAGTTCGAATGGCTGCTTATTTCGTCCGCGAAATCCGATACGTCCGGATTGGAATGCTGGTCGAATGGAAGAAACCCGTCTGTTCTTCTGATGGTGTAGATTCGAACGGGAGGGTTTCAACGGCGAATGAGTTGGTTTCTGTGAATGTTTAGCGCATAAGTCATGACGATCAACGTTGTATCAAGAATTCAAGACTCACCACAGGCATTCAAGAACGTGCGGAAAGTATGCTCATTGCGCAGAGTCGCAGCAATGATAAATTCTTTAATGTGGTAGTTTTCGAAAAGATCCCGCACAGTAGATAGGAGTAAGGGAACAAGATCGGTATCATAGATCTAGACATGTAAGCATGAAACCCAAGTAAACAGCCCATAAATACACCTACCAGATCAGCACCGAGAGCAACATCAAACCTCAGCCCAGTCCCCTCCTCGCCCTCATCAGAACCCAACCCGGCAAGATCCCCCTCCCTCATCAATGGAGTCCCCCAGTCCCAAACAGCAGGATAAATAGGAATGGACTCGCGCCCATTCAAATTATGCTTGACACAATCACGAATATTATCAATAAGCGCGGGCTCACGATCAGTAACAACAACAGAGCGCACACCAAGATAGCACGCACAAACAAGCGACAAGAAGCCCGTCCCAGCACCCAATTCGATAACACGCTTACCGCGCACAAGAGCCTCGCCCGCTTCAGACGCCAGGAACGAACCGAGGTGCAGAGCAGCCTCCCATGTTCTATTTCCGGTGGTTCCACCTGAAAGAATCAGGCCGCGGGATTCAGAGATCGTCACAGTGCGCTCTGGGCAGGTTCCTGTACTAGATTTTGGTGCTGTGTACTTGACTAAGGACAGTTGCTGCGCTTGTTGCAGGGCTGAGGGTTTCGGCTGGGAGACTAGTGTACTCCAGCTTTCCATGAGATCATCGTTGATCTCCTGTATTCATTAGAGGGAAGAGGTTAGATATGTGGAACATCAAGGAATTTAAAAAGTGGGATTTGGTTTTGCATTGGTGTGAGGTGGATGTACATGGGATAGAAAAGGAAAAAAAAGGAAGTTTAAAATGCAAAATGCAAGACTCAAAACGAAAGGATTTAAACAGGTGGGTAAGCATACATCCTCCTCGGGGTTGGTAATTGATTCCTCGATGCGTGAGAGAATCTGTTTCAGCACTCGGCTTCGGTAGCTGTCTGGTGGGATAGGAAAGACTGCATTTTCGTTGAACATGCGCTCGTACAAGGCTGCTTGCACGGCTGGCTGGATCAGTACAGGGCCTGGTGGGAGGGCCAAGTTCTGCAGCTCGACCAGCTGGAAATATTGCGCTGCTAATTTATCAATGGAGTCGGTCATGGTTGCTGAATGCACATAGTAATGAATTTGATATCGCAGGAGATCAATGCGGCAGATATCATTGGAGCCCCGGGCGAAAAAAGTGGATGAGTCAGAAATGACATAAGCAAGGGCTGATCAACACTTTCCGCCTTAGGCAGAATATTTCTTAGTCATTATAGCCTGAGGCAGATACCCTATTTAGGCTAGCGTCTACCCTAGCCGAGCCCACACCACACGAAAATTGAAAGTTCGACATCCTCAGAGACCCCGTCGACACTTCCTCCATCCAACGCACACACCAAAATGGCCGACACTCCCGTCACTCTGCGGACTCGCAAGTTCATCCGCAACCCTCTGCTTGCCCGCAAGCAGATGGTCGTGTAAGAACCCCCCTGATTTTCCCCCTCGTTTTGGATCTGTGTGTGGGAAATGCATCGCAGGCGCGCAACATGGAAATTCGACAATCACCCAACACAAGAAAGAAAGAGAAAGAGGAATACAATCGGAACTCGCAATACGCACACACACACAGAAACAAGCATCGAAAACCCAGAAAACACCGATCTGACATCTTTTCGCGAATATCTAGGGACGTCCTCCACCCCAACCGCCCCAACGTCTCCAAGGACGAGCTCCGTGAGAAGCTGGCCGACCTGTACAAGTCCAACAAGGACCAGGTCTCCGTCTTCGGTTTCCGCACACAGTACGGTGGTGGTAAGAGCACTGGCTTCGCTCTGGTCTACGACTCCTCCGAGGCCCTCAAGAAGTTCGAGCCCCACTACCGTCTCGTCCGTATCGGTGCCGCCAGCAAGATCGAGAAGGCTTCCCGCCAGCAGCGTATGTTTTTCCTCTTCGTCTTTGCGATTATCAATCGCAAAAAAGACATGATATTATAATATTCTCTTTTGCTAACCCCTTCCTCTCCCTACAGGCAAGCAACGGAAGAACCGCTCCAAGAAGTTCCGCGGTGTCGCCAAGGTCAAGGGCCCCAAGAAGAACAAGGATTAAACGCCTCATCTGTAACTATTCGCACGATTCAACATGGACCGATGATGCGGCATGGCGCGATGGAAAAGATAATGGCGGTGACGGCTTTGGCTCTGGAGTTTCCCACCTGGTTATGGCTTGTCCGAACCCAGGTGCGGTCGGTCGTGTGTGGGGGGAGTGGTTTATCTTCCTTTTCAGCGAACATCAGACTAAAATCCAAAATGATGCCCGTTGATTGGTGAAGATCGTGGACGGATACTCTTTTTTCTTCCTGTGCTTGTTGGAGCTGGTGATTCCCGAGAAAAAAAAAAAGACCTGGCGATCCCCATGGAAATTTACAAACAGGGCGTCAGTGTTGTGGTTCTTTGTGTGTATGTTTTTTTTTTGGGGAGGGGATCATCAGTCTTCGTGAAGACGGCCGGGGTTATGAGAATCCGGGCTTCGGCTGTTTGCCCGGGATGAAATTACATTTTACTTGTTTCTCTTCACTCGGTCTGGCGGTCTTGTAGCTGTACTTGTACTTGTACGTTTGTACACTTGTACGGGGTCATGGATCCTCTGATGTAGTTGGATCTGCAGACTGTAGCCTCAAGCCCCTCTGCGGCGTAGTCTAGGCTCAGTCTATATAAAGCCATGTCCCCATGTCCCCATGCCCCTCCATGTTCTATGCTTCAATGCGGAGTACATAGTTCATATAATGAAGCATGTCTAACTCAATTGATATAATAGTCAGCCCTCGTCTTGCCTATATCAATGCAACTATATCAAGTACACAAAAACCGAAGAGTGAAATCATCATGGCAGCCCCTTAGCCCCTATGGCGAAAAGCTCAATCTGATCTCTCAAGAACCCTTCCATCACAGTGGATTCCTTCCCCCGTTGAAGCAGATAATCCGTAAAACCAGGGGTGTATTCGATACTTCCAACACCAGGACTGAGAACAATGCGCCAAGCCAGCATATACCCAGCGACATTCCATGCCACCTGTTCTATTCTACCCGCGAAGACGGGGGCATGATAGTCCTGCGTATCTTTAATTCTCTTCTCCCAGTTAGTGCTCTACTGATCTACCCATGCATAATAAACCTCTAGCACAGAAGACGGGTACGAGCTGAGTTCTTCTTCTGACTCGGTGTATCCTTGCTGGTCGTCACCAATGTCCCCCTCGGCTCGCCAGAGGAAGTCGGTTCCATATTCTGGAAATATGCGATAGTGTTGAAGCGGATATGATGGTTCTAGCTTGGGAGAAGGAGTTTCAATTGTCGTCATCTCAACTACTAAGTCATCGAACTCAGTTGTGAGTTTGAGTATAAAATCAAACGTGGTTTCGATGACTGTCATTCCATCGGACTCGGTGCATGGTTCCTCGGAAAGCGTGCGCTATGCGTCACCTAGGTTCGTGATTGATGTGATGTATTGATGGGATTAGGATTGTCGTCTGAATACAGCGAGGGGTTTGAGGAGTTTGGATGTCATGGTTTCTTTAATCGGTCCGCTGGTCAGGCGTGGCAGCTTTGGATAATGCGGGGTGTGATGTCTACGGGTGGGAAGTCCTTGAATTTAGGTACATCTTATAAGGGTTTATTCTTCTATGAGTCAAATGCGGGCGTTTATAGTATCTCGATATAATTATACTTGAACCAATTGGGGTGGTAGGGTATGGACAAGGGAGTGTCTATTAAAAGAAACACTAACCGCCGTCACCATGTGAGCGATTGGTCCTCATTTTTCGGAAAACAATATCTTAGTAGGTGCAAGCATGTTAATCAAGTTCCTTTTGTATATCCGAAATAAATTTTTTGGAAAATATCCCGTCAATGCATTAGGTTACATAGTCACTTGAAGGTTATTGCCCCAAGGCGCTAAAGCCCTAATTTAGGGCCATTGAAGATTGAAGACTTATACGAGCCGGCTGAATGTTGCAGCTGATCATTGCCGGAGCAAACTTGTGATTGATTGTAATAATTTCGCAATAATGGACTACTTCATTTAGTAGAGTAAGCAAAATACATATAACTATATATATGTAGTGTCCGCCTACATATACAGCAACAATCTAAATCCCACTACAGCCACCCCAACTGAAAGCCAACCAATCACTCCATTCGACTTTTTTTAAAGAATAAAATAAAAGAATAAACCAGTAGGTACAATGCAGGAACCAAGTTCCCAGACCAAGCCATCAAATCTAGCATAACAAGCCCCCGAACGGAAGCCAGCCGGGAGTGGCTGTGTAAGTATATCCCTCGGGGTGGATTGCTTGTACGATGGGCGTAGATTACACAACCTAGAACAAATTCCCTTTCCCTCAATATTCCCCTTTAAATATAATTTCCCATATGGAAATAGTACATTCCAATTCCACGTGGACTTGTTCAAGTTAGGATACTGGTCGTTTGACTATACGTATCTACTACCGTAGGATTTCCGGCAGTACCCGAACACGTCCATGTCAGGGTTGTATACGGCATGGCCGGTTGGATCATTGTATCACTGCATCCTGGTCTAGGGCGGGAGTCAGGAGTTCGCTGATGTAGAGATTTGTGTGCTACTTTATGGTTAATTAGGAAGGATCCTGGTGCTGGTCCCGGGGTGCAGGGCACATGGTTAGCCCTAGTTTGTGCTTTTTATTATTGCGGTTAATTGGAAATACATGGGAATGGGGTTTATTATATGTATTGTATTATTTGGGGGATATGATCGTTAGCTGGGAGGTTGTATTTGGTATTGGATGGAGATATAGATACTGAGTAAGAACAGATAGAGTAGATGAAAGACATTACTTTCTAGACATTACTTTCAGATGTGCCATACAAGGCAAATGAGAAATACCCTCCACGCTTTGAAGAATGACTAGAAGACACAAGACTAGGATTGACACGATCCCCGAGTCAAGACGCGGATATCACATATCACAGACCGGAGAGTTCCTCGTGGTAGCAATATAAAATAAGACATTCCACAAGACTAAACACACATGGCATGAAAAAAATTAGCATATTTTTGAAACAGACATCGAACCACAGATACAAATCACTGCATAAAGCCACTCTGGGGTATTAGGAAGTAATCTTGGACGGGTGTGCCCTCCTGGATCTTTTCTCTTTTGGATGAACATAAGCAAACAGAAAAAGACAACAGAACAATAAATCAAAACAAACAGAATAAACATAGAAAACCAAATCGACAAACAGAAAAACAGAAAAACAGAGAGCAGACATAAGAAAGACATTAATTGGGCAGAACAAAGGCAGGCATAAACGGCCTTGATATGGGTATCTCTTTTGTATATCTTGTGGGAAAGAAAGAAACCAAGCAAGAGACCAACCAGGAAAAGAAGAGAACAATGAAGAAGAATTCATCAGGGTAGGTATACACCTTGTGTTTGGTACAACGAGATCAAAAGACAGATTGAAGTCAACTCAATACGCCCCCTGATGACCCAACGGTGAAATAGCAGACCGATGAAGATCAACCGACCGCCCATAATCCGACAAGCCATCAGCCAATAAACCATACGGCAGCCCAACCGCCGAGTCCGCATGTCGAACACGCGTATAGGGCAAGCCATTAACGAGCGTCGGTGCCGAGCAACGCACATCACCCTCGACAATGCCCCTCGACTTTCTGTGCTCACTGCTCGCATATCCATACACATCAGGAGAACAATCAGAAGTCAGCGTGTGCAGGCGCTGCCCCGCGTTGCTATTGCGAGAAAAATTGCGTCCCGATGTGTTGTACTCGCCCACGAGAGTGTTCTCTATCGTGTCCAGGGCTGGGTAAGGTGGGTTTGCAGCGGAGGTGGCCATGGATGAGGATGTGGCTGCGGGGAGTGGAGAGGGATCTTCTGTGGTGGACATGGGGATATATCCGAAGACGAGGTCTGGTGTTCCATCGTCCGAGTCGGTTGATTTGATGCGTGCTGGGGCTGAGGGGCTGTTGTTGCAGAGACCGTTGCTTGAGACGGCGGGCATGGCCACTGCCCGCCCGTCTGGTCCGGTTGCGTACCGTGAGTTCCAGCCCTTTGAATCAGCGGCTAGGGACATGCCCGAGAGGCCGTCTGGGAGGGTGGAGAGGCTGATGTTTTGCTGGGGTTGGCTTCGACAGGTTGGGGGTGTTGGGAGGGTGCGGTCTACAGCGTCTGTGTAGGCTGTCATTGCTCCTGTTGAATGAGGCATTTCAGTTGACATGGCTTGGCCTGGAAGGACGAAGCCGTATGCATGGTTCATGTTGGTGCTTTGTTCTTCGAAGAACTCGCCGTTGGGTCTGCCGTGGAGGTCCCAGGCCCGGTTGCTCCATGCGGTACCATAGTCGAGCATTGCTCCCTGGGTGTTAGACAGCATGTACCCTGGTGATGCCTGGCCGTGGTAGCCTGACTGGTCATCATAGGAGTGGTCCATGCCGACATGTCGTGAGAAGTTGGACTGGACATCCAGTTCATAATCTTCTCGCTGGTATGGGGCTCGCATTTGAGGGGAGCCCATGAGGATTGACCTTCCCTGGCCCTTGTTTGCATAGAGTCTAGCTGCCTCTCTAGCAGCGTCTTCGGGAGCCAAAGAGTTGACCTGGGCAGCAAAAAGAAACTAGGTTAGTGTGACTCCTTCATTGTGGATATTGTGGATTCGGACCTACTCGGATGTATTGGCATTCAGTAGCTCCAACACTGCGGCAGCTGGAGCAAGCCAGGCCAGTGTTTAGATCACCGTTACACTTGATTTTTCTCTTCCGGCATCGATTGCACTGGGGGAGGGTTAGAAATCGCCAGGTGATCAAGATAGAGAGAGCAACTTACTGCGACTAGGGCTCGCTTTCTCTGTTTCCGTGGCTTTTCGTCCCGCTCTACAACAAGACTGCGCTCCTGTTTGGCCACACGCATGGATCGAGCCATAGAAATGGTTGAGTTATGCCGCGCTTGGTCTAGTCCAGACAGATTGCCGTATGTGTGATCCATAATATCGGCAAAGAACAATAACCCAGTTCACTGTTCAGCAAAGTAAAAACCTTGAAATACCCAGAAGAAAAGTTCAGAGTAAATGCCTATAAGTCAATGTTGAGAAGAAAGTGGAAAGTAGAAAGTGAAAGAGATGTCTCTGGGAAATAGGGCTAGATTTAAGCCATGTTTTGGTAACAATCGGTGTGATTGATTGCCTCTTTTTTTTTTTTATAATATATAGACATGATACGATATTTTTGCTCCCCTGCTTTTTTCTATATATTTTATTATTATTATTCTATCGATGCTGCCTGTGTGTTGAGATCCAAGAGAAGAAGACATACATAGTACATAGGCCAAAAGTACCCTGGACCTGGTTTCTTTTCTTTTTTTCCTTTCTTTTTTTCGATTTTATTTCCTATTCCCTATTTATCTTATTATTTTATTACCAATGTTTCGTATTTCTATTCTATTATTCTATTTCCAAATTATATGCAGAGTTCCGCCCGGATTTCCCCCAGTTGGCCCTAGTTAGCCCCAGTTGCCCCCAGATATGAACAGAAAATTGTCCCCCGGCGTTTTAAGAAGAGGTTCCACAAGGTAACGTCACACGGACATGACCTGATAGCCATGACGAGAACCAGACAGAGAGGGCTCCGGTAGGTAGTGTTTCAGCCAATTTGAAGCCGCCTTTTTTCTTTCTTTTTTAGATGTCTAGAAGAGGAAACAGTAAAGTCAAGAACTTGGTGTATCTCAGGATATTCAACGAGATAGAGAGAATAAAACGGGCAACTGCCGAGCTACTGTTTGCAGATACCTGACGATCCGCGGGGGAGTTTGTCCCAATGTCCGTGAATGTTTGCTCGATAGTTTTTGGTATAGCTGCAGGTTAAAATAGTCCGAACTTCCTCGGCTGTCGAGGTCTGGAACATATGTTATCTTGCAAACGCACGGTCTTTCATAAGGGAAAATAACAACAATAATATAATCAAAAGGGAGGGAAAACCAAACGCCTGTCTCAGGATGCTCCAAATGTCTCAATAGAGAAAGAGAGGAAAAAAGAAAATATAGCAAAATATAGCAAAATATTTCTCATGACACCTGTCACTTTGACAAGCGCACGAGTTGGCTTCCCCGAGCCAAGCGCGCTCTATAAAAATCCAGGGATCAACACATGGGGGTCGATCCTAGTGTTCTTTAGTGCTTTCGGTACGCAGCTAGATCGAAATGGAAGGGGGAATAAAAAAGCAAATCAAGTCCATAAAATGAGGATAAAATGAGAAAGGGATATAGTACTTATCCAAGTATATGGACTCTGATATCCATCAGATCTTGATCACGATCGACGTTAAAGGCTAAAAGGGGGGGATCTCAAAAGTGCCGACTGGGATGCATGAACTTCTGGGATACTTACAAGGTTCACACTTTACTACTTGGAGCTAATGTGGAGAGTGGGTTTCATGTTACAGTATGATATGGGGCAAAGAAGTAAGAAGGGGTTATCCAATATTAGTATAGTAAACCCCCATTCTAACTCACCTCAAGACATCCAGTGTCAGGACACGAGAGACATAGAAAGAAAAAAAGCCAAAACAGTGGGGAAGGCAATCAAAGTCGGGGTTTCAAAATACAAATTTAGACCCCATGGAGTCTTTAGCAAGTATTTAGACAAGTGTCCGGCAGTTCAAGGTTTGACGATGCACGACATCCGGGGGAAGTGGGAATTACGATTCTAGAGTCAGGAGAAAGCCCTGGCTATGCCAGCTGACTCTGAGTTGACTCGCCAGGAACACATGTTGGGATTGAGACTGGCTTCTGTTGCAGACGATACGGTGGACGCAACCCCTGACTGACCGGAGTTCTGCACCCTAGAATCGAGAAGGCGAGAGAAGTCTAGGCAAGAGGCTCATTCAGGATTGATCATATCCTATCCCACGTGTGTGGCTCTTTTCCAAGAAGTTAGTCTGTGATGATGATGATACCCGTTGGATCCTGCTGCAGGAGGCCGCCCGTTTCCCCTTCCCAACGTTTCTGTTGTGGAACAGCTCACGGGGGAAGTTGGTACTGTCCTAGAAAAAAAAAGAAGAAGAGGACCGTGTACCTCCCATGGAAGCTGCGAGACACCATGATCTCAGTGGAGAAAGAAAGAGAAGGCGAAAGAGTACAACAGGGTGGCTTGGCCTCTCTCCCAGGATTTGGCATCCAGTAAACAATCAGCCACTTGTCGAATTTCTGCCAAGAGATGCTTCTTTTAGCTGGGCCTGCTGCTGCATGAGGGATATAAGCACACAAACAGTTCAAACTTGGAATCCCAGGGTCGATCAAGGCCCTTAATAAGACCCGCTGCACATCGATCTCAAAAGCGTAAGGTTATATCCATTTTGTCCAACGGGGACATTCGGAAGATATGCAGCTTGATTGACAAGCGCCGTTGCACAAGTCTCCCGGGTCGATCATCCGGAGAGCCCTAGAGCTGTTACGCAGCAAGTACCCATTCGTGAAAAATCTTTGTAAAAATAGAGAGAAAAGGAGAGAAAGGGAGAAAAACAGAAAGTACAAAAAGAAAAGAAAAGAAAAGAAAGAAACACAGAGGCTCAGTTCCTTGCGGTTGGGGGATCCCCGCGGGCGGTGATTGGTCAAAGCTCCATCTTCTTGCATTTCACATTTCTCGGACTTTTACTTTCTCAGTGTCTCAGTGTCTCTCTGTCTCTCTATCGCTGCCTGTCTCTACCTCTCTCTTTTATTTCTTACCAAATCAGGGTTTGCCTTCCAAGGTTGTCAACCAAGCGCCTAATTCGGTATCTCGCGACCGATTCCCCGCCATGAGCGCGCTTTTAGAGACCTCCCTAGGCGATATTGTAATTGACCTGTTGGTCGATGATGCACCCAAAGCGTGTAACAAGTGAGTGGCTCCGTTCCTTGGCTTTCCCCAGTCTGCTGAAACCTGAAACTAAGCTCATTTGGTGTGCTTTTAGCTTCTTGAAGCTATGCAAGCTCAAGTACTACAATTTCTCGCCCATCCACAGCGTCCAAAAGAACTTCACCTTCCAGACCGGCGACCCACTTGGTCCTGACGCACCCGAGAGCGATGGAGGATCTTCAGTCTGGGGTCTGCTGGACGGACCGTCGAAAAGAACTTTTCCGCTCGAGGTGTCGCGCAAGTTGAAACACTTGGAGCGCGGCACGGTGAGCATGGCCACGGTACCGTCCAAGAACGATCCCGACCAACGAATAGCCGCCAGTCAATTCATCATTACACTCGGAGACAATCTGGATTATTTAGACGGCAAGGCCGTGATTTTCGGCCAGGTCGTCGAGGGCTTTGATGTCCTAGAGAAAATCAATGAATCCTTTATTGACGACCGAGGTCGACCATTAAAAGATATTCGCATTCGACACACTACTGTCCTTGACGATCCCTTCGATGACCCGCCGAATCTGGTTGAACCACCTGAAAGTCCGGTGCCCTCCAAGGCTCAATTGGCCACGGTCAGGATCGCGGACGATGAAGACTTGGATGATGATATGGATGAAGAGGCTATGGACAAGCTCCGTCGCGAGCGTGAGGCTCGCGCACAAGCCTTGACATTAGAAATGGTGGGAGATCTGCCGTTCGCCGATGTCAAGCCACCAGAGAATATTCTTTTTGTTTGCAAGCTTAATCCGGTCACGCAAGGTTTGTCGCATTCCCCTACGGAACCCGTAATATTGTGCTAACCAATGCTAGATGAGGATCTGAATCTTATTTTCAGCCGATTTGGAACGATCTTATCCTGCGAAGTTATTCGGGACAAGCGCACCGGGGACAGTCTACAATATGCGTTCATTGAATTCGAGGAACAAAAGGACTGTGAACAGGCCTATTTCAAGATGCAGGGTGTCTTGATCGATGACCACCGGATACATGTGGATTTCTCACAGAGTGTAAGAGTCCCCCATCACCACTATTGCCTAGACCAATATGCTAATTTACCCCAGGTATCCAAGTTATCCGAAAGCTGGCGCAACTCCACAGTCACCAAGCGCCGGGAGAGAGGAGGATTTGGTGGTGTTGCAGACCTTGAAGCGAAACGCCAGTACCGAGAGCTGGACGATGCGCCTGTCGATGAGGATGATGCTAGGTATCGGATGATGTTTGACAAGAACAAGAATAGGGGCGTTCCAGCTCCACCCCGCGAGGCCCCACGGGAAGCTCCGTCAGATCGCAGTCGTGTTCGTCGAGATCGAGGAAGTCGAAGCCCCCGTCGGGATGGACGGGATCGGTACCGTCGTCGATCCTATAGTCGGAGTCCACAACGGGATTCACGAAGAGATTCACGGCGAGATTCACGGAGAGAACGAGGCCGGTACAATGATCGTGACCGACGATAGTATTCAAATATCCCCTATTCAATGTCAAATAAATAGTACAACATGCTCTGAACATAGTACATCTCCACTTGGGACTTCGCCCCTTACCGTAGCAACAAGCCAAGGCCCCGCTTTGACTAGTGGGATACCACTGGGCAGTGGGCAGGTCTCACTCGGCGCTCGCTAGCCACTTTCTTGTATGGACAATTCGCTATCATTCGCCTTTGCAGATCCCTAAAAATAAACTGATGTCCACTAAGTTCGTAATAGTCTGGGATATATTAGCCAACTGGAGCACATGTACCGTGTGGCGTGGACTTTAAGGTGTAACTTGAAGTACTTAATCAGCTTGGAGCTTCACCCCACGTTTTTTTATTTTTATTTACTTTTCCCCTTCCTCTTCTTTCTCCTTTCTTCCAATTTATCTCTCCTGATTTTCTCTCATCCCAAAAAATATTCTCCAAAATGGCAAGCGTAATCAAAGATGCTGTCTCCAATGTTCTTGGAAAGATCCAGGGCACCGCCACTTCAGAGGTTCCCCGTGAACCCTCAGTGGAGGAGTTCCAAGCACTACAGAAGAAATACACAGATGCTGGACAAGGGCATGTCTTTGCCTTTGTCGAGGAATTGACCACCGTCGAGAAGTCACAGCTCTTCCACCAGCTGTCCAACTTTGACCCCACTCGGATCAACGAGCTGGCCGACAAGTCCCTCAACCCTCCTCCCGCCGAGCAGGGGGCCGTGACCCTCGAGCCCCTCCCTGAAGTTGCCTCCGCCTCCATCCTCGACTCCGACCCCTCAGATATTCAGAAATGGTACGAAGCTGGCCTGAAGGAGGTGGCGGCGAACAAGGTGGCCGTGGTCTTGATGGCTGGTGGACAGGGCACCCGACTCGGCAGCTCTGCTCCCAAGGGTTGCTTCGACATTGGTCTGTTGAGCGAAAAGTCGCTATTCCAATTACAGGCTCAGCGTATTCTCAAGCTGCAGTCTCTCATCGGTGGTCAGAACGTGGTCATCCCCTGGTACATCATGACCAGTGGACCTACACGCAAACCCACCGAGGAGTTCTTTGAGAAGAACAACTACTTCGGTCTCGACAAGAGCAATGTTATGATCTTCGAGCAGGGTGTTCTGCCTTGTATCTCCAATGACGGCAAGATTCTGCTCGAGACCAAGGGCAAGGTATGTAGTATACGGGCGTAGCTCAAAAAACATGTAGGGAGAGATTTGTTGACCCTGAATTATAGGTCGCCGTGGCCCCTGATGGAAACGGAGGCATCTACCAGGCCCTCGTGGTCTCCGGTGTGCGCGAGGACATGCGCCGCCGTGGCATCGAGCACATCCACCTCTACGGAGTGGACAACTGCCTTGTCAAGGTCGCCGACCCGGTCTTCATTGGCTTTGCTTCCTCCAAGAACGTCGACATCGCTACCAAGGTGGTGCGCAAGCGCAATGCCACTGAGTCCGTGGGCCTGATCTTGTTGAAGAACGGCAAGCCTGATGTTGTCGAGTACTCTGAGATTGACAAAGAGACTGCCGAGGCCAAGGACCCCAAGCAACCCGACGTCCTCAAGTACCGTGCCGCTAACATCGTCAATCACTACTACTCCTTCCGGTTCCTCGAGTCGATCGAGAACTGGGCTCACCAGCTGCCCCACCACGTGGCGCGCAAGAAGATTGCCTGTGTCGATACCGAGACTGGTAACCTTGTCAAGCCCGAGAAGCCTAACGGTATCAAGCTGGAGCAGTTCGTCTTCGACGTGTTCCCCATGACCCCGCTGGAGAAGTTCGCCACCCTTGAGGTGCACCGTCACGACGAGTTCTCTCCTTTGAAGAACGCCCGTGGTACTGGTGAGGACGACCCTGATACCAGCCGTGCAGACATCATGGCCCAAGGTCAACGGTGGGTTGAGGCTGCTGGTGGTATTGTTATTACCGAAGGCGAAGCCGTTGGTGTTGAAGTTTCTCCTCTGATCAGCTACGTATGTGTCTTTCCTCTTTCTCCCATCTTGACTCAACTAACATGCATTACAGGCCGGTGAAAACCTGGAATTCCTCAAGGGACGGGAAATTAAGGCACCGGCCATCCTGGAGCGGGAAGAGTAGATTAGGATGTAACCAGTCGGATCTCACGGAGATCTGGAACGAAGAAATGAATTGCATTGCACTTTTTTGGGGAGAATGGATCTGTAGGAATGTAGGGGTAAGGTATTCCCTAACATTCAATATCGAAAATATAGCATACTACCTATCTCCTACCTATATTACTACCTTTGGTTATATAGTCGAGTATACAACATATACAACCATACAACCATACAAATAGTAAATAAACGCCTTACGCAATACGGAAAAGCCCGGGAGCTAAAGCCGTTTGACGAGTTTGTTCCTTTTCCACTTTTCCTCTTTTCTGTGCATTCTCTTAATTAAAACGCAGTTGGAGTTGAGGTTATTGAAGTTGTTGAGTGTGAGTGAATTCGATTTCTTTTTTATTCTTCGTTCTTTGTTCTTTGTTTTTGCTTTTTCTTTTTTTTCTGTGTGGTTCCCTGCGTCCCACTTTTTTCTTGAGTGGGCTGTCAGAAACGTGCCTCATTTTCTCCAAGGGTTCTCAAAAAAAAAAAAGCTGACCAAAAGAGGGTACTATAGACTTTGACAAGGATTTGAGAAGAGTTACTGTGAGGGTGAGTGAGATATGGCGTTTCGCGTTCGCCGTTCAAGCTCGTGCTCTCCCCCGCCGATCTACGTCTTCCCCTCTTTCGCTCGAAAATTTTTGAGATCCGCAAATTCGATTGTGCTCAACTCGGAAAACGTCGGATACACAATGGAATTGAAGTCAAAACAAAACCAGACGACGTATGTTCATTACACATTTCGACAATTCCGGCAATGGAGGGGAAGACGCTGCTTATCGACGGAGCTATACGAAACCATATAAACCCGGCACCGGGCTGACTTGCGATGGATAGAATACCGCCAGAATGATGTTGTCTCGTCGTGCATGCTACAAGTGTGGCACTATTGGCCACTACGCTGGTTAGTATAGCTTGGGAGCTTGCTAGATCTGGGGTCAAACTAATCCCTCGGTAGAGGTCTGCTCTTCCACTGAGCGTCTCTGCTACAACTGTACGTGAATATCTCCCCGAGAGGTCATCCTCTTATCTTAACTGAGTGCTAATTCATCTCATTTCATAGGCAAGCAGCCCGGTATGTTCGATCCTGAGTCATAGTACTCCAAAAACAAGCTTCTAAGTTATTCATATAGGCCACGAGTCGAGCGCCTGCCCTCTGCCCCGTACCACCGAGAGTAAGCGATCACTCTATATCAAACTCCCGCCATTCCAGCTTTGCTAACAACATCTAGCCAAGCAGTGCTACAACTGCCAGGGTCTCGGTCACGTCCAGGCTGATTGCCCCACCCTGCGCCTGAACGGTGGTGCCAACGGCCGCTGCTACAACTGCAGCCAGCCCGGCCACCTTGCTGTATGTTTCCGAACCCCCGAGCCCAGTCTCGAACCTTCGGACCAGACTAGTTACTAACTCCACTCCAGCGCAACTGCACCAACCCCGCTGCTCCCGGAGCCGGTGCTCCCCCTACCGGTCCCGCCGCTGGCCGCGGTGCCGGTGGTGCTCGCGGTGGCTTCCAGGGTGGATTCCGTGGTGGATTCAGCGGTTACCCCCGTGCCGCAACCTGCTACAAGTGCGGTGGTCCCAACCACTTCGCCCGTGACTGCCAGGCTCAGGCCATGAAGTGCTACGCCTGTGGCAAGCTCGGCCACATCTCCCGTGACTGCACCGCTCCTAACGGTGGTCCCCTCAGCTCCGCCGGTAAGGTCTGCTACAAGTGTGCCCAGGCTGGCCACATCTCCCGCGACTGCCCTACCAACGAGGGCGCCGCTGCTCCTGTTGCTGCTGCCGAGGCTGCCCCCGTTGCCGCCGCGCCCGCTGTGGCTGCTGCTCCTGCTGTCGCCGCTGTTGAGACTACCACTGAGGCTAGCACTGTCCCTGCTGCGGCTCCTACTCCTGCCGTCGCTTAAATGTGTTCGGCCCTGTCTCTCCACTATGCATCTGCAATTGGAGGAATGCCTGGAGTTCCTTTTCTTCCTTGATTCTGTATTACGGTCACTTTCCCTATACCTCGATCGGTCCTTTCTCTCCGCCATTTCTTCCTTTGCACATATTTAAATCACGACCTCTATTTTGGGGAGGGTCTGGTTCTGGACCTTAAAAACAACAGCTTTTGATTTCCCCCGTTTCACCCTTTTGGAACTTGTTCTTTTTTTTTACTTATTTTTTTTTTGACACCCTATCATGTATACGACGAACAAACAGAAAAAGTTCTTTTTGGTTTTGTTTTTCGCGAAGTCCTCGACTTGACTTTTTTTCAAGTCTTACGAATTGGCGTCTGTTGTCTATTCTCATGGATTATCTTTCTTGGTTTTCGATCGACTCTTGGTTGCGGTTTTCCTGAATGGGGCCAAGGAGAGAACGAGGAGATGAAGTGTGGCATTGAGAGGATATGTTGGAAGCTGAGTGGAATTGGATTCGGGGACCGTTGCAACTTGAAAGAAAGAGGACTTCCAGATGGGAAGAGTCCTGAGAACACATTTCGAGAATCTAAAAAAGAAATATCTCAATCATCTTGTCCTTGTAGAGTATAGATGCGGTGTGTTTAGTAGCAGTCCGAACCCGTGACCTTGATCACTCAGGTTGAGTCGAGTCTCCCTTCACATCTCTTGTCCACTCTACACTCTCCCCCATCACACGTCTTAGCAGAGCCGTCTCTAATTGATCTCATCAAGATGCCAGGCTCAGTAGGAAGTGATGGATTCGACGATGACGAGGTACAATAAACTTCATCCTCATGCATAACCTCGAGGTGTCAATCTAACCAGTGGATTATCTACAATTGCAGAACTTCATTCTAGACATCGATGGCATCCAAGCCCATGGCATTGGAGCAGCCGACATCACCAAGCTAAAGGCCAATGGCTTCTACACTGTTGCTGTTAGTGCCTCAACCCTAACCACCTTACCCCCAAGCATCTTCCAAGCCCATGCCATCCCCAACCTAACCATTCATCCAGTCCGTCCACGGCGCCACCCGCAAGACCCTCTTGAAAATAAAAGGTTTCAGCGAGGTCAAAGTCGAAAAGGTCAAAGAAGCAATTCAAAAATGTCTCCCCACAGCCTCCGGTTTCATCACAGCAATGGAACTCCACCACCAACGCAAGAAAGTCGTCCGTATCTCAACCGGCAGCAAGCAATTTGATTCAATCCTCAATGGGTGGGTACAATAACACCCATTCCCAAAGCTAAAACCCCGGCCAACCCCCATCTAACACCATATCAGCGGCTTCCAAAGCATGAGCATTAGCGAAGTCTTCGGAGAATTCCGATGCGGCAAAACACAACTCTCACACACGATGTCCGTAATCGCCCAACTACCCAAAGAATCCGGCGGAGCAGCCGGTAGAGTCGCCTACATCGACACAGAGGGCACGTTCCGACCCGAGCGCATTGCCCAAATCGCCGAGCGGTTTGGTATGGATCCGGATACTGCGCAGGAGAATATTTCCTATGCGCGCGCACTGAACAGCGAGCACCAGCTCGAGCTACTGAATACGCTTTCTCAGGCTTTCGCCAGTGGCGAGTATCGGTTGCTTGTTATTGATAGTATCATGAACTGTTTCCGGGTTGATTATTGTGGACGTGGGGAGTTGGCGGATCGGCAGCAGAAGTTGAATCAGTTTTTGATGAAACTGGCGCATATGGCCGAAGGTGAGGTTTTAGTTTTGTGTTTTTTCTTTGGTGTCTGTTGGCTAAATTAGTTTGACTTGCAGAGTTCAATGTTTGTGTCTTGATGGTGAGTGCGAGCTTATGTGTTTCGAGGTGTTGTGGCTCACGCTTCGATTTAGACAAACCAGGTCCAGAGTGACCCCGGTGCTAATGCTCTTTTTGCTGGAGCTGATGGTCGCAAGCCCGTTGGTGGCCATGTTCTCGCTCACGCGTCCACTACTCGCGTGCTTCTTCGGAAAGGTCGTGGTGATGAGCGAGTTGCGAAGATCCAGGATTCTCCTGGTGAGTACTTCGATATATTTTGGCGTTTGTCACTTTTCTAATTCCATATAAGACTGCGCTGAGCGTGAAGCAATCTATGTTATTACCAATGGTGGGATCAATGATCCTGAGAAGGCCTGAAGGGGGTATGGTCAAGACGATTTATCGATTTTAAGGGAAATTCTCTGGGGTCACGATCTCCATGATGTATCAGGTTTGACGCCGTGATGATATTATACCATTAGTCAATTTATATCATAGATAATAGGTTAGAATAGCAAAGAGTTCAAGTTATGTTCATGTCGATGTAGTCGAAGCCCTAACTATGAGGTTCACCGCCTTCGCCGCCGCTCTGACACCCCGGCAAAACTCTGTGCCAAGAGCAAATCTGCAGAAAAAGTTCAGCTCAATCAACGCAACAATCCGGCAATCAAACCTCCATTCAAAATGAAGGTCGAATCCGTGAAGGTGGAAGGGTACACCACCCTACCCGTCCAGCTCCCAACAACCCCCCTCTTCCCCAAACCCGCAACACACTACCTCTACATGCGACCACACGAGCCCCGAATCCCAGACCCAGATTCCACCCGCTCCCTCTTCATCGTGAATGTCCCAATCGACACAACAGAAGCCCACCTCCGCCACCTCTTCGGCACACAACTTGCCGCAGGCCGCGTAGAAAAAGTCCAATTCGAAGATGTGCAGACCAAAAAGCGCGCAGCGGCAACAACCACAGAAACCAACCTAACCCAATCCAAAAAGAAGCGCAAGCGCGTAACCGCCGATGACTTCGAACGCTACCTTGACGACATCACCCTCCCCTCAACCTGGGACCGCAAACTGCAAAAGAGCGGCGCCCACGCAGTCGTCATCTTCGCCGACAAGCCCAGCATGGAATCCAGTCTGAAAGCCGCCACCAAGGCCGCCAAGCGCGGCACCACCATCGTCTGGGGTGACAGCCTGCCAACAGACCGTATCCCCGTCCTCGGACTGAACCGGTACATCGCGCACGAGCGCATGCAGTACCCCGATCGCGGGACGTTGCTGCGGGCGGTGAATGAGTTCATGACTACGTTCACTCAGGTATCTGAGGCGCGCAAGCGCGAGGATCACAAGCGTCTTGCTGTGCCGGATGAGGATGGATTCGTTACTGTTTCGCATGGACCGAAGTTGAATTCTGTGGCGAGGGAGGAGGAGATGAGGGAGCTTGTTGAGAAGCAGAAGAAGAAGAATGAGGGACTTGAGGACTTTTATCGGTTCCAGTCTCGGGAGAAGAGGAAGGAGAGACAGAACCAGTTGCTTAGGCGCTTTGATGAGGATAAGAAGAAGTTGGCGGAGATTAAGGCTCGGAAGGGGAAGATTCGAGTAGGTTTTTCTTCTTTCTCTTGCTTGTTTGGTTGGTCTTTTGGGAGTGGTTATGCTGACATTTTATACAGCCTGAGTAATCTGGTGCATGATAGCATGGCGTTCTGGGTGTCTTTTTTTCGATGACAGGATAAAAGGTTCGAGGTGGTGTCCTATGTACATGTGAGTATTTGCTTTTGCTTTTCTTTTTTTGTTATGTTCTCTCCGAGGATGAACACGCTGGGGCCATAGTAGCAAAACGCGCTTTGCTCGCTGTTATGCCATTACTGCAAACACCAGCTTATATATCTTCTCGCTTTCTGAACTGGAGCTTCTGTCTTGTTGGGATTTATTGTGCTTCTTGGTGTTGCATCTGCTAATTGTGGTTCGAAATAGGTTAGATACATACATACATGCTATTTCAATATCAATAGTTTATGATCCAATTATTTATATATACATGTAGTTCCAATTGTCTGTAGTTGTCATAGCCAACCCAACCTGTCGATGTCTCCAATTCCGGATCCGCACAGACCAACGCTTGGCGTTACATCCCACCTCTGGAGAAACCGTACATCTTACTACGGATGGGATTGATATCTCTGTCAAAGTATAAAACAATTTGAAAACATCAGAGATCAAGGGCTACAGTTAGTTGTATCATGTGATACTACTCTCGGTTAAATCGCATTCTCCAAGCCCAGGCTGAAACGCAAGCTTCACACGATATATCCAGCAAGAAACAGCCCTATCCCACTGGCATACTACACCTCTTTCGGTATTTTTTTGCTCCTCTATCTATAAAAACTTCAACAAGATTGAGAATCGTGATCATTGGAATCGACCCGTTCTATTCATATCAAAAGAGAGAGGCAAAACCCAAGATGTCTCCCGCCTTAATCCAAAACGACCAAGAAACCGACTCCGACTCCGACGTCGAGTTTGAGGATGTCCCAATCTCCCTCCCAACCAGATCCAGAAACAGGGAAGACATAGAAATCCCGATAACCATCCGCTCAAATCCGCAACCAGAATGGACACCAACTCTATCACTCCCTCAACAGCGAAGCCAACCCATTCCCTCGGGCTCGGAGGAAGAAACCCAGCTCCGAGGCCAAATCAGCACCGGCATAGAGAGAGTCACGTACCGAAAAATGAAATCCGACATGGGCATGGATGCCCCGGATACACCCGCTTCGGAACGCAGGTACGATAGCTTCAAAGACCTTGCTGCGGATGTGGAGGGTCTTATTGATACGCTTTGGGCGTCGGCAACACGTGAGTTTTATATTTTATACATCCATGCTGTAAAAGAGGGTTATATTATTTTATACTATATCCCTTTCTTTACTATCTTTTTATTTCTCCTTCATTTTCTTGTTACATGTATACTCTATATTCTAACCAATCCATCCAGCGGCAATCCAAACCGAAGCCCTCATAACCCTAGCTGGCCTAACCCAAACTTCCCTCCCAGCCTTCCCTTTCGATGCCCCTCCAACCCTAAACATCTTCCACAAGTTCGACTCCGTCTTCGCAGCGCTGTGTACAAGCACGCACCCACTCACTGGTGCCGTTCTGCCTGGCGCACAGCCGGGCCAGTCTCTCGTCACGGAGACGCAGAAAGTGCGGATTCGGAGTTTGGCGGAGAGGACTAGGTATCAGGTTTTTTCTTGTTTGGCGACGTCGAATGAGAGGGGTAATGCTGCTAATGGTTATGGGAATGGAGATGACGAGGACGAGGATAGTGGTGATGAGGCCGATGAGCCGTGGATGTTGGAGGCTACGCGGGTTTATGAGAAGAGTCTTATGTTACTTGCAGAGCAGGATCCTGAGGTGGAGGCTGGGATGGATGAGTTTAATTGTTTGTAATTGATATATATATATATATTTTTCTCTACGCTGTTGTGTCTATGTTGTATGTGTTTGCTTATGTGGCCCCAGAGTATACAAACCAAACAAGATCCGAAGGAGGGAGGGGGTGGATGAGTTTAACTGTTTCAGTATATATATTCTATCCTGTTGCCTGATCTATGTGTTTTGCCCATGCGGCTCCAAGTAATAAATAGATGGTGAAGAGGATATTTTTAGAACAGATCTCTTGCGATTACGTCGGTGTACATTCAATAATATACGAGACGCTCAGGCCACACACAAAATAGTGACATAGTTCTGGAGAAAGAAAGTCCCACTTCAGCTTGCACACTGTACAATAGATACTCCGTAGTGAATAGTACTAATATTACTTATGGATCCAGATATTACTTCTAGAAACTTCTAGCTCGTGAAAGAAGAAAAAAAATCAGGACCAAAAAATAAAAAACAAGAGCCAGTGGGGTCCAGGCAAAAAAAGTCGAATATTATTCACTCAACAAATGCCGACTCTGGAATCGGTAATCAAAGTAATGGAGTATACAGTAAGCGTGCCCGTACCTCGAATTCAGGTATCAGTCACAGACAGGGCTTGCACTCTCTTTGGTCAGAATGGAGTGAACTAAGTGGATGTGAGCCCTGAAAGTGGGGGCTATCGGGGCCAGCTAGTGGCCTGGGGCTGCACAGCTCGGGGAGTGCAATGACCAGTAGTATGTCCGAGGGGCTATAATTTAGATGTGCGATATACAATATACTTTGTACAATTGATTATGCTTTGACTAGTTTTTTTGCCATGTGAAATCAAATAAGATTGTAGCCGTGTTATGATACTTAGGTGGAGGGGATATATATATGTGCTTTGGATGATATTTCCGATGGTGGGAACGAGGTGCTTTGTTTCCATGGTTCGTATATTTGGTATTTGGATTGGAATATGCCCAAGTTAGAACTGTTAAATGTTATATCTTATTAGAACCGAGCTATGGATATAGTGGGATGGTTTATGTACGTTGTAGTCTATCTGAATTGTTTAGGGCTATATATACCTTATTAACTCTAAAGCATTCTGTACAAGGCTCCCAATCCGTGTCTTACCATGCAAGGGTTGGATTAGCTTGTTTCCATACAAGAGGGTTGGATCTGAAACCTAACATCCGTTATGAATATCATCCCTTGCACACCCCTTCCATAGAAAATAAAAGATACAATGTATGGAGTGTACATAACTATATGTTGTAGTAGGAAGCATGTCACTGGACCATATTTACTGGATACAGTAATTCAATATTTTAAAAAAACCGTGTCGCGTACCGCGTAAAGTGAGATCAGCCAAGCAGGTTGTTTGAATGGAATGAAAATCTCTGCTGGTAAAGTAGTAATTCCAATACGAGCGGCCCCCAAAGCCCGGCCAATAAGAGCAGAACTCCGCATAAGAAGTCTGCCATGGTTCTGATGGAGCCTTTTTTTAAATTTTTTTTTTCTTTCTCTTTGATGTCTTTTTCTGGTATTCTTTCATATTTCTTTCATGACCGGACGTGCGCGGTTGAGGTATTCGTAGAATACGAAGGGAGGGGTGACCGGGTTGAGTAATCCTTGCGTGTCAGTTACAGGACATGGATTAGAGAACCTTGCTTCGAGAAGATTGGAGCTGGACTTTCAGCTCAGGGCTGCAGCTAGACGGGTATCTGGGGTGACCTTGCTGTATTGTGGAAATATAATTACCGTATGGGGCTGTTGGGTTCCATGGTTCGGTGGCGTCTGTTCTCCAAGGTTTGCAAGAGTTGTCTTTCCCAGGTTGCTTATTTATGATATTACTAGTCCTACTACGGAGTATGGATATATGTAGACATAATCCATCGGATAATATGTATTACATATACTTGATAATGCATTCATGGATAGCCCTAGTTTCACATATAAAATGAGATATCAGATCCATTAACTGTATGTACCCAACAGGTACCTGATCTTGCTCCGCCTACTCCGTACTCTTACTCTTACTCAGCATATGACGATGACCTCGGGAAAGGCCCACACAGACCTGATCGATTGACAAGTCACATTGCGAGGACGGCGACAGGTCCTTGCAGATTTCATGCATTGGGGCTTCCTGCCCCTTGATCGTCTGTCTTTCACCGAGATTTGATCGGATTTTGTTTAGATCTTTTTTTTTCTTTCTTTCTCTTTCACTTCCGACGTGTTTGCTATGTGTGTTTGAACATACGGATAAGCGGAAGAGCTGACTCTAAAAAAAAAGGCTAGGGTCGATCATCGGCAAAAGAACTTTGAATGTAGACCTCGGGTCAGAGGCTATGATGTATCGTCTTGAATTCTACCGGGCTTCCCGGGATCCTGGAACGATGAAGAATCTAGCGAGCCCCCGCATGACTGATATCATGCAGCATTGACAGGAATCTGGGGACAGCTTGGATAGTTATGTATAAGTATTATGTAGGTGGTTTATATATTGTTGGCATCTGTACGGAGTACTTCGTACCTGCCTTGGAGTCAAAGAAAGGAAAAGAGTTCTGATCGGCGGAGGCAAGGCACTCTGCAACTACCGGTTAAAAGTGTACGACTAGTTGATAGTTATTATATACTATTGATACTGATAAAACGTATATACATAAAGTACATATATGTAGTTTTATAACCTATTCTACCTACTATTATACAATATAATATATAGTATATACTATGTTGTACTCCGTAACTAGTAATGACTACATACTTCAACTCTGGAACGGAACATACCATACCTTGTAATACACATACCATACACAGACTCACGTAATGCGTTTTCCCACTTCCCCTCTCTCTTCATCTCGCGAGATTTCCAATTCTTCATTTTCTTCTTTTCCCCTCCTACCTTCCCCTCCCTTTTCTTATTGTTCGAAGATCTCGGTTTCAATTTTCTGTTTAGTTTATCGGGAGTTCTGCTTTTCCTCCCTTGTTGCCGATTACTCTTTTTTGCCTCGCGCATTTCCAGTGTTTTCCCAGGTTTTCCTCGAATCATCTAGGTAAGTGGTCTTTTTTTTGTCGCATATTACATGTTTCATCGTTTCAATAAAATATGCCCTCCCCCCATATATGTCACCTGGCGCAGCCCAGCGCGCGTTAGCCCTAGATCGCGAGCTTCTTTGCAGGGTTCTCCACGATTTTACTATGGTGATTCGCCTACGCTTCCAACACCTTCGCCTTGACCAGCGCTTTCGGGACGATTATCTACCGGTCGCACACACTCAAACCTCAAAATCATCGTCAATATGAGGAATCGGTCAGATCTAGGGTGCCTGGATTTCCCGAAAATTGTGCTGGATTGAGAGGGCGGACGGTCGCATTCGGACATTGAACCGACGGAAACGGTCGACGCATGATGATCGCCTAGCAACCCAAGTGGAAACAAGTCTATTTTCGTCTCGCGCATCCGATTTTCGCCTTTGGATTGTTCGTCTTCGGCCAATCCACCCTCCAATCATAGCTACCATCATCATTCAGATTAGATGGTGCCCGAAGCACTGGTCTTGGCGATTTCCGGCACCTCTTTTTGAGGCTCGGAATCATATATGCGCCTGAAGAACCCGCAAAATGCTGACTACCCACTTTTTTTCCCTCTCTCTTCCGCATCGTTTCGTTCACTTGCTTTGATTTGAGTGCCTTTGTCTACTTTTCACTTTTCACTTCTCACTTCCCTTGCTTTACTTGCGCATGTGCAGATCTGGTTTAATTTCAATCGATATCGATATAATCTAACATTTATATCCTTTTACCAGCCTTTCACGCCCGTCTCTTTGCTTGGCTTCGTTACGACTTGATCTCACGCCGGTCTTTCTTTAACGACTCCACGAAGTTCTAGTCGCTCAGCCATCTTATATTCTTACGTCGACTTTCCGGACTTTGATTCTTGCAACCATGTCTTACAACGGCTACGAAAACTTCCCTCAGCAGGACCCCGCCGCCGCTGGCGCCCCGGCTCCCGTTGATACCACCATGACCGGCCAGGCCGACCCCTCCGCCGCTCAGTTCCAGGGCCCCCCTCCTGGTGACGCCAACTCCGCTCCCGTCCCCCAGCAGGGTGCCGATGGCAAGACCACCCTCTGGATGGGTGAGCTCGAGCCCTGGATCGACGAGAACTTCATCCGCAACCTCTGGTTCCAGATGGGTGAGCAGGTCAACGTCAAGATGATCCGTGACAAGTTCTCTGGGTAAGACACCGTAATTATCATTTGGAATGTCCCAAAATTGTTTCTAATGTGGGTAGTAGGAGCAATGCTGGATACTGCTTCGTCGATTTCGCTTCGCCTGCCGCCGCTGCCAAGGCCCTTTCTCTGAACGGTACCCCCATGCCCAACACCAACCGGGTCTTCAAGCTCAACTGGGCTACCGGTGGCGGCCTTGCCGATCGCAGGTAAGCGAGAATCCCGTTTCGTTTCGCTTCCTCCCGTCTCTAAACTGACCCCCCTTGTTCCAGCCGTGATGACCGTGGCCCCGAGTACTCCATCTTCGTCGGTGACCTCGGCCCTGAGGTTAACGAATACGTCCTCGTCTCCCTCTTCCAGAGCCGCTTCCCCTCTTGCAAGTCTGCTAAGATCATGACCGACCCCATCAGCGGCATGTCCCGCGGCTACGGCTTCGTTCGCTTCTCCGACGAGAACGACCAGCAGCGTGCTCTCACCGAGATGCAGGGTGTCTACTGTGGCAACCGCCCCATGCGTATCTCCACCGCTACCCCCAAGAACAAGGGTCCCGGTGTTGGTGGCAACGGTGCTGCTGCCATGGGTATGCCCGGTCCCGCTGGCATGTACCCTCCCATGGGTGGCCCTCCTATGCCTTTCTACGGTGCTCCCCAGCCCATGAACCAGTTCACCGACCCCAACAACACCACTGTTTTCGTCGGTGGTCTGTCCGGCTACGTTACCGAGGATGAGCTCCGCTCTTTCTTCCAGGGCTTCGGAGAAATCACCTACGTTAAGATTCCCCCTGGAAAGGGCTGTGGTTTCGTCCAATTCGTGCAGCGCCACGCCGCCGAGATGGCCATCAACCAGATGCAGGGCTACCCCATCGGTAACTCCCGCGTGCGCCTGAGCTGGGGCCGCTCCCAGAACAACTCCGGCCCCGCCGGCAGCCCCTACCGCCCTGCTCCCCCGCCGCCTCCCATGTACCCCTCCATGGGCATGCCCCCGGCCCACCAGTATGGCGGGTTTGCCCCCATGAAGGTGAGCGATCACCCTGGCAGCCCGATCCCGGATCAAATGTGAAGCAGGCGGTCGGCTGACACACTCTTCCAGTAAGCGTTTCCCTTTGATTGAAAGCACCAGCAGGAGTTATTTGTGTCATTCCAATGATGATTCTATTGTGTAACAAATTCGTTCCCTGGTTTCTTGGCCAAGGCTATAGCTCTTGATGAGCATTTGTCTCCTGTGCTACGCATTTCCTTTTTACGTGAGCGCTATTACCTTAGCAAGATCTGAGCTTTATCCCCTTTCTGATCTGTCTTGTTCTTATGTATCTTTCCTTTTGATTTCCCCCGTTTTTTCCCCCACACTCCTCTGCGACCTTTTCGTATTTTATTATTTTTTCGTTATCTTATTTTCGATGTCTCTCTGCCCTGATGCTAACGGGGTTTCCCGCCACTGGGTCTTTGTTTGCGTGTAATGGAAGTCCGAATTGTCATGCGCTTCTTTTTCCCTTATACTCCTTGGGCAGGCATTCTGCGAAAAGTTCCATTTCCCCCCCACCGTTACCACCTTATTTCCTTTGTTCCTTTTTTTTCTTTTTTTTTCTTTTCTTCAAGCAGCTAAATTGAATTATGTTCGCTTTGAGAATCTTTGCGTTGTGCTTTTTTTTTACCCTCGTTTCTTCCTTGTTGAAGACTGAATGCCGGCTTGTACAACACGCTTTCTTTCGTGCGCCTCAGCGTTTGTCGATTCTAAATTGCTTTGATCGTATGCAATAATGTCCTGTATGCTTGTTTGGTGTTTGCATTGCACTATCAAGCTCTCCATTCTCCTGGTATTGTATCGTCGGCTCTTTGCTTCTGGATCTACCTATATAAACATTGCCCCTATGGCTGGTCCAATAGGTGGAGGCTTCAATGGACTCCAGCATATCTGGTTGTTCAGGTAGTTGGTCCCTGGTGGTTAGTTTGGTGTATTTCTGTCTGTTGTCTGTTTTCTGTTGTCTCCTGTCTGCTATATGATGTCTTAAAAGTCTACTGGGTTAGGGCTAAGATTTCACCTGAACTGGTCCAGAGACAATTCTTCTGGGCCATTGTAAACCTCTTATTTCCTAGACACTGGAATGTCCATCCCTTCATCTCTTTACTTCCTTGTGTGCTTATATAGCTACAGTCCTTAGGGCTAGTATTCACCGCATGAGAAAAAGTGAACAATTGTATTGAATTGTATACATAACTATGTCCATATGTACTCACATCTACTTCCTATCGATAGTCTATCGATAGGCATATAGATATACCTCCTACTATTTTCGATGTTATTCGGATACTTGGATACTTGGATATCATTTTTGGCAACAACGACTCTGTTGCTGTATACCGCCCACACGACTTCCATTTTGTGTATACCCAGCTTCGACCAGCTTCGACCATATTCGTCATGAGCAATCCATCCTTCATCCTTTTTTTTACCCATGACACCATGCGCTACAGAAACTGGGATGTCCTTCTTTTCCCTGAAGGCTCGAAGGTTCCTATCCAAGAGTTCAAGACACAATGCTTTGTGACCAAGGATAAAGACTCGCCCTATCTACACAATGCAGTCTTCCTTGGCCATCATACACACCATCCCGAGCAAGGCGTTTTTAACCAGTTGCCAGTTCTCACAACATTCATTCCGAGTCTGCCCAAAGACAGTCCGTTTCAGGTCTCAGTTCATAGTTGGGAGAGGCCACATCCCAGTGTCCAGATCGAGTCCAACATGGAACCAGAGGATGTTTTACTCTTTGAGGTTCGGATCTTTATTGATGGGGTTTTTGCTGCGTGAGTATTTTACGGTGTATGCACTCTGATGATCAGATTGAGCTGATTTCTTTCAGGGGCAGTATCTATGGACAGAGAACTACTTGGCCACAGATTATGGGTAAGTTGCGCGCGTTTACATCGTCGCTTACGTCGTCGGAACGTACTTTCAAGCTTCTAGAAATTTCCCTTCGCTTGGATTCATCTTTCATTCCCCTGTCTTGCTTTTTATTGAATAGCTACTGACCCTCATTTGGCAGATCTGAGCTCTAGTATGCAACTCCTCTTCTCTTCCTTTGATTCCAAGTTCTCACGGTTGAAGCAGATCTTGACCGAGATGGAAACCAAGACACCCTTCGATTCCCTCCATTTCATTTTGAGATACTGCAGCAGAAACATTGGGATGCTGGGGATTCTCAGGGTAGAATCAAGGTTGTCATTGCAGAAGGTTTCTCTCGCCCCAATCGCTCACCCCCATTCGAACGATACAAGCATGTCATTGCTTTTTCTTTCCAACATGCACCACTAGATGTGCTGGAATTCTCTGACATTGCTTGGCCTAATCCCAACATGTGGCTTGCTATTCCGAATGCATCCCGGTATGGGTCGGCAGCGAGATATGGTACCTCCAAGGTAGTTGGCGATGGCGCTCATGGGCATTCACCAAGCAAGCCTGGCAGACCCGAACATCGAATTACAATCACGGCTAACACGAGCAGCCAGTCTAGCAGCAATGCAGCTACTTACAGCGGCAGTGCTTCATCAACTTACAATGCTTGGACTCCTAACCGTGGCTTCCCAATTCCTTCCACACAATGGAATGGCTATCCCCAAGAACCTCGATGGGACCCGCAGGATGCATACATTGTGGAACCTGCCATCGAAGCCTTCGTTGATGATAGAGCCTGGCGACAGCGTGGTGCTAGATCCTCCCGCGAGGATGTCCCAATGCCAGATTATGTTTCTACGGGATCAACCAGCAGCCGGGCCATTTCATCTAGCATGACTGGGATGAGCTACGAACACAGCAAGCAACCTAGTATCAATTCATGCCTTGACGATGAGCAATACAATGAGTTGATTCAAGCTCTAACTCCAACGAAAGCGCCTCCAGCGGGTACTCGCGCACCCTCTAATACTCCCTCCACTTCTGCTAGTGCAACATCTGCCTCAAAGCCTTCTTCCGCAGCCGAAGCTCGATATGCAGGCTACAAGACTCGAAGCCGCCGTGCATCCACGCTCAGAGAAATTTCACAAGCGAGCACCCGTGATATTTCAGGATCAAGCGAGCCCAAGAACTTGACCCCATTCAAACCTGGGGCAAGTCCGAGTGAGAAAGTCCAGAGCAAGAAGGAGACTCAGAAAGAGGCCAGTCAGGAGACCCCAAAAGCGCAACCTAACGGTAAGGAGGCTACGAAGGAAACCTGCAACCCCAAGAATGTCGAAAATGCGCAGGATGAGAATGAATCGGTTTTATAAGATCGAACTGGCTGCGGTGATGCTTTTCAACTTATACTTACCTACCTCATTCATTTGTTTCAGTTCAGTCTTGACATGAAGCCGACATGTATCTTTTATGCGAGCTTCAACCAATACACTTTTTACTCTGTGGGGCTGACAATTATACTGTTGTATACGAACTTCAATCGACAAACATACTTTATGTGCACTTCGTTCAATTTCTACTACATGAAGTTAATAAAGGTACAACCTCTTATTTAAATTGCAATTGATACGTCCTTCACTAATCAAAATTGACAGGTATACGTTCTACATGAACTTCGACTTCTACGTATTTTGCTGTAGAAGTTGAGAAGTGTACTTTTTTGTATGATGACTCCAATCGATACTCTTACACAGTCTGAAACCTTAAAAAAAACATGCCATGCGAACCTTGTTCAACACTTTTTACTACATGAAGCTAACAGGTGAATGTATGACTCTGTTTAAAGCAATGGATACGTCTTATACTAACCAAATTTAGCACGAATACTGTTCTACCTGGAATGCAGTTCATATATCTGTGAAGTCCACAATGCTACATCTTTGTCCGAACTTCAATCAAAGCCTTTCACACATGGAGTCAATAGGAATACTGTTCTATGCGAACTTCAATCAATGCGTGTTCCATTGCATGATATTATGAAGGGTCTTTATCCCTCTTTCGCTATGCGAAGTGCTGCTCCATACATGCAATGCCTATACTACTGTTACTGTTTATTCAAACATGATATAACAATGGAAGTAGTATGGGTATTGAATACCTGGCATATACCTGACATTAAGTGATAGCACAAGGCAGTTTCAAACCTCGTGCCTGGTCAACGTCAACCGCCTTCTCAACCGCCTTCTGGTCCACCTGACGACTATATAACGGCTTCGCTTTCTTCCCTCCCTCTCCCCTTTCTCTTCTCTTCTTCTTCTTCTTCTTCTTCTCCTCCTCGTGCCTTTTCTCGTTTTCATGCTTCATCTCACAACCATCTCTCCCTCACAGGAGCATCTACCACCCATCTTCTCTCTTTGTTTGTTTATGCACACCACCTAGACAGCAATCTCTGCCAGCCAGGATGAAACTGGGCTTGTCATATACAGCAGTACGCCTATTACCAGGGCCAACATGGTGCTATGGCTAGTCATCAGAATCAATTATCCGCTGAATTGCCTATGGATACCTAGGGCCAGCGATCTTATGGCCAACACCCTGCCTCTCAGCCGCCGATCCCTGGCTTGACCTTGATCCAACGTCCTGCACCTACTAACAACACGCCCACCTCCTCGAGACAGTCGTATCCTCAGGGCCAGCCAGTTTTGGTTCGCTACCCTTCGCAGCCACATGATCAGCATCAGCATCAGCAACAGCACGGCCAGCAACCTCCTGGCCATCAATTCCTGGCCTAACATTGATTCAGGATTCTGCACCCACCAACAATACATTCACTGCAAGTGGTGTCCCTCCTTCGCGACGTCCCCATTAGTCCTCACTGTGGCTTGATTCTGCTTACTGTTCCAGCTACAACATCGATCATTGACGTTGTATCTAGAAATCCGCTCAAGAACGTGTTACTATTACGTTCCAAAACACCACAAGACCAAATGACCACCTAGGTAGCATTGCAAGACACTTACACTAACCATGTTAAAAGTGCCTCCCTAATGTTAACAAACTCCAAGATTCTCGAACATCTTTCTAGCAACTTCAATCTGCTTGCTATACTTGGTTTGGATATACAGGAATACCTTGGTCCAGTTCATCAACCCCTCTACAAGAATACATTTGGCTACAAAAGAAAATCAAATAAAAAGAAAGATTGATTCAGATACTATCTAATGCCAGGGCGCTGTCCCTGACTAATGGTTCAAGTGGTTGGAGAGACAAGACAAACAAGCAGACCGAGGTCAAACTTGCAGAGTGTAAGTGTCCGTCTCATCAGCAAGATTCGAATTGCAATGAATCAAGCTGTAGATGTAACCAGAGTGCTGTCTCTGGTGGAAAAGGCCCAAAAATTTGGAGTTTGATAGCGTCTGTGGCCACCCAAGGATTCAGAGAATCCATGCCTGTAATCCCTCGGAAGTGTATTCCTCGGGTACCATGGGTTATCCTCCGCCTCCCATCTCGTAGAACGTATATGCCTATAGCCCCGGTGGGTGGCCGTCCTATGTCCTCCCCCTGTCTGCCATCGGAGTCCTCCCCCTCTGGGACGAGGCCACGCCGGGTCTCAGATAGCCCATCCTTCACCTCCCCAAAGACGTGATACGCTTGCGCGCAGTCAGACGTCAAGAATGCCCTCAGACTTATCTTCACTGGGCAACACCACTCCTCTGGGTCGAGGCCACGCTGGGTCTCAGATAGCCCACCACTCACCTCCCCCAGGACGATACCACAGTGGGTCTCAGATGGCCCGGGTTTGGCTCCCCAAAGACGTGATACGCTTGCGCGCAGTCAGACGTCAGAGAATGCCCTCAGAGTCCTCTTCACGGGGCAAGCTCACATTTCCGGTGGAAGGCTGTGTCAAAAACTGTTTCTGGCCAGAGGTCAGAGTATCGGTTGACTGGTGTACTTGTGAAAGGAACAATGTCAGCCATGTGTCGTCTCATGAGTACACAGGGACTTATCAATGTTCCTTTGGGTGACATAAGAAGACTCATGACCCTTTTGGAGCGTTCAAGTATCAGCCTGGGAACGTGTGACCAGTGACAGCCTTCAGAATAGGAATCCCACAGTGAGCTGTGCCTTCGGAGGGTTGTCTCGAGACCTGTCTCAAACCAAAGGTTGAAAGACTGAAACGAGGGTACCTGATGAAACAGAAGTGTCAGCCAGTTGTCGTCTCGTTTGCAGAGGGGACGTACCGTAAATATCCCAGATGCACTGCAAATAAACTGTTGTCTCGCACAAGTCATGTGTCTGTATAAGACGTCAGATCATGCAAGTATCAGGATAGTACAATATGACCAGGGGAAATATCGGGAAAGGCTGACAGGAAAAAAAGCTCACAGAGTGTGTAAGAGAAAACAACAAGGGTGGTGCACTGTCATGTGGGTAGCAGAGAAGAATGGAACAAATGCAAAGGGGAACAAACATGTGCTTCATAAAATGGATAGAGAGATGGTAGACCATGGATGGCAGACCATGGAGGGGAGAGGATGAAAAAGATGGATGATGGGTAAGGGGGGAGGATGGAGGAGAGAGGAGGGATGATGGAGGATGATGGAGGCGAAAGAGGGGAGGATAGGGGAAGAGAGGGAGTGTGAAGAGGGAAGATGAAAGGAAGAGAAAGGAGGAAATGGGAGGACTTTATATGTGAGGGCCCTTCCTAATTAGGAAAAGTAGCATTATGGACTTCTGACTTCCTTCCGACTTCCAATATGGTAATACCCAGGTACCCGTGAACGGTATCAACATGACATACGTGTCTGTGAGACTTACTGAGTATACAAGTCCACAAAGGACTTCAAATCTGCATTAAGACGAGGCTACTAAATTGACTTGCTTATACTGTCTCTACCATGCAGGCTGTTTGTCTACATCTACTGGAAACTGGAGACTGGAGGAAGTTGGACGGGGAAATAACTGTCCAGATCTGAATTCAGATCCATATTTTGAGACCAGGAAAAAAAATAACATGAAACGCATAACCATAACGACATTGAAACTCCTTGAATCTGCTAGCAGGGGAATATCCAAACCCAATATCAATCCGGTCACATCCCATCAACACACCAACACCAACAGCGACAACAAGTAGAGTCGAGGAATTCCTGGTTCTTTTGGGTTGGTTCCTTTTTGTACCAGTTCCATTTTCCCTTCTGGTCCCTCCTATGTCTAGTTTCAGTGATGACATAGGCTGGGCGGGAGTAAAGGGGTATCTGAGTCTGATCCGAGAGTACAGGCAAGAGGTGGAGAGAGGAAAAGGAGAAGAGAAGAAAACCACAGGATATATGGCCTGGGTGATAGAAGTAGAGAGATGGAAGAGTCCACTACCAGTGATACTGGTAATCAAAGACAAAAAGAAAAAAAAAAAAAAAAAAACGGCCGGCATTTGTTGGAAGATTGTTCGAGATGAATCAAAAGAGAGAAGATGTGACAAAAAAAAGGTCAGGGAAATCCTGAGAAATGAAAGGAAGAAAGTGCACTGGATCAGCCGTGGGGAATTGGACTTCATACTGAGAGGTATCAACGTTGCCCGTACAGACAGGCAAAGCAAGGAATTAAGTAACCACATCCACAAGTAATAATAGTAATAATAGAAAGAAAGGAAGAGAAGCCAAGAAAACTCGTAGGTCACAGTGCACTAATCTCGAATACAGAAGAGCCCCGGTCAGTCCAAGCAGTCCCTGGTATCAGTTGGTGGATGCTGGCTTCCTAGGACGAGCAAGGGGAGGGACAGGAGACGATGCGATGAACAAGATACAACAACGCCAATCTCACAACAGCACATGCGCAGAACACACATATCCAGATAATTGGGAGACAAGAAAACAGAACAGATCGAGTATCCGCGAAAACGCACTAGAGCAATGATCAAATGTACAAACAAGGGTATATCGGAGGTGAAGCACCTGAAGGACCGTCAAGACTTTTACACGTTCACAGGCCATCACCGGCACCTGTCTCAACACCATCGGCCGAATAGGATATGCTGGGGTCAAACCCAAATCCAGTGGCGTCGGCATCCGTGTTGAGGAATGTGTCAAAGTCGAAGTTCTCCAGAATGTCTGGATTTTCCAGTGCGCTGAAGTCAAGGTTGAATGCAGAAGCCTTTGGTAAGAGTCAGTAAACGCATAATTGTGGCAGGCGAGGTGAGATGGTGAAAGAACATACATCAGGAATGCTGAGGTCAGTGAAAGATTGCTGTTGATCAGGGGGCTGCTGCACCATGGTCTGAGGAGCAGGTGCCGATGCAGGCTGTGCCGGTTGAGCTGGCCCGTTCGCTCCATTCGCTCCATTCTTAGCATTGAAAGAGTTGGGATGCTGGGGCGTGACGGGGGTCGATGGGGTCGGTGGCTCTGCGGCTTCCGTGGATGGAGTCGCATCTGCGGCCGCACTGGCAGCAGCAGCAGCAGCTTGCTTCTTGTTGGGTCGCTTGAATTCAAATTAGCGGATACAAAGATTGTAGCATTATTCGAGAGTATACAAACCTTGCGGGTGTCCTTAGCTTCCTTCTTGCCCTTGGGTGGAGCCTTGGCGGTCTGCTGGGGCGTTGGTGGCGCGTTCCCAGCCGTCTGAGGTGACGCCGGCTGGCCACGACCAGCGTTAGGACCCGTGACAGGTGGCGCCGAGGGCGGAGGCATCGCGCTTCGTTCCTGCGGGGTTCCAGCCTGGGGCTGGTTCGCAGGCGAATGCTGCGGGGGCATCTGCGGTTGTCCTGGCTGCCATTGTCCACTAGGCATACGCTGGCCGGCATTGGCCGGAATCGGCTGACCCATTTGAGCTCCGGTGAAGGCAGGGTTAGAACTAGGAGGTCGCATATTCGGTCCAGGGAAGAACTGAGCCGCAATCTCTGGGGGTATCGGACCACCGTTGAGGTTCATGGATCCGGGTGATCCACGCTGGGACATGTCGCCGGCGCTTGGGGACCCGGGAAGTCCAGTCGGAGGCATCTTCGGTGTGCCTCGTTTCATTTGGTCGCTAGGATTGGGAGACGCGCCCGCCCTGCTGCCCGGGGAAGTACCTGGTGGCAAACCTCCCTGTCCGGGCATCTGGGGCTGGCCGTCAGTGCGGGCCATGCTATCTTGCTCTTGACGAGCCATCATCAAACGCCGCTTATTCTGCTGTTCAAGCAGCATAAGCTGCATCTGATAATCTTGAAGAGCATGGTTACCATGCTGACTGCCAGGTGTCTGTAGACCACCGGGTCGGACCTGGGCAAGTTGACCGTTTGCACCGTAGTACTCAGGACCAGCGGCCATAGGATACATTCCTTGGCCGTCTGGCATCGGCACCAGATCCGCCTGATTGGCCATAACACCGGGATTCATCATGCCACCATTTGGGATACCCTGGGAATTCGATGCTGAGCGAGAGTGATGAAGGGCCAAGTTTTGAGCATATACCTGCATAGATTTCTGTTGCGCAGCTTGTCCCTGGAACTGCTGGAACTGTGCCGGAGTCATTCCCCTCTGCATTCCATTCTGCATCATCATAGCCTGCGGGTTGGGCTGTCCAGGCATTCCTTGTACTTGTCCACGGCCATTCGGTGCCAGTTGCTGTCCGTTGACGGCGCCTTCAAGACGGGGGCGTTTCGACGGCGAGGGAGCGTTGTCGGCAGAGGCTGGTGACTGTGGTCGATGTCCCCCCATCTCCATGTCCGGATCGCGTTGCATCTGTTGCATCATTTGCAGCTGCTGGGTCTTCTGGTACTGCGCCATCTGTTGTTGTTGCGAGCTAGAAAAAATCTCATCAGCACGTCCACCCCCAACTTAAGACTCCGCATGGGGAAGAAGATATTCAGATAGAGCATACAGTCCAGTGGTGTTGTTCTGCAGCACTGTTTTCTGCAGGTTAGGAGGCACCATGCCATTCTGTCTCCGGAGCTGGTTCATCTGGCCGGGCATCATGGGTTGCTGCCTCATAAATTGATTGTGTTGCTGTTCTCGCAGACGCATGAAGTTCTAGAACAGTAATAATAATCAGGATT